AAAAAATATATGGGTTTTGGGTAAACACTGGATTGTTGTCATTCACATCTGCAATATCAATTTTAATTGTCTTCTCTGAAGACAAAGATGGCTCACCTCTGTCTGAACATAATATGTTTATTGAGTATGTAGACACAGCCTCTCTATCTAGGCGGTACTTAGTGATTAGAGAGTACATACTCTTCTGGAAAGAGGGTTTCAGCTCAAAAGGGATGTCACCTATAAGTCTACATATCACTATACCATTCTCACCCGAATCTCTGTCAAATGCACTAATAAGCGCTATGGCTGCACCTGGATTCGAGTCCTCTGGTATCTGATTGGAGAGCGAGGTTATATCTATTTCAGGTACATTATCATTCACATCCTTTACATTAATAACAACACTGCAGTGGCCATTTAAAACGACTGGACCTCTGTCCGATGCTTGAATATCTAGTTCATAAACACTTAGTTCCTCAAAGTCTATAAGTCCTTTTACTGTTATCACTCCTGTGTCAGCATCTATTTCAAACTTATCAAATGCTTTATTCATCAGACTTTTGTCAAAGACATAATGGACTTGACCGTTTGCACCCTCGTCTGCATCTGAAGCGTGTACCTTCACCACCGACGTACCAAATGAAATATTTTCCTCCACTGTTACAGTATACACCTGACGATCAAAAACTGGGGCGTTATCATTAATGTCAATGACAGTGATGACAATATTGACTGATCCGAATCTTTCAGGCTTTCCTCCATCATACGCTGTTAGGGTTAGATTCAGTTGGGAATTCTGTTCTCTGTCTAGAGGCTTTTTCAAAATCAAGAAAGGAATTTTGTCCTCTCCACGAGTTTTCACATCTAATTCAAAGTGGCTGTTCGGGCTGAGAATGTACTTATGCAGAGAATTTACACCAGCGTCTAAATCACGAGCAGCGTCCAGAGGGACTCGCGTACTCTGGGGCACTGCATTTTCAGATATCTCTAAATGTTTCTCCCGTACAGGAAAACTAGGAGCGTGATCATTGATATCTCTAATTTCAACCTCTATGTAATGAATTTCTAGCGGGTTTTCAGCCACAGTTTTAAGATTCACTGAACACACGCTGCCTTTCTCACAAAGCTCCTCCCTGTCGATTTTTCCACTCACGTATAGGGCTCCATTGTCCTGGTTTATCTGTAAGAAGCGATCATTTGATGCGGAGACAATCCGAAAACGTCGCTCTTTAAGTTTATCCACGTCAAACCCCAAATCCTTTGCAATATTTCCCACAACAGATCCTGGTTTAGATTCCTCGGCGATAGAGTAGCGAATCTGAGCCAGACATCCGCCACAGAAGCACAACAGAAAAAAACAACGCAGAAAGGGTTTTGGTGTAGCTGTCATGATGAAAAGACCAATTCCATTCGCACCATCGCAAACTGATTTCTTATTTTCAATGAACTGTACTGTTTCTATGAAGTCCCAGACATTCATAACATCGCAAAAAACAAATATTCAGCGATTTGTCCAGCCGTTGCTTCAGCCCCGAGATACAACATCGCACTCATCTCAGTGCGCATGCGAAAGGGAGGGAGGGGCATTAAACACAAGCTTGTGCATATGCTATCTTTGTCACATATAACCTGGAAAGCAGCGACACCAAGTGTGCTCTTATCAAGCGTCATGTTATTTATTTGGCCAGTTTAATTAGGGAATTGTGCGTTTAAATAAATAAATAAATAGATAAATAAATAAAACTCACCTCAAGTGTTGACTGTCGTCTATTGCTCACAGTCAATGTATTTCCATTGCTTCCCGGGACTATAGTAGAACCGATACTCATTCTGGGTCCAACTAACATGTACCGCTTATCTCCTGATCTGTACTGGATGCTGTGACACAGTGTCCCGTCATAATTTGTATCTTGTAAGTACTTGGAGGAATAGTCTGTAGATTTGGAGCACTGCATTACAATCAGCACAATGATACTGATCACAAAAAGCACTGAAACTGAGCCCAGAGTGATGATCAGATAAAATGTGACGTCACTGTCCTCCTCGTCTTTTACTGCGTTTTTAACATCAGAAGCTGCAAAAGCCTCTTTGGGCTCCACAACTTTGATAATCACAGTCGCTGTTGCTGAAAGTGAAACGTTGCCATTGTCTTTGACCAGTATGACCAGTTTATGCTGAGCCTCGTCTGTTTCTGTGAATGAGCGAAGGGTCCTTATCTGTCCTGTATAGCGGTCCAAACCAAACAGACTGTGGTCACTCACTTCCTGCAGTGAAAATAATAGCCAGCCGTTGTATCCTATATCTGCGTCATAGGCTCTCACTTTAGTCACCAAATGTCCTGCGTTCACATTGCGAGGAATCTCCTCCACACCTTCAGCAGATCCGTTAGAGCTGACTGGATATAAGATCACTGGAACGTTGTCGTTCTGATCCAAAATGAACACGTTCACTGTGACGTTGCTGCTCAGTGGTGGAGTTCCAGAATCAGTAGCGAGCACGTGGAACTGGAACGTTTTGACTGTTTCGAAGTCGAAATGTTTTAAAGCATATATTTGTCCAGTTTCAGCATTAACGTTGATAAATGACGTCATGTCGCTCTGTGTCGCTTGTCCTCTGATAATGGAATAACTAATTGCTGCATTTTCATTTAAATCTTTGTCAGTAGCGCTCACAGAGAATATGGATGATCCAGGTGAGTTATTTTCCAACAAGTAAAGTTCAAGAGGATTCTGAGAGAATTCCGGGCTGTTATCGTTCACGTCAGCAACTTGCACTCTTATTATTTTGTTAGTGAATTGTGGGGGTTGACCTACGTCAGTTGCTGTTATAGTAATGTCATAATAGGACACCAGTTCTCTGTCTAAAAAATCTTTGGTCACTAATGAATACATATTGCCTTTTATTGATGGTTTCAATTCAAATGGTACATTATCTGAAAGGCTACAAATAACCTTACCGTTGAGACCGGAATCTTTATCAGTAACACTAACGAGAGCAACCACTGTTCCGCGTTTGGAATCCTCGGGAACCATGTTAGACAATGATGTAACATCAATTTCAGGTTTATTATCATTCATGTCTATAACCTTTATGACAACTCTACAATCCACAGTCATTGGTGGTTGTCCCTTATCAGTGGCTTGGACATTTAATCTGTACACCTCGTCTTCCTCATAGTCAATATTTCCTTTCACACGAATCTCTCCAGTAACACTATCTAAATGAAATACTTCACTTATTTTACTGTTGGAGGATCTCCTAAGTGCATACTCCAGTTCTCCATTTAAACCATCGTCTGCATCACTGGCATTAACAGTAGTAATAACAGTACCAACTGGTGCATTTTCATTTAACATAATTGTATATATTTCCTGGGTGAATACAGGTCTGTTGTCGTTAATATCACTAACTGAAACTGTTATGTTTAAAGTGCCAGATTTGGAAGGATTTCCTCCATCAAATGCTGTCAATAATAATGTATGTTTGTTATGTTGCTCTCTGTCTAACTGCTTCTGAAGAACCAAAAACACAATTTTGTCCTCATCATCACCGTCTCTCAACTGCAACTGAAAATGTTCGTTCTGTCCTAGTTTATAGGACCGGATAGAATTTATTCCAGCGTCCAGGTCACGTGCAGCTGGTAGTTCAAATCGTGCCCCCGGCAGAGTACTTTCAGGTATTTCTAAATACATTTTGGTTTCTGGAAAAATGGGAGAATTGTCATTAACATCAGCTACTTCTACTTCAATATAATGTATTTCTAGGGGATTCTCAACAACGATTTTCAAGTTTATTGTGCAAGCTTTGTTTTTCTCACATAGCTTCTCTCTGTCAATTTTCTTACTAACAACCAAAACGCCATTGTTCTCGTTTACCTGGAAAAGAGCGTCATTCGATCCCGAAACAATCCGAAATCGTCTCTCTACTAAAGTACTGATATCGAGACCCAAATCCTTGGCAATGTTTCCGACAGTGTATCCCTCTTTTACCTCCTCCGGAATCGAATACCTTATCTGAGTCGAAACGTGCTCCACGAAGCACAACAGCAAACAGATCTGTAGGACAGTCCACCAGTACTCCCATCTGCGCTTTTGTCTGTTGTTATCCATCGTTACCGAAAATTAAGCTTCCGTTTAAAAGCAACAGAAATCCCTGCAGTCTCTTTTCACCTGTATTTGGCTGAATGTGCACAACATACTACATTTGGACCATAAAGAAAAGCAAATACAAAGCTTAAAAAAATGACCCATCACTGATGTAAAAGCAGCACATCGCCATCGCCTTGCAGTGAACAAAACAGCCCTGCACAGCGTCAGAAAAAAGGGGGCAGGACCAAAACGTCAGGGTTTCCTTGTGTAACACTGACACCAAGCGTTTTTAATGACATCTTTAGTTTCGTGAAGCTTTGTACCTGAATACAGTCAGCAAGTTCACCTGTATTCAAAAATACAGCAACACAGGCCACATAAGCTAATCAAGTAATTTTTTGTCAAGAAGAAGAGAGAATGAACAAATATTTTTCACTGACGTCTTTAAAAGAAGTTGTTGAATACACCAAATAAATAAACAAACAAACAAATAAATAAATAAATACAAACAGTGTTGACATTTTCGGGCGACAAGCTAGCAACAGTATACGTAGGCCTGAAACTCTGCGTATATGAAAAACTCAAGCAAAGTCACAATTCAGCCAATGCTATCCAGTTCGTGCCCTCACTGCGCATGCTAATCAGAACATCAACGCACACAGGAAGTCCAATAACAGGTGAAATAATCAAGATTTCATGATTTTGTAAATGTATCTGTATAAAATCTCTAATCATAAAATGTTGCAAAATATATGTTCATACTAGTGTATACAAAATTATTCACACGTGTATAGCAAAGAGTTACGCTACTTTATTAAGTCGTTATACAGTATGTATGTGTAGGCGTGTGTGTGTGGAGGGTTAAAAAGCTTTCTAACAGTAACGGAACATGTTGCCTGAAATCGTGATTCACGCATAGTGTATACAAAATCATAATATTTTGAGAAACGGCAGATGGAAAACACTATGAAGGTCAAGTCTCACCTCTCCAGAAGTTCTCCTCCTGCGATCTGGTACCACTAGAGTATTCCCATTACTGCCTGGGACTATAGTAGAACCGATACTCATTCTGGGTCCAACTAACATGTATCGTTTATCTCCTGATCTGTACTGGATGCTGTGACACAGTGTTCCGTCGTAATTTGTATCTTGTAAGTACTTGGAGGAATAGTCTGTAGATTTGGAGCACTGCATTACAATCAGCACAATGATACTGATCACAAAAAGCACTGAAACTGAGCCCAGAGTGATGATCAGATAAAATGTGACGTCATTGTCCTCCTCGTCTTTTACTGCGTTTTTAACATCAGAAGCTGCAAAAGCCTCTTTGGGCTCCACAACTTTGATAATCACAGTCGCTGTTGCTGAAAGTGAAACGTTGCCATTGTCTTTGACCAATATGACCAGTTTATGCTGAGCCTCGTCTGTTTCTGTGAATGAGCGAAGGGTCCTTATCTGTCCTGTATAGCGGTCCAAACCAAACAGACTGTGGTCACTCACTTCCTGAAGGGAAAATAACAACCAGCCGTTGTATCCTATATCTGCATCATAGGCTCTCACTTTAGTCACCAAATGTCCTGCGTTCACATTGCGAGGAATCTCCTCCACACCTTCAGCAGATCCGTTAGAGCTGACTGGATATAAGATCACTGGAACGTTGTCGTTCTGATCCAGAATGAACACGTTCACTGTGACGTTGCTGCTCAGTGGTGGAGTTCCAGAATCAATAGCGAGCACGTGGAACTGGAACGTTTTGACTGTTTCAAAGTCGAAACTTTTGAGAGCATGAATAACGCCTGTTTCAGAATTAATATTTATAAATGAAGCCATATCATTTTGTCCTCCATCACCTCTCACTATGTTATAGGATATCGCTGCGTTGTCATCGGAGTCTTTGTCAAATGCTCTCACTGAAAATACGGAGGCACCAGGAGTGTTATTTTCCTGCAAATACAGGTCAAGAGACCTTTGAGGAAATACTGGTGTGTTGTCATTTACATCTGATACCAGTACGCTCAATGTTTTTATGCTGGATAACGGAGGATTTCCTAAATCTGTGGCTGTTATAATGATGTCGTAACGTGATATAATCTCACGGTCCAATTTTTCTTTTGTTTCTAATGAATACATGTTATCTTGAAAAGATGGTTTCAGTTCAAAAGGAACACCATCTGACAGGCTACACACAACTTTTCCATTTATTCCAGAATCCTTGTCAGAGACACTGATGAGAGAGATGGCTGTGCCAAGTTTGGTGTCTTCTGTAACAACATTTGATAGTGACGTCACTTCTATGTCTGGTTTATTGTCATTTATGTCTAAAATCTTTATGATTACTCTGCTTTCTACTGTCAGAGGAGGCTGTCCTTTGTCCGAAGCCTGTATATCTAATTTGTAAACCTCTGTGTCCTCAAAGTCCACTTCGCCTTTAACTCGTATTTCTCCTGTAATACCGTCTAATTGAAAAACATCATAAACTTTACGCTTTAAAGTTTTAGCAAAAGTGTATTCAATCTCACCGTTGGAGGCTTGGTCACGATCAGTTGCATTTACTATAATTACGATTGTGCCAATTGGTGCATTTTCTTGTAATGTTGCAGAATATGTATTTTGACTGAATACAGGACGATTATCATTTATGTCAAGAACCTTAACAGTAATATTGAGGGTACCTGTTTTGGGGGAATTTCCACCATCTATCGCTGTAACAAGTAGCTGATAATCGGCTGTTTGTTCACGATCAAGCGGTTTCCTTAAAACCAAGAATGGTATTTTATCCTCATCACTGGTCTTTGTATCAATTTCAAAATTGTCATTCTGGCTTAACTTATAATTGCGAATAGAATTCGGCGCTGTATCCTGGTCGCGTGCTGCGTGCAGCTGGAAGCTAGTTCCTATAGGGGTATGTTCAGCTATCTCAAAATGTTGATGCGTTTCGGAGAAACTGGGAACATTGTCGTTGATATCTGTTATTTCGACGACAACATGATGAATTTCTAGAGGGTTTTCAACTGCAATTTTCAGATTTATCAAACAAGCACCATTTCCGTCACATAGCCCCTCTCTGTCGATTTTCTTCTGAACATACATGACGCCATTGTTCTGATTAGCCTGAAAAAATGCATCTTTGGATCCAGAAACAATACGGAACCGTCTGTTCGCCAACGTACTCAAATCAAGACCTAAATCCTTAGCAATATTTCCCACCACGGATCCCTCTTTGACCTCCTCAGGAATAGAGTACCTTATCTGAGCTGAAACCTGCTCCAAGATGGACAGCAACAAAGAAAAACACAAGACAATCCACCAGATTTTCCATATGCGTCCTTGCACTCCACTCTCCATCTTCAGTGTGTCATTTACAGCAGTTCCGTTAACAAACACGTTGCGGTTGTTTCCAGTTACTAAATCTAAAATGACTTTCTAAATGGCTCATGTTTATGTGCCATTCCAAAAGCTACCGCGTTGTTCAAAAGCCGTATTGTCTCTCATGCTCTTCGAGGCGCTCTGTTCTGAGCAAGATAGCTCATGCGCATCATACACCAGTGGGCAGGGCAAATACACCTTATCCATTCCTATGTTACACTGACACCGTCTGGTGTACAAAAACATATCATTTATGAACGCAATACACAGTATCTGAAATTAGATGAATTAATTTAAAAACGACGTATTTCTTTAAAAAGTCTGACAACAAAGTTTACTTGCTTTAACAAGCTCATATATCTGTTGTGCGTTATCCTAGATTTGGTTTGATATATTATTATAAATCATTAAACGAAACAAAGCCAAATAAGAATATATTGTTCAGTAAGACTCAATCATGTGATATAAATGCAGTCAGTAGCGACTTTATTAAGAATAGCTATAATTAATTTGCTTTAATACGTTACCATGATACTTTTTTATTTAATATTTTAATACATGTCTTAACACTATTGTTGTAGTAAGAAATAAGCTGACAGATGGAAGTTTGTTTTGTTCTAAGTACAGTTGAACAAACTGTGAATTTTATGAACTATATGTTCTGATGGCGGTGTAGATTTCATGCGAAATTTGTGAATTTACATAAAAATGTATATATACTCGTATTCAACACCTATAAATACTAGAAATGTGATGTAAGGCATCTAGATTTGGTGTGTGTCGTACTAAGACGAGTTGCAGGAGCAAGATATGAAACCTCTGCCCCAACAAGCAAGCAAACAAATAAACAAATTAACAAAAGTTTGATATTGTGTTGATTTTTTGTACTCTCCAGAAAAGCAAAAAATCCAAATCTACGGACTTACAAAATATCGTATATTGGACGAAATTGGCGACTTTGTCTTACGTGGAAAACAAACCTAATAAATGGCAAATAAACACTTGGAATTCTTATTAAAATATTTAGCTAACACCCAGTATCTAAGGCGTGTAATTAAGAAAAAAGACTGACACAATGTACATAGTGTACAAAGCTCAGTGCAATCAACAATTGCTGAATACAGCAGTGTACCAAAAAAAAAAACGTATGATTTACTACTTTTAACTTAAAGTCGACTAAAGTATAAGACAGAATGCTGCAGTTTGTAAAATGGCAATAATATATAATCATTGTGTATGGCTACCAAAGAAACATGCCAACAAACGCACGGTCCAAAAAGGAAAAAATAGAAGAACAAGTTTCAGCACCTTGGACAGCATTGAACCCAGCGAGAACTATCCGCAACCTCGAAGTCAACCCGCTTGAGCCTTTTGGAAGAGTGTTTTGTAATGAAATAAAAAAAAAAACAGTTTAAAACCACTCCTACCTCTCCAGAAGTTCTCCTCCTGCGATCTGGTACCACTAGAGTATTCCCATTACTGCCCGGGACAATAGTAGAACCGATACTCATTCTGGGTCCAACTAACATGTACCGTTTATCTCCTGATCTGTACTGGATGCTGTGACACAGTGTCCCGTCATAATTTGTATCTTGTAAGTACTTGGAGGAATAGTCTGTAGATTTGGAGCACTGCATTACAATCAGCACAATGATACTGATCACAAAAAGTACTGAAACTGAGCCCAGAGTGGTGATCAGATAAAATGTGACGTCACTGTCCTCTTCGTCTTTTAATGTGTTTTTAACATCAGAAGCTGCAAAAGCCTCTTTGGGCTCCACAACTTTGATAATCACAGTCGCTGTTGCTGAAAGTGAAACGTTGCCATTGTCTTTGACCAGTATGACCAGTTTATGCTGAGTCTCGTCTGTTTCTGTGAATGAGCGAAGGGTCCTTATCTGTCCTGTATAGCGGTCCAAACCAAACAGACTGTGGTCACTCACTTCCTGCAGTGAAAATAACAACCAGCCGTTGTATCCTATATCTGCGTCATAGGCTCTCACTTTAGTCACCAAATGTCCTGCGTTCACATTGCGCGGAATCTCCTCCACACCTTCAGCAGATCCGTTAGAGCTGACTGGATATAAGATCACTGGAACGTTGTCGTTCTGATCCAGAATGAACACGTTCACTGTGACGTTGCTGCTCAGAGACGGAGTTCCAGAATCAGTAGCGAGCACGTGGAACTGGAACGTTTTCAGTGATTCAAAGTCAAAACTTCTGAGCGCATGAATAGCACCTGTTTCAGAATTAATGTTTAGAAATGACGTCATGTCATTCTGTGTCCCATCCCCTCTGAGAATGTGGTACGAGATCGCAGCATTTTCATTTATATCTTGGTCAAATGCGTGGACAGAAAATATGGATGTTCCAGGGGCGTTATTTTCAAAAAGGTATAAATCAAAGGAGTTGACTGAAAACTGTGGTCTATTGTCATTTACATCTGACACCTGTACTTTCAAAGTTTTGAAAGAGGACAAAGAAGGCTGGCCTAGATCAGATGCTGTAATGATAATGTCATATTGAGAAACAAGCTCTCTATCTAAGTGGCCTTTAGTGACTAAAGAAAACATGTTGTCCTGCAAAGATGGTTTTAACTCAAACGGTATGTCGTCACTAAGGCGGCAGATTACTTTGCCATTCCCACCAGAATCTTTATCTGTGACACTAATCAACGAAATCACAGTCCCCGTTTGTGAATCTTCGGAAATCTCGTTAGAGAGCGACGTTATCTCTATTTCAGGTGTATTATCGTTAACATCCGATATTTTTATGATGATCCCACTTTCACCAGTTAAAGGTGGCTGGCCTTTATCGGTTGCTTGTACATCCAGTTTATAAACATCGGTGTCCTCGAAGTCAAGAAAGCCTTTTACTCGAATTTCCCCCGTTTTATTTTCCAGACTAAATATATCGCGAATTCTCGCGTTTACTTCACTGCCAAACGAATAAGCTATATCGCCATTAGGACCTTCATCTAAATCCGTTGAAGACACTTTCAGTATAAGGACGCCAGGTTCCGTGTTTTCTGGCAGTGTTACCGAATAAACATCTTGACTAAAAACTGGGGGGTTATCATTTGAGTCAAGAACTATTATGGTAACATTGAGAGTCCCCGACTTTGGTGGAGTCCCACCATCAGTTGCAGTGAGAATTATCTTGTGCTCCCTCTTTTTCTCTCGGTCCAAATGTTTCTGTAAAACGAGGTAAGGGATTTGCTCTTCTCCCCTTTCTCTGACTTGTAATTCAAAATGTTCGTTTTGACTTATTTTATACAGTCGGATCGAATTGATACCTATATCAGGATCACGCGCAGCCTGCAGTTGAAAACGGGCTCCTGTGAGCCTATTTTCTGCTATTTCGAGTATTTTCTCTTTCTCAGGAAAGGTAGGTGAGTGATCATTTATGTCTGTAATCTCTATCCCTACATAGTGGATCTCTAGAGGATCTTCAACTGCTATTTTAAGATTCAAAATGCAAACAGTATTCCCATCACATATTTCCTCTCTGTCTATTCTCTTGTGCACATACAAAACGCCGCTGTTCTGATTTACCTGGAAAAGCGCATCCTTAGATCCAGAAACAATACGAAACCGTCTATCCACTAGAGTACTGATATCAAGCCCCAAATCCTTCGCAATGTTACCAACAATGTGTCCTTCTTTCCGCTCCTCTGGAATAGAGTACCTTATCTGAGCCGAAACCTCGTCTTCTAAACGATGAAGCAAAAAGAAACACAGAATAATCCAACGGTAGTCACATTTGCTCCTTTGTCCCCCGCCAGTCATCGTGAGCGATGCCGTTAAATCCAATTTTACTTGCAGTATGTCGTAATTGTCTTCATTTATCAAACGCATCCATCCATTTTATATTACGCATGTTAACATTATATAACTACAGCTGTCGTTTTATTACATCGATGTGTCTTCCGTGCTTATTGTCTCCCTCTGTTCGAAAATTCTACTCAGAGAAAAACAGACATGCGCGACGTAGACCAATGAGAAGAAACGAAACACCCACTCTATCTTAGAGCAACAGTGACATCACCTGGACCAAAAAGAAATTCTTCTAAAAATTAGTCTTTACTTGGATTCAACTCTAGAAACGTAGCTTGATAAAACCGTGAAACACATTAAATTCACAAACAAATAAAGAAATATCAAAGTACATAACACGAGCACAAAACATGAAATTGCGCAGCTTGGCAGGGAATATAGGTCAGAATCGTGGACAGAAGCATAGGACGAATATGTCAGCTTTAAAAACAATAATTATCAGAGTTGGAGGCTCAACATACAGAAAGTTATGTTTAAAAACATGATCACACACATAAGCTCCTACCTCTCCAGAAGTTCTCCTCCTACGATCTGGTACCACTAGAGTATTCCCATTACTGCCCGGGACTATAGTAGAACCGATACTCATTCTGGGTCCAACTAACATGTACCGTTTATCTCCTGATCTGTATTGGATGCTGTGACACAGTGTCCCGTCATAATTTGTATCTTTTAAGTACTTGGAGGAATAGTCTGTAGATTTGGAGCACTGCATTACAATCAGTACAGTGATACTGATCACAAAAAGCACTGAAACTGAGCCCAGAGTGATGATCAGATAAAATGTGACGTCACTGTCCTCTTCATCTTTTACTGTGTTTTTAACATCAGAAGCTGCAAAAGCCTCTTTGGGCTCCACAACTTTGATAATCACAGTCGCTGTTGCTGAAAGTGAAACGTTGCCATTGTCTTTGACCAGTATGACCAGTTTATGCTGAGCCTCGTCTGTTTCTGTGAATGAGCGAAGGGTCCTTATCTGTCCCGTATAGCGGTCCAAACCAAACAGACTGTGGTCACTCACTTCCTGCAGTGAAAATAATAGCCAGCCGTTGTATCCTATATCTGCGTCATAGGCTCTCACTTTAGTCACCAAATGTCCTGCGTTCACATTGCGGGGAATCTCCTCCACACCTTCAGCAGATCCGTTAGAGCTGACTGGATATAAGATCACTGGAACGTTGTCGTTCTGATCCAAAATGAACACGTTCACTGTGACGTTGCTGCTCAGTGGTGGAGTTCCAGAATCAGTAGCGAGCACGTGGAACTGGAACATCTTGACTACTTCGAAGTCGAAACTTTTTAATGCATAAATGACGCCTGTTTCAGAATTAATGTTAAGAAATGAAGCCATGTCCTTTTGTGCATCGTTATTTCTTATAATTTTATAAGCTAACGCAGCATTTTCGTTCAAGTCTTTATCAGATGCGCTTATTGAAAATATTGACGCCCCGGGGGCATTGTTTTCCATCATGTACAGTTCCATAGATTTTTTTGGAAATTCTGGATAGTTGTCGTTAATGTCTGATATTTGCACACTTAAGGTTTTGAACGTTGATAAAGGACGTTCACCTAAATCAGTGGCTGTTATTGTGATTTCGAACGTGTCTCTCGTCTCTCTGTCCAAGTTAAGTTTTGTAACCAAAGAATACATATTCTCTTGAATTGATGGTTTCAATTCAAAAGGCACATTGTCTGACAATTTACACAAAACCTTTCCATTAAGTCCAGAGTCTTTATCTGTGACACTTATTAAAGAAATAACTGTTCCAGGTTTCGTGTCCTCTGGAACTAAGTTTGATAAGGATGTGATCTCGATCTCGGGTTTATTGTCATTGACGTCTAATACCTTAATAATGACTCTGCATTCGACGGTTAATGGGGGCTGGCCTCTGTCTGCAGCTTGTACATCTAATTTATAAACTTCTGTGTCCTCAAAATCAACCTCTCCTTTAACTCTTATCTCACCACTTATATGGTCCAAATCAAATAGATCATATACTTTACGCTTGAGATTTCTAACAAAGGAATACTCAATATCACCATTCATTCCTTCATCCAGATCTGACGCATTTAATTTAATCACAACAGTCCCCTTTGGGACATTTTCCTGTATAGTCACTGAATAAGTATCTTGGCTAAACACAGGACGATTGTCGTTAGAATCAAGCACGTTCACAGTAATATTCAAAGTGCCTGATCTTGGCGGGTTACCTCCATCGATAGCCGTTAACACTAAATCATGCTTATTATTATGTTCTCTGTCAAGAGATTTTCTCAAAACTAAAAATGGAATTTTGTCCTCATCGCTGTCTCTAACATCTATTTCAAAATTGTCATTGCGGCTTAATCTGTAAGATCGTACAGAATTGATGCCTATATCAGGGTCACGTGCTGCTTGCACCTGGAATCGAGTCCCTAATGCCGTTTGTTCGCCTATTTCGAAATGTTGCTGTTTATCCGGGAAGACTGGCGAATTATCATTTATATCTGTCATTTCTACTGCAATATAATGTAGCTCAAGTGGATTTTCCACTGCAATTTTGAGATTAATTAAGCAGACAGTATTTCCATTACATATTTCCTCCCTGTCAATTTTCTTATGAACATACAAAACGCCATTGTTCTGGTTTACCTGTAAAAAAGCGTCTTTAGCCCCAGAAACGATACGGAATCGCCTGTCCACCAAAGTACTGACATCAAAGCCTAAATCCTTAGCAACATTCCCAACAATGGATCCTTCTTTCACCTCCTCTGGAATAGAGTACCTTATCTGAGCAAAAACCTGCTCGCTGAAGAAAATCAGCAAAAAGAAACGCAGAGCAATCCACCAGTACTTCCATTTGCTTCTTTGTCCTCCGTCTCCCATTGTAACGACTGTCCCAAACCGACTGAAAAAGAGACGAAGCCTGTCGACTGTCAGTGGCTACAGTATTGGTCCATAAACAGGAGCCACAGCAAACACTTCATAGTGAAAAAAATAGCTGTTGTATAGTAACGCTTACAGACTATAGAGTGCTTTATTTCCTCAGCTCACACTATCCCAGCGCTTGTCAGAAACAAAACAACGCTGCGCATGTCACGACTAGGGGCCGAGCTTTACCACGGAGAGTGAAAACTTGGACCAACACTGACACCGAGCGGACTCTGGCTGTTTTAACACCACTGACATGACATTACTTTATCATAAATTCTCATAATTACAAAGCATGTATTAACAATTAACCATTCTCTTGACACGCACACGAAACTTCTACACACGAAGGAAAAGGAAATCAAATAATAGGCATACTATGACTATGTACTGGATGCTGTGACACAGTGTTCCATCATAACTTGTATCTTGTTTATTGGGGAAAAAGCCAAGTGTCAGCACCATGGACAGAGATGATGTATTAACACGTCTAACTCAATGCTGAGACATATGTAGTCTAGGCTTAAACTTAATCTTTTTCTAGAAAACTGGTGTTTTATCCCATATCTGTATTAATCCTGCTTCCCAACGCAAGTTAAAATACATTGGAAAAGTGCTGCACTTAAATTAATTGACTCATTGTGCACAGAATTTATTCAATTATATTGTAATGTGTACTTATATTAAATTATATGAATGTATTCTATTTCACTGTCATATATATGATGACAGCAAATATGTGAATATAGAATATTATTTTAATGTTGAAAGCGTGCAACATTTCTTCAATGAAATTCCAAAAAAAAAAATGAATGCAGAAGAAATGATTCAAAGCGCATGTACAAGCTTAAAAAAATTGTATAGTTAATGTGATATAATTTAAAGCTTACCTCTCCAGAGGTTCTCCTCCTACGATCTGGTACCACTAGAGTATTCCCATTACTGCCCGGGACTATAGTAGAACCGATACTCATTCTGGGTCCAACTAACATGTACCGTTTATCTCCTGATCTGTACTGGATGCTGTGACACAGTGTCCCGTCATAATTTGTATCTTGTAAGTACTTGGAGGAACAGTCTGTAGATTTGGAGCACTGCATTACAATCAGCACAATGATACTGATCAGAAAAAGCACTGAAACTGAGCCCAGAGTGATGATCAGATAAAATGTGACGTCATTGTCCTCCTCGTCTTTTACTGCGTTCTTAACATCAGAAGCTGCAAAAGCCTCTTTGGGTTCCACAACTTTGATAATCACAGTCGCTGTTGCTGAAAGTGAAACGTTGCCATTGTCTTTTACCAGTATGACCAGTTTATGCTGAGCCTCGTCTGTTTCTGTGAATGAGCGAAGGGTCCTTATCTGTCCTGTATAGCGGTCCAAACCAAACAGACTGTGGTCACTCACTTCCTGCAGGGAAAATAACAACCAGCCGTTGTATCCTATATCTGCGTCATAGGCTCTCACTTTAGTCACCAAATGTCCTGCGTTCACATTGCGGGGAATCTCCTCCACACCTTCAGCAGATCCGTTAGAGCTGACTGGATATAAGATCACTGGAACGTTGTCGTTCCGATCCAGAATGAACACGTTCACTGTGACGTTGCTGCTCAGTGGTGGAGTTCCAGAATCAGTAGCGAGCACGTGGAACTGGAACGTTTTGACTGTTTCAAAATCAAAGCTCCTTAGTGCGCTTATAACGCCTGTTTCGGAGTTGACATTCAAAAAAGTTCCCATGTCATTGTTTGTGCCATCACTTCTTATAATCTGATAGGAAATGGCAGCATTTTCGTTCAGGTCTCTGTCAGAAGCGCTCACTGAGAATATTGAGGCCCCAGGAACGTTATTTTCCATCAAGTAAAGTTCATGAGGATTTTGTTTAAATTCCGGGCTGTTATCATTAACGTCCGACACCTGCACGTTTAAGGTTTTAAATGTCGATAGTGGAGGCTGACCTAAATCAGTGGCTTTAATCTTGATTTCATAACTCTGGACAAGTTCTCTGTCCAAACGCTCTTTAGTAACTAAAGAGTACATATTATCCTGAACTGATGGTTTCAGCTCAAATGGTACACTATCAGAGATACTACAAATAACCTTACCATTTACCCCCGTGTCTTTATCTGTGACGCTAATTAAAGAAATCACAGTACCTGGTTTTGAATCCTCAGGTACAACATTAAATAGTGATGTCACGTCTATCTCTGGATAATTATCATTTTCATCTGTAATCTTTATAATTACTCTGCAGTCAGTTGTCATTGGAGGCTGGCCTTTGTCAGAGGCCTGAATGTTTAGTCTATATATTTCATTTTCCTCAAAGTCCACAGGCTTTTTAATTTGTATTTCACCGGTGATGCTGTCCAGGTTAAATGTGTCATGCACTTTGCGTCGAATAGTTTTGCCAAGCGTGTACACTACATCCCCATTTAAACCCTCATCTGAATCCGCTGCATTGATTCGGACAACAGAAGTGCCTACAGGAGTATTTTCTCCCAGCGTCACATAATACACATCTCTACTACATACAGGACGATTATCATTACTATCGAGAACGGTGACAGTGATGTTTAATGTGCCAGATTTGGGAGGACTTCCACCATCTACTGCAGTCAAAACTAAATTATGCTTTGCGTTTTGTTCTCTATCTAAAGACTTATGCAAAACCAGGACTGGAGTTTTTTCCTCTTCCTCGTTATCCCTCATTTCTAATTCGAAGTAGTTATTTTTTGCTAGTTTGTAGAGGCGAATTGAATTACTTCCCACATCTGGATCGCGTGCACTTTGGAGCTCGAAGCGCGCCCCAGCAAGAGTGTTTTCAGCAATTTCGAAATGCTGCTCTTTTTCTGGGAAGCGGGGGCTATGATCATTAACATCAGCAATTTCTACAACGACATAATGAATTTCAAGCGGATTTTCCACAGCAATTTTTAAATTTACAGTGCACACAGCACTGCCTTCACATATCGCCTCTCTGTCGATTTTCTTAAGAACAGACAGCACGCCATTGTTCTGGTTTACCTGAAATAGAGCGTCAGTAGATCCAGATACGATACGGAACCGTCTGTCCACCAAAGTATTGATATCAAGACCCAAATCCTTAGCAATGTTGCCCACTACGGATCCCTCTTTTACCTCTTCCGGAATAGAGTACCTTATCTGAGCCAAAACCTGCTCCCCGATGCAAAACAGCAAAGAGAAACGTAGAGCAATCCACCAGTACTTCCATCTGCGCCTTTGTTCGCCTTTGTCCATTGTGAATCGTTTCTTTAACGCTGTTCTTGCTCGCAGCAATATAGTGAATCCATTTAAATACAAAATATAAAGCTCAATTCTTTATAACACCTTTTTAGTAATGCAAACATGAGCGCGCTTCTATTTTGTAGCATTTCCCGTGTTAGGTGATCTACTGTCTTCGTGTGCTTAGAACAAAACAGACTTGCGCAACAAAGTGGGCAGGACTATGCATCTACCTTCTGTCCTTATGTAACACTGACCCCATCTGGTCATGTCAGGTCCCTTTCAAATTATTCTGCGAAACCTAAAAAGAAAAAAACTTACGTCCTGTATAAATCACTAACTAAACTTTCTCTCATATATATATATATATATATATATATATATATATATATAGGTAATTTACATTAAACAAAGACAGACAAAAATGCTTTTAGTTAAAAGAGTAAATGAAAGCAAAAGCAAAGCAAATGACCATGAAAATAGAACCAAATCACGTCTCCGAAACAACAATTAAACAAAAAGACATCTGGTATTCCTGACTGCAAAAGCAGTAGTGCGACCCCAACGTGAAATAGAAACTCAAAAATCATTTGAAATAAAGCACTCCTACCTCTCCAGAAGTTCTCCTCCTGCGATCCGGTACCACTAGAGTATTCCCATTACTGCCCGGGACTATAGTAGAACCGATACTCATTCTGGGTCCAACTAACATGTACCGTTTATCTCCTGATCTGTACTGGATGCTGTGACACAGTGTTCCGTCATAATTTGTATCTTGTAAGTACTTGGAGGAATAGTCTGTAGATTTGGAGCACTGCATTACAATCAGCACAATGATACTGATCACAAAAAGCACTGAAACTGAGCCCAGAGTGATGATCAGATAAAATGTGACGTCGCTGTCCTCTTCATCTTTTACTGCGTTCTTAACATCAGAAGCTGCAAAAGCCTCTTTGGGCTCCACAACTTTGATAATCACAGTCGCTGTTGCTGAAAGTGAAACGTTGCCATTGTCTTTGACCAGAATGACCAGTTTATGCTGAGCCTCGTCTGTTTCTGTGAATGAGCGAAGGGTCCTTATCTGTCCTGTATAGCGGTCCAAACTAAACAGACTGTGGTCACTCACTTCCTGTAGTGAAAATAATAGCCAGCCGTTGTATCCTATATCTGCGTCATAGGCTCTCACTTTAGTCACCAAATGTCCTGCGTTCACATTGCGGGGAATCTCCTCCACACCTTCAGCAGATCCGTTAGAGCTGACCGGATATAAGATCACTGGAACGTTGTCGTTTTGATCCAGAATGAATACGTTCACTGTGACGTTGCTGCTCAGTGGTGGAGTTCCAGAATCAGTAGCGAGCACGTGGAACTGGAACGTTTTGGAGGTTTCAAAGTCAAGGCTCTTTAGCGCACGAATAACACCTGTCTCTGAGTTAACATTCAGAAATGAAGCCAGGCCATCCTGTGATCCATCATCTCTCAAAATCTGATATGAGATCAGTGCATTCTCGTTTTCATCGTTGTCATATGCGCTTACTGACAATATAGAGCCACCTGGCGAGTTATTTTCAAATATGTAAAGTTCAAGAGGGTTTTGCGGAAATGCTGGGGGGTTGTCATTCATGTCTGAGACTTCGACGCTCAAAGTTTTGAAAGAGGATAAAGGGGGCTGTCCTAGGTCAGCTGCAAATATCGTGATATCATAGCGTGAAGCCACTTCTCGATCTAAATTACCTTTCGTCACCAAAGAATACATATTTTCCTGAAAAGATGGTTTCAACTCAAATGGAGCATTGTCAGAGAGACTACATACTACTTTCCCGTTAATGCCTGAATCTTTATCCGTTACACTAATGAGTGATACTACAGTTCCTGGTTTAGAATTTTCAGGTACTAAATTAGAAAGTGAGGTCACTTCAATTTCTGGTTTATTGTCATTTATGTCAGTAACCTTTATGATTACTCTACAGTTTGTTGTCATGGGGGGTTCTCCTCTGTCAGAAGCAGTAACATCAGCCCTGTATATCTCAGCATCCTCAAAGTCAACCATGCCTTTCACGCGAATTTCTCCTGTGTTTTCGTCCAGTTCAAACGTTTCATAAACTTTTTTCTTTAAGTTACTGGCAAACGAAAAAATGACATCGCCATTTAGATCTTTATCAGCATCAGTAGCATTAACTCTGACCAATAAACTCCCCCTTTGAATATTTTCAGGAATTGTCACAGTATAAACATCTTTACTGAAAACTGGTCTGTTGTCATTGATGTCAAGTACAGTTATTGAAATGTTCAAAGCTCCTGACCTGGGCGGATTTCCACCATCGATCGCAGTCAATACTAAATTGTGAGAGGAATGACGTTCTCTGTCAAGAGCTCTCTGCAGTTTTAAAACTGGTATTTTATTATCTTCTCCACCATCTCGAATCTCTAGATCAAAATGCTCGTTATGACTGAGTTTGTATGTACGAAGCGAATTTACTCCAGAATCAGGATCGCGAGCAGCTACGAGCTGAAAATCAGCCCCAGTTAACGTGTTTTCTGCAATCTTTAAATTTTGCTGCTTTTCAGGAAAAACAGGTGCATGGTCGTTGACATCCGTTATCTCTACTCCTACGTAATGTATTTCTAGAGGACTTTCTACTGCAATTTTTAGATTTATAAAGCAGGCAGTGTTATCATCACACAGCTCCTCTCTGTCGATTTTCTTATGAACATAAAGCTCGCCATTGTTCGTATTTACCTCGAAAAGAGCGTCTTTAGATCCAGAGACGATGCGAAACCGTCTGTCCACCAAAGTACTAACATCAAGGCCCAAATCCTTTGCTATGTTACCCACAACAGACCCTTCTTTAACATCCTCCGGAACAGAGTACCTTATTTGCGCCGAAACATATTTCCCAAAGCAGAGAAGCAAAACGAAACACAGAACAATCCGGCAGCATTGCCATCTGCGCCTTTGTTCGCCGTGATCCATCATGAACAACAAAGTCAGCAGATTGTACTCACGGAAACCGTCCTTTTCAAATAGGTAAATCAATGTAGCAGGAAGACCAAAGTCAAGATGTTACATATCCCGGCTTCATCCATGCCAATCTTTAACCGTATTATTCTGTTCGCCATTTTACACCACACTGCTATCTCTTGTCCGTGGGAACAAAAAGAGCAACCAGGAACCTCGAGCTAGGGGCAGGGCTTAACGTCAACACCGTTTCCTTGTTACACACTGACACCTCATGGACTATACACAGTATAACGACAAGAGAAGAGCATTCGTATAAAAATGAGCAGGTATAAGAGCCGAAACTCTTCGAAAAAGCAAATCAAGGTGAAGCACACGTTTTTCATGAATTTCATCATAGAATGAAAGAAAGAAAGTCTTTAAAAATAAACATTGGTGATTAAAAATAATTTTCACCAACAAATTATGTCTAAGTCAAGTCACTAAATGTAATAATAATAAAGTACCATTGGTAAGAACAGTTACGTGAAGGCAACAACGGAAAGCTTCAGTTGTACTATTTCAGCACCATGGAGAGCACAATGCACGTGCTAGCAGCGCTATGCATTTACTTGATTTGAATGTTTAAGTATTTTTCCCCTTATTAATAAAACATCAAACATCAACATTATCTTATATTTGGAAATAAACATGTTGATGCAATATTATTTATGTTTATTGGAATTTGTGAATCTGTGAATACAGTGAATATAGAAACATTGGAAGAAACATGGAGCATATGTCTGACTGCACAGAAGGCCCAATGTAATTTAATAACTTCCGTAAATTTCATAATGGCATCAAGTGTACGAGAGACATGAAAACTGAAACTTCTGCGTGCAATACAAAGACCAGCCCAATAATTCCAAACAGATTAAGAAGTTGATCAACTGACTACGTCGCCTATGGTTAGCAGTATTATTTAATCTCGCTTTCTTTTTAACAGCAGCCAAAATATAACAATTATTCCTCTCTTACCTCACCAGAAGCTCTCCTCCTGCGATCTGGTACCACTAGAGTATTCCCATTACTGCCCGGGACTATAGTAGAACCGATACTCATTCTGGGTCCAACTAACATGTACCGTTTATCTCCTGATCTGTACTGGATGCTGTGACACAGTGTCCCGTCATAATTTGTATCTTGTAAGTACTTGGAGGAATAGTCTGTAGATTTGGAGCACTGCATTACAATCAGCACAATGATACTGATCACAAAAAGCACTGAAACTGAGCCCAGAGTGATGATCAGATAAAATGTGACGTCACTGTCCTCCTCGTCTTTTACTGCGTTTTTAACATCAGAAGCTGCAAAAGCCTCTTTGGGCTCCACAACTTTGATAATCACAGTCGCTGTTGCTGAAAGTGAAACGTTACCATTGTCTTTGACCAGTATGACCAGTTTATGCTGAGCCTCGTCTGTTTCTGTGAATGAGCGAAGGGTCCTTATCTGTCCTGTATAGCGGTCCAAACCAAACAGACTGTGGTCACTCACTTCCTGCAGGGAAAATAATAGCCAGCCGTTGTATCCTATATCTGCGTCATAGGCTCTCACTTTAGTCACCAAATGTCCTGCGTTCACATTGCGGGGAATCTCCTCCACACCTTCAGCAGATCCGTTAGAGCTGACTGGATATAAGATCACTGGAACGTTGTCGTTCTGATCCAGAATGAACACGTTCACTGTGACGTTGCTGCTCAGAGGTGGAGTTCCAGAATCAGTAGCGAGCACGTGGAACTGGAACGTTTTGATCGTTTCAAAGTCGAAACTTTTCAGCGCGTGAATAACACCTGTTTCAGAATTAATGTTTAGGAACGATGCCATGTCGTTTTGTGGAGACCCTCCTCTAAGAATGCTGTATAAGATTGCAGCATTTTCCTGTGTGTCTTTGTCTGATGCACTAATAGAGAAAATTGAGGCCCCTGGAGTGTTATTTTCCACTAAATACAGATCAAGGGGATTTTGAGAAAACTTTGGGCTGTTATCATTCACATCGGACACCTGCACGCGTAGAATTTTTACTACAGAGAGAGGAGGTTGGCCAAAGTCTGTTGCTGTTACTGTGATTTCATATTGGGAAGTCTCTTCTCTGTCTAAATGTGTCTTTGTTACTAATGAGTACATATTATCTTGCACAGACGGTTTTAATTCAAAAGGTATATTGGACGACAAAGTGCATACAACTTTACCGTTTACACCAGAGTCTTTATCTAAAACACTGATTAGTGAAATGACTGTTCCAGGTTTGGAATCTTCGGGCACGAAATTAGAAAGTGATGTCACCTCTATTTCTGGAGCGTTATCGTTCACGTCTAAAATTTTGACAATAACGCGACAATCGATTGTCATTGGAGGTGTGCCCTTATCAGAGGCCAAAACATCTAACCGGTATACGTCAGTGTTTTCAAAGTCTATTTCACCTTTTACCCGAATTTCACCCGACACATTGTCCAAATCAAATACGGCATAGAAGTTACGATTTAATTTACTACCAAAAGAATATAGAACTTCTCCGTTCAAACTCTCGTCCAAATCAGTTGCTTTAACTTTTATCACAACAGTACCTATTGGAACATTTTCCTTTATTTGTGTTGTGTAAACCTCTTGACTGAACACTGGACGATTGTCATTGATATCAAGAACAGTAACAGTAATATTTAAAGTCCCCGATCTTGGTGGATTGCCACCATCTATTGCTGTCAGTAGTATTTCGTGTTCAGCTTTACGCTCCCTATCCAGTGCTCTCTGCAAAACCAGAAATGGCATTTTTTCATCACCCATATCCCTTACCTCCAAATTAAAATGCTCATTTTGACTTAATATGTAGGAGCGCACGGAATTTGCACCAAGATCTGGATCACGCGCGCTCTGCAACTGAAAGCGGGCTCCAGGGAGCGTGCTCTCTGCAATCTCCACTCTTTGCTGCTGATCGTGAAAATTAGGAGCGTGGTCATTTACATCCGTAATTTCTACTCGCACATAATGAATCTCCAGTGGGTTTTCTACTACCAGTTTGAGGTTAACCACACAGGGACTATTGCTATCACATATTTCCTCTCTGTCAATTTTCTTATGAATATATAAGACGCCATTGTTCTGATTTACCCGAAAAACATCATCCTTTGATCCTGAGACGATACGGAACCGTCTGTCCACCAAAGTACTGACATCAAGACCCAGATCCTTAGCAGTATTTCCAACGACAAATCCATCTTTCACCTCCTCTGGAATGGAGTACCTTATCTGAGCGGAAACCTTCCCCCAGAAAAACACAAGCAAAGACAAACGTAGAGCAATCATCCAGTACTCCCATCTGCGCCTTTGTCTGCCGTATTCCATCACGAATGATTTCCTCCAAACCGAATGTCCGACCGAATATACGACTCCAACTTTTAGACACTTCCAAAACGTGTAAGCGGCAGTTTAATTTTCAAATAGAGTACAGTTTTCAATAAGCTTCTATTTATTAATGCCAGTAGGCAGGCTCTGTGGAGGCACATTTCCTCAGCTTGCAGTGTCCCTTCGTTCTTTAGGAAGAAGAACAGACTGCGCATGTCAATATTAGGACAGGGTTTTTGCTCTATGTAGAACATTAGAGCAACACTGACACCGAGCGGTCTGTGGCCATTTACACACTACTGATGGCGCCTTTGTTGTTGTTCCTATAAATGACACTTCATGAATTAATATACACTATAGTGGGCTTATTCGGTGTAAAAAATACATCTATTAATTAACTGCTTGTTATCTGTTATTATTATTAGTAGTAGTAGTAGTAGTAGTAGTAGTAGTTGTAGTGCATTCTGAGGTCTTCAAAGTAATGTTCAACAGATTTGGTACAGATTTATGTAATGTGTTTTGATCCATTTTCACGTAATGAGGCTTCATTAATCCACTCTTTGTTGTCCAGAAAAAAAAACTATTAAGTGTTTAAGAAAAGAGCACCTCCCGCAGCTCATCCCTCAATCATTCTATATTAAAAATGCAAATGCTTGACCTCATTATTCCATTTATTTAAGGATAATCGCATGATCAATCTGATTAAGACAAACTGTTTCACACACTTCGCCATGAATGCACTTCAACGAAAATGATGTCGGAGTTCAGCACCATGGACAACACCACGAGTTGCCAAGCTCGTTCTCCGCCTAAATGAGCTCTCTGTGCTAAAAGCTAGTTAAAACACAAACATAAAACATATACATACACATTTACAACATGCCACAATAACACTTTTTTGGCAGAAAACATACAATGTGTAGATGCATGGCTGCACTGATGGACAATCCTTTGTATTAGTTCATATACTAAGATGTTGAACTAATAACTAAACAGATCAAAGAGCTCAAGAGGCATTGAGTTAGTTACGTTTAACAACCTCATTCGCATCCACTGATCATGAAATATGACGTTTTACACGTCATTCAAACAGGTAATATAGTAATAATTAAAATACTGTTTGGAAAAGTTTGCCAAAAATCCAACATGTTCATCTGAGAGAGCCATATTTCACGCAAAGTGTGGCAAATTCCATACCAGAGCGGAATGTGCTGGTGGCACGTTAAACGTTATTTCTTTCGAGCCAGTGGCAGAAAAAAATGTAAAACGCCAGTCCAATAAATCTTATTCCCGCTGTTTGAACAACTTGTATAGTAATTTCTTAAAATTAACAAAGACAAAATTGAAATTCTTATTCTACGTCACAGAGGCTGAAACTAAATACTCAAAAAGAGGACGGATAATTACAGCTGGTAGAGAACACATCAGTAAAAGTTGTTACTCGAACAAAGAAGAATGTACATACTATAATAGAATTGGAACAACTTCACTCGCAACCTGTCTGGCACATGATACACTTTGTGACTTTTAAAACAAATTTTAAAAATAATTTTAAAGATAAAGACATACTATTCTTTGTTTATTAAGCACTTAAATGATGCACAAAATATATTATGATAAAGATGGCGAGTTTTGCTTTAAATATCATTATTAGTAGTAGTAGAAGAAGTAGTAGTAGTGATATGAAGAAGATACTTGGTTGTATCTGTAATTTTATTCAGTTTCACCTACTTTCAAATGACAGTCAAACTGTAGTACTTGTTTCCATCTTACCTCTCCAGAAGTCCTTCTCCTGCGATCTGGTACCACTAGAGTATTCCCATTACTGCCCGGGACTATAGTAGAACCGATACTTATTCTGGGTCCAACTAACATGTACCGCTTATCTCCTGATCTGTACTGGATGCTGTGACACAGTGTCCCGTCATAATTTGTATCTTGTAAGTACTTGGAGGAATAGTCTGTAGATTTGGAGCACTGCATTACAATCAGCACAATGATACTGATCACAAAAAGCACTGAAACTGAGCCCAGAGTGATGATCAGATAAAATGTGACGTCGCTGTCCTCTTCATCTTTTACTGCGTTTTTTACATCAGAAGCGGCAAAAGCCTCTTTGGGCTCCACAACTTTGATAATCACAGTCGCTGTTGCTGAAAGTGAAACGTTGCCATTGTCTTTGACCAGTATGACCAGTTTATGCTGAGCCTCGTCTGTTTCTGTGAATGAGCGAAGGGTCCTTATCTGTCCTGTATAGCGGTCCAAACCAAACAGACTGTGGTCACTCACTTCCTGCAATGAAAATAATAACCAGCCGTTGTATCCTATATCTGCGTCATAGGCTCTCACTTTAGTCACCAAATGTCCTGCGTTCACATTGCGGGGAATCTCCTCCACACCTTCAGCAGATCCGTTAGAGCTGACTGGATATAAGATCACTGGAACGTTGTCGTTTTGATCCAGAATGAACACGTTCACTGTGACGTTGCTGCTCAGTGGTGGAGTTCCAGAGTCAGTAGCGAGCACGTGGAACTGGAACGTTTTCAGTGATTCAAAATCGAAACTTTTCAGTGCATAAATAACTCCTGTTTCAGAATTAATATTCAGAAATGACGTCATGTCATCTCTAGACGGAGCTCCTCTCATTATGTGATATGTAATCATAGCGTTTTCGTTCTGGTCTTTGTCAGTGGCGCTCACGGAGAATATGGAAGCGCCAGGGGCGTTGTTTTCTACTAAATACAGCTCAAAGGGATTTAGAGGGAATTCAGGACGGTTGTCATTAACATCTGATACCTGTACAGTCAACTTTTTAACAGTTGATAATTTAGGCGTTCCTAGGTCTGTGGCTGTTATTGTGACGTCATAATGTGATTCGAGCTCTCGGTCCAATCGTTCCTTTGTCACCAGAGAATACATGTTTTCTTGAAAGGACGATTTTAACTCGAAAGGAATGTTATCCGCGATGCTCGCTAATACTTTGCCATTTATACCCGAATCTTTATCTGTAATACTGATGAGCGATATTACAGTCCCCGGTTTAGAATCCTCAGGAACAACACTGATAAGTGAAGTGACCTCTATTTCAGGAGAGTTGTCGTTTATGTCTTGAATCTTAATGATAACAACGGACTCCGCTGCCAGTGGTGGCTGGCCTTTATCTGAGGCCTGCACATCTAGCTTGTAAACCTCAGTATCTTCGAAATCCAGTAAACCTTTTACAGAAATCTCTCCTGTCTTACTGTCCAGTTTGAAAATATCATGAATTTTTTGCTTTATGTTTCTGCCAAACGTGTATTCAACAACACCATTTGTGCCCTCATCCAAATCAGTTGCATTAATTCTTATCGCGATTGTACCACCTGGAATATTTTCTTGTAGTGTTACAGAAAATGTGTCCTGACTGAACAGCGGACGATTATCGTTGCTGTCAAGAACAGTTATAGTAACATTAAGAGTCCCTGATCGCGGTGGATTACCACCGTCAATTGCAGTCAAGAGCAGCCTATGCTCTGCTTTGCTTTCTCGGTCTAGTGGTTTCTTCAAAACTAAAAATGGGATTTTCTCCTCATCCCTATCCTTTGTCTCGATCTCGAAATAATCGTTCTGATTTAGATTATAAGACTTCACGCTATTTACTGTCGTGTCTGCGTCGCGCGCAGCCTGTATCTGGAAGCGCGTGCCAGTAGGCGTATGTTCGGCTATCTCAAAATGTTGCTCCAATTCAGAAAAATTAGGCGAATTGTCGTTGACGTCCGTTATATCCACTCCGACGTACTGGACCTCGAGAGGATTTTCAACGACCAGTTTAAGATTCACTGAACAGGAGCTGCTGCTATCGCACAGTTCCTCTCTGTCTATTTTCTTCTGAACATACAGGGCGCCATTGTGCTGATTTACCTGGAAAAAAGCGTCGTTAGATCCAGAAACGATGCGGAACCGTCTGTCCACCAACGTACTGACATCAAGACCCAAATCCTTAGCAACATATCCCACAACAGAACCTTCTTTCACCTCCTCTGGAATAGAGTACCTTATCTGAGCGCAAACCTGTTTTCCGAAGCACAACAGAAATAAGAAGCGCACAGCCATGTAGCAATACTCCCATCTGCGCCTTTGTCTTCCATCTCCCATCACACGCGAGAACATCCTCTCCAATCCAGGTTAAAGCACAAACATTTCAGAAATATGCAGCTGCGCTTATTTCGTAGTTCAGATTTAATAATACAAGATCATAAAAAAAACCTTGAAGCGATCAGGTTAACAATACTCAGCTCACCGTGTGCGCTACGTCGGGACAAAACAGAATGCCGTCTACCAATAACTAAAGGGGCAGGGCTCTTTTCAAAAGAGTACACTGGTATAACACTGACACCATGTGGACCTCACATATACACACATACTATATTAGAAACTATAGAGCATTCAATATAGGACATACAATTGGATCATGCCGCCTAATGCACAATCGTTCTTGGGTGTCTTGGAGGGACAAGTTTTCATTTCAAGGACTGTACGTGTCTCATTCTTCCTGGAGTACATTAAATATTTGCGAATAGATTTTATTAACTTTTTTAATCACTACCCAGTAAAACCGACTGTGTTAAAAGTGTTGAGATTGTCAAAAGGTAATTTTTCATAGTTATAATTTTAGGTTTGAGTAGTGTTGATTCGGAAGTTGTTTATTCAAACAGCGTGTATATAAAACTCAGAGCCCAGTATTATAGAGAAGTGTATAAGCACCGCACTCTACAAAGAGTTTGTTCACCCGGTGTAATATCTGACATTTGCTAGGGGTGGAACTTTCCAGCTTTCCTCGCAGTTTTGTTCATTTCTGTTCGTAACCCTTTTTTTTTTTTACCTATAGTTAATTTCACAAGAGTCTTTCTACTATAACGTCATTTTCACCTTAAAGTCTACATTATACATATTATATGTTGTTATCAAGGATGGTGTTTTGTGTTTCGATTAACTCACTGTTTGTTTACTTCCGTCTCTGCAGTCCTGAAGAGTATATAACTACTTCAAGTTACAAAAAGCGTTTTCCATTTGAGAACTGACAGACTGTTGTAGTGTTAATAGATTAAAATGTAATTATGTAATTAACTCTATACGGAACCAATTACACTGCAAAAAAAGGAAAGAATCCATATTTTACCTTTAAAAAGTTAAAAACGTGGTTGCATTCAAATTTAGAGTTTATCAAACTCCAAATAATAAGGAAACGGAATGTAAAATAACTTTTTATTGTTCTGTTAATTTACTGTTGAAGGTTCAATGAAATAAATGTAAATGCAACCAGGTTACACACTTAAAAAGGTTGTGTTTTTTTTTTTAACTTTAAGTATTAAAGCTTTTTTTTTCAGTGTGTAGTGAGCAGTTAACACCAATTTAGTGACTGAGAATTTTTCACTGCAGTGAAACCTGGACAGCATATACTGTTGTTACATACATGATGTAATGTGTAGCAGCTGAGTCGTTTAACAACCACACTGTGTTAAAAAAAACGCTGAAAGTGGTGTAAGATACCGACATTTCCTAAAGTGTAAATTGGACTCAAATTGGTGTAGAATGTACATTTACACTCACAATGTTAACACTAGTAAGTTTGAAAGTGTATGCCTGAATATCAAGCCTGTAGAGATTTTAACACAAGGCTATTAGAAACATTGCGCCTATAGAACCAAAAATCACAGCTCTGAAACCACACTTAAAGTAACAAAAAGACATCTGGCATTCCTGAGTGTGAAAAACAAAGTACGACCAAAACGTGAGGTAGGGACTCAAACATTATTCAAAATAAGTCACTCTTACCTCTCCAGAAGTTCTCCTCCTGCGATCTGGTACCACTAGAGTATTCCCATTACTGCCCGGGACTATAGTAGAACCGATACTCATTCTGGGTCCAACTAACATGTACCGCTTATCTCCTGATCTGTACTGGATGCTGTGACACAGTGTCCCGTCGTAATTTGTATCTTGTAAGTACTTGGAGGAACAGTCTGTAGATTTGGAGCACTGCATTACAATCAGCACAATGATACTGATCACAAAAAGCACTGAAACTGAGCCCAGAGTGATGATCAGATAAAATGTGACGTCACTGTCCTCCTCGTCTTTTACTGCGTTTTTAACATCAGAAGCTGCAAAAGCCTCTTTGGGCTCCACAACTTTGATAATCACAGTCGCTGTTGCTGAAAGTGAAACGTTGCCATTGTCTTTGACCAATATGACCAGTTTATGCTGAGCCTCGTCTGTTTCTGTGAACGAGCGAAGGGTCCTTATCTGTCCTGTATAGCGGTCCAAACCAAACAGACTGTGGTCACTCACTTCCTGCAGTGAAAATAATAGCCAGCCGTTGTATCCTATATCTGCGTCATAGGCTCTCACTTTAGTCACCAAATGTCCTGCGTTCACATTGCGGGGAATCTCCTCCACACCTTCAGCAGATCCGTTAGAGCTGACTGGATATAAGATCACTGGAACGTTGTCGTTCTGATCCAGAATGAACACGTTCACTGTGACGTTGCTGCTCAGTGATGGGGTTCCAGAATCAGTAGCGAGCACGTGGAACTGGAACGTTTTGATTGTTTCAAAGTCGAAACTCTTTAGCGCACGAATAACACCAGTTTCAGAATTAACGTTTAAAAACAAAGACATGTCATTGTTAACCACCTCGCCTCTCAGTATCTGATATGATATCATAGCGTTTTCATGCACATCTTCGTCAGAAGCACTAACCGAGAATATGGAAGCACCTGGAGAATTATTCTCAGATATATACAGTTCTAGAGGATTGTGGAGAAATACTGGCCTGTTATCATTCACATCTGAAATTTGGATGCTCAGTGTTTTAACAGTGGATAAAGGAGGCTGTCCTAAGTCTGTAGCGGTTATTGTTATGTCATAATGTGGAATCAGCTCTCTGTCTAGATGTCCCTTGGTTGCTAGAGAGTATATGTTGTCCTGAACTGACGGTTTTAATTCAAATGGTAGGCTTTCTGAGAGAGAGCACACAACTTTCCCATTCACACCAGTGTCTCTGTCATTAACGCTAATGAGCGATATTACAGTCCCAGGCCTGGAATCTTCAGGAACTATGTTGGACAGCGAGGTCACCTCTATGTTCGGCTTATTGTCATTCACATCCAATATCTTTATAATAACTCTGCAATCATTTGTCAAGGGCGGCTGCCCATTATCTGAAGCCTGAATATCTAACTTATAAATATTTTGCTTTTCAAAATCTACCTCGCCTTTAACTCGGATTTCACCAGCTAAATTATCTAAACTAAAAATATCAAATACGTTCTGGTGTTGGTCACCTCCAAATACATAAGACACTTCACCATTCGGACCCTCATCATAATCATTCGCCAGTATTTTCAGTACCAGCGTTCCTATTGGTATGTTTTCATTCAGCGTTGTAGTATATACGTCTTGACTAAATACAGGATGGTTATCGTTAACGTCAAGAACAATAATTGTTATATTAAGCGTACCTGACCTGGGTGGACTTCCTCCATCGATTGCTGTTAAAACTAAATTATGCTCAGCTTTGCGCTCGCGGTCGAGAGGCTTCTGTAGAACCAAAAAAGGAAGTTTGTCGTCTCCCCGGTCCCTTATTTCCACATCAAAATTTTCGTTTTGGCTCAATTTATATAGGCGCACAGAGTTCACTCCAACATCCGGATCGCGTGCAGCTTGCAACTGAAAACGGGAGCCTTGAACAGTTGATTCAGCTATTTCCAATCGTTTCTCTTTTTCAGTGAATCTTGGAGAGTGGTCATTCACATCTGTAATTTCAACCCCTATGTAATGAATCTCTAGTGGATCTTCAACCACCATTTTCAGATTTAGCAGGCAAGGATGATTTCCATTACATATTTCTTCTCTATCGATTTTCTTGCTGATGTACAAAACGCCATTGTTCGTGTTTAATTGAAAAGGAGCATCATCAGAACCTGAAACAATACGAAGCCGCCTGTCTCCTAAAGCACTCACATCAAGACCCAAATCTTTAGCAACATTTCCTACAACTGATCCTTCTTTCAATTCTTCCGGAATGGAATACCTTATCTGAGCCGAAATTCGTTTCCCCAGGCACAGCAGCAGAGAAAATAGCAGAGCCATCCACCAGCACTCCAGTGTTCGCCTTTGTCTGTTGCCATCCATCACGACAAACGCACATTCGAGAAACGACTAAAGCACCGATCAGGCCACGTAATCACTTCATCAGCATATTCTTCGAATCCAAATAGAAAAGAACTTCATTTTAATATACCTTAAAGCTGATTATTTTTGTTTAGCTCAATGTATCGTCGTGCTAACGACGTTCTTCTGAACACACTGCCTGACAGTCCAGTGATGGCAGAAAGCGAAGGGGAGGGAATAACATCTAAAATGTATCCTTGTGTAGTACTGACACCTTGAGGCCTATCCCATAATCGAAGTCTTTAATTTGCGATCTAAACCAGTGAAAATAAATCTGAATTTGAAAAAGTATCCTTTTGTGTTCTAGATATGCACTCTCAGAAAAAATGGTTCTATATAGCAGGAAAAATGGTTCCATGACTCAGAACCTGACAACAGTGGGACTCTTGTTGGTGCGGTGGAAAATATTTTTTAAAGGTTCTTAAAAGAACCACCTACAAAAGGGCTTCCTTTGAGAAAAGACATCTAACCATGCAAAGAACCATTCAAATGGTTATTTGAGTTGCCACGGTTCTATATATATATATGTATCATATATAAAACCTTTCAGATACATATTTGATAAAAAGATATATGTATGACTATAAAGCTAATATGCAGTTAGTATCATATAGATCATCATATATATTATATTATATATATTATGATGTGTGTTGTATTTATTATATTTTCATATGAGCAGTGTAGTAGTGGCATTGTTGTCGTAATACTATTACACCTTAATAATAATAATAATAATAATAATAATAATAATTTTGGCAACATTATTTGGTACATTTGATTATTACATTTAACAAATGAAAGTACTGAGAAAGAGTGTGAGCTCACAAAGTGTTCATGCTTGAACTAAACCAATAAACACAGCAAATAGTAATCTATAAACAGCGAAAAATACGCAGGACAGATATGTAAACATGCCCCCCACCACCACCCCAGACAGTGAGAATATAATCAGAAAAACAAATATTAATATCAAAACACATCACTGGATAAATGTAAATATTACACTAAACTTCGTAAGGATAAAAAGGTGCATGAGCGCAACACTGTGAACTACAGAGACCGGCATAACGCAGCAATTAGCCTGTTAATTGTTAACATGGGCTTTGCACGGTTTTGATTTTTAGAAAACAACGCAAGTTAGAAATTATCCAATCATAAACGCGCTTGCATTGCAATAAACAGTGCGTACCTCCTTAGACGTTCGATCTGGTACCACTAGAATATTTCCATTACCACCCGGGACTACAGTAGAACCGATACTCATTCTAACATGTACCGTTTATCTCCTGATCTGTACTTGATGCTGTGACAGTGTTCCATCATAATTTCTATCTTATAAGTACAGCACTGATGTGAAGTTCCGCAGCATGTTCTGCACTTAAGAGTGATATGAAGAATGTCTTTCTTTTTAATATTTTGTCGAAATTAATAAATAATTGCCAAACAACATTCATAAGAGACTACGAAATCAACATAAATCGCCGTATGAACAAACAACCGAGTTGTTGCTTGGCCACAGTCATATTCAGAACCACTCAGCAACGCAAATGCCACGAAAATAAACCAATGTCATATAGCAAAGCAAAAAATCAGTCTTGACATGTTAGACGACCTTATACCAGCAATTCTAAAAAAAAAAAATGGTAAATATAATGGACTCCTACCTCTCCAGAAGTTCTCCTCCTGCGATCTGGTACCACTAGAGTATTCCCATTACTGCCCGGGACAATAGTAGAACCGATACTCATTCTGGGTCCAACTAACATGTACCGTTTATCTCCTGATCTGTATTGGATGCTGTGACACAGTGTCCCGTCATAATTTGTATCTTGTAAGTACTTGGAGGAATAGTCTGTAGATTTGGAGCACTGCATTACAATCAGCACAATGATACTGATCACAAAAAGCACTGAAACTGAGCCCAGAGTGATGATCAGATAAAATGTGACGTCACTGTCCTCCTCGTCTTTTACTGCGTTTTTAACATCAGAAGCTGCAAAAGCCTCTTTGGGCTCCACAACTTTGATAATCACAGTCGCTGTTGCTGAAAGTGAAACGTTGCCATTGTCTTTGACCAGTATGACCAGTTTATGCTGAGCCTCGTCTGTTTCTGTGAATGAGCGAAGGGTCCTTATCTGTCCTGTATAGCGGTCCAAACCAAACAGACTGTGGTCACTCACTTCTTGCAGGGAAAATAATAGCCAGCCGTTGTATCCTATATCTGCGTCATAGGCTCTCACTTTAGTCACCAAATGTCCTGCGTTCACATTGCGGGGAATCTCCTCCACACCTTCAGCAGATCCGTTAGAGCTGACTGGATATAAGATCACTGGAACGTTGTCGTTCTGATCCAGAATGAACACGTTCACTGTGACGTTGCTGCTCAGTGGTGGGGTTCCAGAATCAGTAGCGAGCACGTGGAACTGGAACGTTTTGGCAGCTTCAAAGTCAAAACTCTTTAGCGCACGAATGACACCTGTTTCAGAATTAATATTCAGGAACGACGCTATGTCAGTTTGTGCCGCATCTCCTCTAACAATTTGGTAATTTACCGCAGCGTTTTCATGTAAGTCTTTATCTAGAGCGCTAACAGAAAATATGGATGCACCAGGGGTGTTATTTTCAGATAGGTACAGCTCCAACGGATTCTGGGGAAATTCTGGGCTGTTGTCATTTACATCTGATATTTGTACGCTTAACTTCTTTATTGCAGACAGTGGGTGGGTGTCCCAGGTCTGTAGCCGTTAATTATGATCTCATAATGGGCTTTAACCTCTCGATCTAAGCGTCCGCTTGTTACTAAGGAATACATGTTTTCTTTGAATGAAGGTTTCAGTTCAAAGGGTACATTTTCTGATATGGTACAAACAACTTTGCCCGTTGATGCCAGAGTCTTTGTCTGTTATACTAATGAGAGAAATTACAGTTCCTGGATTTGAATTTTCCAGCACTACATCAAATAGGGAAGTAACATCTATCTCTGGCTTATTATCATTTATATCGACGACTTTAATTACAACTCTACAACTGCTCGCCTTCGCTGGATGCCCTCTGTCTGAGGCTGTTATGCCAAATCTGTAAACAGTCTTTGTTTCAAAATCTATATTTCCCTTGACTGTAATTTCCCCAGAATTTTTATCTAAACTGAACACATCATATATTTCTCTGTCAAGGTTTTTAACAAATGAATACACAATTTCGCCGTTCTGACCCTCATCTGCATCAGTGGCATTGACTTTCACAACAAAAAATCCAACTGGAGAATTTTCTTGTATTTCAACAGAATAAACTTCCTGAGTGAATTTTGGCCGGTTATCATTGTCATCCAGAACTGTAATGTTTATATCCATGCTTCCTGATTTTGGTGGACTTCCAGCATCAATGGCAGTCAGTATTAAATGGTGTCTGTTTTGTTGTTCCCTGTCCAATGATTTACGTAACTTTAAAAAAGGAATTTTTCGCTCAACCCCGTTGTCTCGAAGTTCAAGTTCAAAATGCTCACTTTGGCTCAGTTTATAAAAACGAACGGAGTTCGTGCCAAAATCAGGGTCCTGCGCTGACTGCAGCTGAAAATCTTCCCCTGGTAAAGTCGATTCCGGTATTTCAAACAGCTGATCTTTTTCTGTAAAACTAGGTGAATGATCATTTACATCAGTAATTTCAACCTCCACGTAATGAATCTCCAGAGGATTCTCGACAATGATTTTTAGATTAACCCAACAAGCTCTACTACTGTCACATATCTCTTCTCTATCGATTCTCTTAACAACATGCAGGAGGCCATTGTTCTGGTTTACCTGAAAAAGCGCATCCTCAGATCCAGAAACAATACGGAATCGTCTGTCCACCAAATTGTTGACTTCAAGACCTAAATCCTTAGCAACATTTCCCGCGATGGTGCCCTCTTTTACTTCCTCTGAAACAGAATATTTTATCTGAGCAGAGACTTGGTCCTTAAAGCAAAACAGCAGAGAGAAGCACACAGCAAACACCCAGCAATCCAACGTACGCCTTTGTCTTCCGTTTCCCATCCCTGAAAATTCCATTTAAGACAAAGGGGGAAAACACTGCCCTTTTAATCACTTCATAGAACTACTTACATTAACTGGACTAGCAGCTAAGGTCAGCATTTTCACAAAATATCAGATAATCTAATGTCTTCGCAAGATAGAGCTGGAAGAAGCCCTTACAATCAAACACAGTAGCTGCCTTCTCAGTGGGATGGCACGAACAGCCTGACGTAAATACACCAGGAGGAAGGGTCGGTATTTTGTATGGTTTGATGGTGTAATACTGACACCATGAGGTCTAGTAAAAGCAACAGCAGGTCAGAAAATGCACCGCTTCTTCTGTTTATGCCTTCTCTGAATATTTTTTTTATTTTTTCACCTGAGAAAAAACACGCAATAAGCTCTATCAACCAAAGAAACAAATGAAGTAATATCATGATATTATCCGTGTGTTTTGTGTGTAATTGCACTTTTTAAAGTATTTTAGGTGATGACTGTTTCAGCACCGATGTAAAGAGCTCCGCAGCGTGTTTTGTACTTAAGGATGGTATAAAGAATGCCTTCCGTTTAACATTTTGTCGTAGTTAATAAATAAATGCACCAATAACATGCCTAAGGGACTACGAAATCAACATAAATCGTCAAATGAACAAACAACTGAGATGTTGCTTGGCCACAGGCATATTCAGAACCACTCAGCAACGTAAATGCCACGAAAGCAAACCAATGTCAGATAGGACAGCAAAAATCAGTCTTGACATGTTAAGCGAGTTCATAACAGCAACTTAGAAATGGTAAATATAATGGACTCCTACCTCTCCAGAAGTTCTCCTCCTGCGATCTGGTACCACTAGAGTATTTCCATTACTGCCCGGGACTATAGTAGAACCGATACTCATTCTGGGTCCAACTAACATGTACCGTTTATCTCCTGATCTGTACTGGATGCTGTGACACAGGGTTCCGTCATAATTTGTATCTTGTAAGTACTTGGAGGAATAGTCTGTAGATTTGGAGCACTGCATTACAATGAACACAATGATACTGATGATAAAAAGTACCGAAACCGAGCCCAGAGTGATGATCAGATAAAATGTGACGTCATTGTCCTCCTCGTCTTTTACTGCGTTTTTAACATCAGAAGCTGCAAAAGCCTCTTTGGGCTCCACAACTTTGATAATCACAGTCGCTGTTGCTGAAAGTGAAACGTTGCCATTGTCTTTGACCAGTATGACCAGTTTATGCTGAGCCTCGTCTGTTTCTGTGAATGAGCGAAGGGTCCTTATCTGTCCTGTATAGCGGTCCAAACCAAACAGACTGTGGTCACTCACTTCCTGCAGTGAAAATAATAACCAGCCGTTGTATCCTATATCTGCGTCATAGGCTCTCACTTTAGTCACCAAATGTCCTGCGTTCACATTGCGGGGAATCTCCTCCACACCTTCAGCAGATCCGTTAGAGCTGACCGGATATAAGATCACTGGAACGTTGTCGTTCTGATCCAGAATGAACACGTTCACTGTGACGTTGCTGCTCAGTGGTGGAGTTCCAGAATCAGTAGCGAGCACGTGGAACTGGAACGTTTTGACTGTTTCAAAATCAAAGCTCCTTAGTGCGCTTATAACGCCTGTTTCAGAATTAATGTTTAGAAATTTCGACATGTCATTGAGTGTCGCGTCGCCTCTCAAAATTTGATAAGTAATTACAGCATTTTCAAATATATCTTCATCAGTAGCGCTCACCGAAAATATAGATGCTCCAGGGCTGTTGTTTTCTATCAAGTAAAGCTCGAGAGGGTGTTGAGGGAATTCTGGGCTATTGTCATTTACGTCTGATATCTGCACGCTCAGAGTTTTCAGTGAGGACAAAACAGGTTGACCCAAGTCTTTGGCAGTTAGTAAAAGGTCATACTGAGATACCAGTTCTCTATCTAAGCTCCCTTTAATAATTAATGAAAATGTATTATCTTCAACAGACGACTTCAGCTCAAATGGCACATTCTTTGAGAGACTACACAAGACTTTGCCATTAACTCCAGAGTCTTTATCTGAAACGCTAATTAAAGAAATAACAGTTCCTGGTTTTGAATCCTCTGGAACAACAGTCAAGATCGGGGTTACTTCTATTTCTGGTCTATTGTCGTTCACGTCTATTATCCTAATGGTAACTCTGCAATCGACAGAGAGTGGAGGCTGCCCTTTATCGGAGGCCTGTATGTTTAATCTGTATATCTGATTGTCTTCAAAGTCTATTTCTTTTTTGACATGCATTTCACCAGTAATGTGGTCTATCTCAAAAATGTCTTTGACTTTGTTCTTTGTATTTCTACCCCACGAATACACAACCTCTCCATTGCTGCCATCATCAGGATCTGTAGCATTCACTTTCATTACAGTGGTTCCAATACTAACGTTCTCATATAAAGATATCGAGTACATGTTTTGGCTGCACACAGGCTGGTTGTCATTAATATCGAGGACAGTTATAGTTATGTTAAGACTGCCAGATTTAGGGGGATTTCCACCATCTATGGCCGTTAATAATAATTCGTGTTTGAGTGCACTTTCACGGTCCAAGTACTTCTGTAAGACGAGGGAAGGCAGACTGTCTTCGTCACCGTCTCTTAACTCCAAAGAGAAATGTTCATTTTGGCTAAGTTTGTAAGTACGAATACAATTGGTGCCAGCATCTAGATCACGTGCAGGCTGCAGGTCAAATCGCGCCCCTGGAGATTTGTTTTCTGCTACCTCTAAACGAAGATGTTTTTCCGCAAAACTAGGAGCATGATCATTTACATCAATAATTTCAACTCCAACATAATGGATTTCTAAAGGATTTTCAACTGCAATTTTTAGATTTATCAAGCAGACATCATTGCCGTCACATATCTCCTCTCTGTCGATTTTCTTTTGAACATACAGGGCGCCATTGTTCTGATTTACCTGGAAAAGATCGTCCTTAGATCCAGACACGATGCGAAACCGTCGGTCCACCAAAGTACTGACATCCAGACCCAAATCCTTAGCAATATTTCCGACAACTGATCCCTCTTTTACCTCCTCTTGAACAGAGTACCTTATCTGGGTGGAAATCTGCTGCACAAAGCACAGCAGAAAAGAGAGCCACAGAGAAATCCACCAGTACTCCCATCTGCGCCTTTGTCCGCCGTCATCCATTATGGACGAAAATTATCAAACTAAACAAAGGCCAAAATATCACACGTTTCCATGAATCAGTGTCAGCTGGTTTTAAAACTAAGAAGATATCGCTCCATGGATACAAAGATAAAAAGAGAACAGAACCAGTTTCACCCTATTCCATACGTACACCTCGCACTGTCTCCTATATGAACAAAACAGCTTCCCAGCTCCCAGGCAGTCAGTGGAGCGGGATTTATTCCTAAATACTTTCTTAGTGTAACACTGACGCCCTGTGGAGCCCACTAAGACCTGCAATGGATCTAAAAAAGGTTGATCTCATTGATATTTTAATTTTATCTTTATAAATGCATGTAAAAAGCAACCGTGCACCAATTAAACTGTTTCTGGATTTAAAAAAAAAAAATCTATTTCGCTATGGACAATTGTATTTCTGCAGCTTTTACTCTGAAAATAAAAATTCAGCACCAACACAACGGACAGCTCCCGCACTCATCGAGATACTCATGTCCATTTTACCAGTGCGTTCTATTGAATTGAAATACGTAAGTGTTCAAGACGTGGATATAGTAGTGTATTTCCACCCGTACCACAAAAAGAAAATATAATAAAAAGGCATTCTAATTTGTAGACAAAAAGTGAATAAACTTCAATGTGCAAGACACTGATACTCCTTGAGCTCACAAAAGAGGCTACTTACACAAGACATTAACCAAGTTTTGAAGTTTTGAAGATACAGGTCATCACGTGTATTGTGTCAGGTCATAAAATTACAATTACAAGTACAAAATTACAATTTGTAACGACCGTGCGTGCAAGAAGGTAAAGTTTATAAATAATAGTCAAATCTTACCTCTCCAGAAGTTCTCCTCCTGCGATCTGGTACCACTAGAGTATTCCCATTACTGCCCGGGACTATAGTAGAACCGATACTCATTCTGGGTCCAACTAACATGTACCGTTTATCTCCTGATCTGTACTGGATGCTGTGACACAGTGTCCCGTCGTAATTTGTATCTTGTAAGTACTTGGAGGAACAGTCTGTAGATTTTGAGCACTGCATTACAATCAGCACAATGATACTGATCACAAAAAGCACTGAAACTGAGCCCAGAGTGATGATCAGATAAAATGTGACGTCATTGTCCTCCTCGTCCTTTACTGCGTTTTTAACATCAGAAGCTGCAAAAGCCTCTTTGGGTTCCACAACTTTGATAATCACAGTCGCTGTTGCTGAAAGTGAAACGTTGCCATTGTCCTTGACCAGTATGACCAGTTTATGCTGAGCCTCGTCTGTTTCTGTGAATGAGCGAAGGGTCCTTATCTGTCCTGTATAGCGGTCCAAACCAAACAGACTGTGGTCACTCACTTCCTGCAGTGAAAATAATAGCCAGCCGTTGTATCCTATATCTGCGTCATAGGCTCTCACTTTAGTCACCAAATGTCCTGCGTTCACATTGCGGGGAATCTCCTCCACACCTTCAGCAGATCCGTTAGAGCTGACCGGATATAAGATCACTGGAACGTTGTCGTTCTGATCCAGAATGAACACGTTCACTGTGACGTTGCTGCTCAGTGGTGGAGTTCCAGAGTCAGTAGCGAGCACGTGGAACTGGAAAGTTTTCAGTGATTCAAAATCGAACCTTTTCAGTGCAAGAACGGTTCCATTCGCCTCATTAATATTTAAGAAAGATGTCACGCTCTGGTCTGAGTTCACGCGATCTATTGAGTATGAGACTTTTGAGTTGTCACCTTCATCTACATCAGCTGCGCTCACTGAGAAAACTGACCAGCCTGGTTTGTTGTTTTCAGCTACATAGAATGTGTATGGGCTTTGGACAAATACAGGGCTGTTGTCGTTTATGTCTACCACCTCAACGTGAATTATCTTTGTTGATGATAGTGGAGGTGTTCCTAAATCTGTAGCTGTTATAGCAATGTCGTAAAAGGGCGTTGACTCTTTATCCACATATTCTTTAGTAACCAAAGAATAAAAATTTGAATCTGATGACTGCTTGAGCTCGAATGGTATGTCCTTGGGTAAAGTGCACACCACCTGCCCATTCATACCTGAATCCAAGTCTGTCACTCCCATTAGAGCAACTACTGTTCCGGGAGGAGCGTCCTCAGGGATTTGGCTAGATAAAGAGGTGACATCAATCTCGGGTCGGTTGTCATTTACGTCCTCTATTTTCACGAGCACGTTACACTGCGTGGACAAAGATACTGCTCCCTTATCCGCTGCAAGAATTTTTAAGTCATAAACCTGCTTCTCCTCAAAATTAAGTCCGCTTTTTATCCGTAATTCCCCTGTTTTGCTGTCTAAATCAAACAGCTCAGAGGCACCATTTCTAAACTTGTTTCTCAGAGTGTATTCAATTTCCCCGTTTACTCCTTCATCCGAATCTGTAGCGTTAATTCGTAATAAAAAACTTCCGTCAGGAGCGTCTTCTCTCACCGTCACCGTGTACTTTTGTTTACCACAAACTGGTGCATTATCATTAATATCTGAAACAACAACAGTGATACTCAGAGTTCCTGTTTTCTGTGGCTTTCCTCCATCTACTGCAGTTAATATCAAATTATGCCTTGCGCTGTGTTCCCTATCCAAAGTCCTTTGCAGAACAAGGAAGGGGATTTTCCCCTCATCTCCCAAATCCTCTGTTTCTAAACGGAAAAACTGGTTTGGGCTGAGTTTGTAAGCTTGTAAGCCATTTGAGCCTATATCCGGGTCATGTGCTCCCTCCAGCTGATACCGCGCTCCTGTCATTGCATATTCAACAATCTCCAAATTATAATTCTCATCTATAAACGTTGGTGCATTATCATTAACATCGACAATTTCAACCACAACCTGGTGCATTTCAAGGGGATTTTCGATGACCGCTTTAATGTTGATTAAACAAGGGTTAGTTTTAGAGCATAGCTCCTCTCTGTCGATTCTACGATCAACGAACAAAGCGCCTTCTCTCTGATTTACCTGAAAAAGCTCCTGTTTTGTCCCAGTCACAATGCGCAAATTCCTGTCTGCCAGAGCCGACGAGTCCAAGCCCAGATCTTTGGCTATATTCCCCAGAACGGTGCCAACCTTCGATTCTTCTTGAAGAGAATAACGTATTTCTGTAGAGGTGCCGTCGCAAAGAAGCAGCAGACACAAGAAATGGAGGACGATACGCCCGCATATTCGTGTTCTCTGTGAATTTTCACTCGCCATGTTGTGCAAAATACCTCTGAGCTGCCGAACCAAAAATGGGCTTATAGTGCATAATTTCCTAAATTGCAGTTACTTGTGGATGGAAGTGGATGTCCGCCATGGCTCTTCCTTGGTCTTTGTTACCTTCTCTAACTGTGAAGATCTATTAGCTCTGACTTGCCTTTCTATGCCTACTGAACAATGATACCCCTAAACTTGAGCATGTCTTTTCTTACAGCGCCACTCTGCGTTGTGGTTTAAAATTGCAGTCATGCTTGGTGAAAGAGAGAGAGAGAGACAGAGAGAGAGAGGGAGAGAGAGAGAGCGAATGAACATACACAAAAACATCCAAACATTCATGTGCAAGCCATTACAAACATTACAATATGAAATACATGATTAAAATATAAACTGTGAATTGATATGATGTCATAAAATGTCAAACTGTTATTTACTGTATCATTTCTTCCATACATTTTGGTACCACACGGGTACTAAAACATATATTGAGCAGAATGGATTCAAAAGTCTGGGGACAGTTGCTGAATACAATTTATATCTTGTGTATTTATTACTTTCTATGGTAAGTTCATCACTTATTCATTCGTATCCATCAGAAAAGTTATAACAACCAGCAATAACAACTACGTTTACTAACTGAAACTCAAAAGGATCTCATTAAGTAAAGTACTGAAACATTAGTGGGACAACCATTAATGTCTCTTCTTTATGTAGGTCAGTATTTAGTATATATATATAATATATATAATATATATATATATATATATATATATATATATATAAAGCTTCACCTAACCATATATATACATGGGTGGTTAGGTGAAGCTTTTTCTAGCTTGCTATTGCTCTATTGGTCTCAAAGTATTGATTGTTAAGTCATAATAGAGCTGAAATTGTGTACTTTTGAATATGGTAAAATACAATTTCCATATTCTATTCCATGTATGCCTCTCATCAGCCAAATTCAGTGCTGCGTCTATTACTGTGGTGAACAGTGGCACCGTGTGGTTGAGTTACTCAAACCACGTGACAACATCTGCCCCACCCGTACTGCAAGGGTTTGTTCTCACGCATTACGTCATTTTCTTTCTACCACGTTGCAGCTGTGGGTTACAAGGCAACAACAGTGGCTCTGTTAAGACCACAATCAGATTCACAGTAATAACTGTAACAGAATACTTATTTCACAGTAAATAAAGAGTCGGACAGGAGTATTTCTCACCTAGACACTGCTGCAGCTTTGAGATAAAGTGAAATTATGAAGGAGCACAATAATTATCTATTTTGAAAGGATTAGTTAAAATAGTGCATAATCGGGTCTCACATGTGATCTGGTACAATAGTGCTGTTATTATTATGATTTTGGTCAGTGCTTTATAAAAGTAATAACAGTAAACATGTTTAAACATTATTATTATTATTATTATTATTATTATTGTTATGGGCTTGCAATTAAAATAAAAAGCACCAGTTTATATAATCACTTGTAAAATATGTTGGTTAATTATGTGATTGCAGTATGTTTTAAAGCTAAATTTGAGTATGATCTGTAAGGTTTTTGCCACAGGGAGGCGCATGTCAGAGTATCAAATTACACACCCCTCTCCCAGCCAGCAGCGCGTTTCCATAGCAACGGCCCTTCCGCAGGGCAGGTCGCTGTCTGTGGTGCTGAACACTGGTGCTTGAGAAACGAGAGAGTGGGGTGCGGGGAGGGGGGCGTTGGGTGATACAAAAGATGCTGAAATCGAGAAGCTGTAAAACAACAGACCACAGAATATATGTCATGTTTATGCATTTAGCTTATAGTATTATTTTCGTTTCTTTATTCTACCCCATCCCCTCATTTGGTCACTAAGAGAGGAGCTGCTGTCGCCTAGAAACAAGCAGTCAGCATAGCAAGCTGATGGAGGCTTTGTCATTGCAGTATGAGGGGGAAAAGCAGAAAAGCGGGGGGTGGGGGCTCCGAATGTAAGACAAGCAGGACATATGAGGGGCTGTATTGACTGAATGCAGAGGGAAGGGTGTTGGCCATCTTTTAAAGAGGGAAAAGGGAGACTCCCCTGTGTGTGTGTGTGTGTGTGTGTGTGTGTGTGTGTGTGTGTGTGTGTGTGTGTGTGTGCGTGTGCATGCGCATGTACTCTGCAGTAGCCCACAGCAGTACTGCAGTCTCTCTCTGCTCTGTAAGCTGGGTGGAAGGAATTAGGTCAGCATAAGGGAAGGAGAGGAATGCTGCCTGCTCTCTTCCTGATTTCTCCTTTCCAATTTAAAAGCATTGTAATACTGACAAGGCAGATACAAATGACATCCTTTCAATGATTTTATTCACACTTCTATATTTACAGCAAAAAGAGTGCTAATCTTTGCAGTTAGTAGATACAGCACAGCTCACAATGATCATAGAAATCAAGCATAATAGTTAAAACTAGCGAGCATTATATATATGTAAAAAAAAAGCAAAAAATAGAAACAGAGTGAGGTGTCTAAGCCACTTTCTTGTAATCCACCATCTTTAGAGATGACTTAATTTTGATCTTCAACACCCACCCAACACACACAAAAAAAACACTGTACCATGCAAACAGAAGATGCAGCAGGTATACAAAAAAGTCACTTCTGATTCTCTTAAAACCATAAGATATACTAACATAGCAATATCATAGTCTTTCTCTCCCTCACTTCATTCGGCACCACAGACATTCAGGCAGTCCTCATGATCATAGAAGTGGTTTGACCAATGTGTGTCTTATAAATAGAATATTCAGCATTTCTGCGCTTCAGTACAATAACCTGTAAACCACTATTATCAAAAGCATGAAATTCATCACGAACACATTGTCATATTACCATGAGGATATGTTGTATTTCCAGTTGTTCATAGAGATTGACAGATGACAGGCATTTTCTGTTTCTTAGGATATACACTCTTACAAGACAGGAGACAAGTGCTAGAATGTAAACTAGAGAGGCAGAGAATGTGATGAATTTCTTCCCAGGCAGAACAGATTCTGAGGCTGAGCTAAAGCCATGTATATGACTGGGAGTTCATGGCCAGTGCATGCACAATACTGCAATGGCAGATACAGTGACAGGATGAGAGGCATTAGGAACAATACATAGCCTTAACCTCCCACACTGTTTGGGTTATAAACACTTTTCTGTAACACTGTAAACATCACAGTGTTTAGTAAAGCTATTACCCTTTTCGAGAACAGATTGGGGAAAGATTGACAGTGACATCAAATAAACAGTCAAGCTTTCCCTCTTTCCCTCATTTGTTGAAGTTGAGTTTTGCCCAATTTTGTTCTCAAAAAGGATAAGAGCTCAACTAGACATGGTTACAGTATTGAGGTACATTGTCACTGTCCACAGAAACCTCCAAAACAGTATCTCTAAAGAACAAAGCAAAAACTTTAATAACTTCTAATGTATAAGTTAACATAAAGACATTTTATTCAAAGTAATATTTGACTATTTCTCTCTTGGTTCATGATTCATGTAATATTCACACAATTTGAAAAAAAATGAGACACTTTTTGGAGGAGGGGGCTGGGGGGTGATATGTAACATATCAACCTAGGGAGGCTTCAGTATTCACTATGTGTGTATACGATCAGGAAAGATGCAAGTGAGCAAAAGGGTATCTGTGCCTAAAATGTAGATGTAGATGTGCTTGTTCTCTGCCCCAGGATTCTGGTGATTATAAATAGTTGGGCCATTTTTAATACCACAAAAGGAGGATTCTGGGTAAATTAATAATACCTCTTTTCATAAGCTTAGAGAAGAGAATGACCTAGATGCAGTTGTCATCTCTACAGCTCTGTTCTTTCTTTCGCAGAACTATCAGTTCTTCCATTCTCTCTCTCTCTCTCTCTCTCTCTCTCTCTCTCTCACACACACACACACACACACACACACACACACACACACACACGCGTAAAATAATCTTTTTTCATTCTCCTTCAGCAAGCAGGTCTATTTCCGATTCTCTAGCAATCAGCATACAGAATCATCTATTAAACCACACTAAGGCCTCCCTCAAGCCTTTGACTGCACGGTTAAAAAAGTCCAATACGAACATATCCATAGCCAAACGCTCTGTCTGAAGCTAAAACCTCTCTAAAAATTTCCCTCTGTAATATTGTGCCTCCAAACACACTGACCTCTTGACCCCATGATTTGCCCTGCCTGAGGAAGTCATCAGAACCCTGTGCACATTTTACCAAGAAAGCTCTGATTACTGTTCACAAATAATATGACACTTTTGAATATGTAAAACAGCTGCAGAATGATAAGCTGCATAATAAATGTACTGCATAATAAGGGTTAACAGAAACATAACAATCCACATATTGCACTGCTAGTGTAACTGTACTATACAAAGAAAAGCACTTTAACAGCCTGCACAAACCAGTAACTGGATAAATCACTAAATAAAGCTGCAAAAGCTTTAAACAGCCTGAGCAGTCATAAACATTTCAATATCTTGAAAAAAAATGAACATTTCCAGGGATATAGCAAAAACATTTTGTATAAAGAAAACAATTATTTAACATCACAAAGTCAACACTTGGCTGTTACTTTCATTGTTTTCATTTTGCTTTTGCTTAGTACAGGAATAATGCAGTACAAGCCTAGGAACAATTTAAGTAACACAATCCACAAGATGAGGTGAATATGTTTAAAATAGTCATTTGAAAACATGATTAAAATTACCAATATCAAAACACTTGCATCAGTCCCCACATAACTCTCTGTTAAATGTCAACACAGTATGTGCTTATTTGCAGGGTAGTTGGTGGTCCTCATTTGTAGGGCCATAAATTTTGACTTTGAATAGGAGAAGTGATATGACTCCATGTGCGTACTTCATTACCACCAGAATTGTAAAATTTTACCCTGGTCTTGAAGTTGAAGCTGCAAAACACAGCCTCATTATGTATAGATTGTAATGCATAGGCCAACACATTTGCACTGAGAACCTTTATAAGTACAGAGAAAGGAGCTACTCAGTATTAATTCAACTGAAAAGACAATTAGCTGGCAGAATGTTTCTCCTGAATAATTAAAGATAAGGCTCTCTAAGCAGAGCACTTCAGGGGAGTGATTGTTGGGTGACATTTATGCAACTTTACAGTTGTCTTTTAAAGATGTACAAAGGTCAATATGACATAATTTCTATGATGTGATACAAATTATGTAAAAAGTACACTTACGTGATGGTTTGAGTAGGCCGAATAAAAACACTTCTATAACAAATATTTGTTGAATGTTTCTAAGGGCACTCCATGTCTTGTCAGCTTCTTTACCATTTACACAACAAACTACTGGTATAAACAGCAACACAGATGTGGTACAATACACACAAGTAGAGACTTAGTATCACCAAACAACAAGTTCCCTTTATCCAATAATGGTTTTAGTTGATGCTTTTTCCCTTGCTACTATTGTTTTCATGAATACAGTCCACTGAACACAAAGAAGTAAAGATTTAACATCCATTAGAGAAAAGTTGCAGAAACACAGTTCAGGTTCATCATCTAAAGTACAACACCAGAGTCTCTGCATACCAACCTCTTCTTTGTCCTTCCTTAATTTTGTTCTTTATTTTCTGTGTCTTAGGCATCCACCCATGTCCATTTTAAGGTTTTGTTGTCCCCTGTTCCTTATTGATCATTGAGAAGCAGAATAAAAGTCCATAGTAAAGCCTTAGCCATGCAGATCCATGCATGTTGAATTAATATGGATGTTAATGAAATAAACACGTTGGCCGTTCTGAGGGAACATGAGCTTGTGCACTGGGGGTGGGAGTAGCATTGCTGATCTCCATGTAAGCTCATCTATCAGTCACAACCATAAGCAAAGTCTTTCTCCATCCAGTCTGTGAGATTCTCAGCATTAATGCAGGAGAAAAGCCAATGGGAAGTAACTGCTGTGTACATCAAATAGAAGCCTTGTAAGATGTTCAGAAAGTAGGTGCAGACAGGTAGCCAGGTAGAAGGGCAGGTGTTGGGTGGGCATGGTCCACTGTTCTAGCCAGGTTCTTCTCAACATCACTCCAGCAACAAGGGGTGGGAGGGGGCCTCATGAGGAACTGCTGCTGGTGGTAGTGGATGCCTGCCAACGAGAAAAGAGTTAGGCAATCAAGGGACAAATCTGAACCAACCACATCCCTGTGGTAGTCTAGATTCTGAACACGTCTCATGCAGCCGAGGCCTGTCACTCAAACAAGGGGCTTCAGGCAAAACACCAAAACAATGTGACCTCGGTTTTGACTGACAGGTGACGGGGGAGCTATCCATGAATACCATGCTCAGAGATTAGGTGTGGTTGGGAGGGATGTAAGGGTGATGGGCACGAGGCTGAAAACTGGGTGATTGCTTTAGTTAATTTCCCATCCCTCGGAAATCACATTACATTATCTGTGAACAGGAATTCACCAGAAGCCGTATGTGAATCAATCTATTCGCCCAACCAGTCAAACACAGTCTAACATACATCTCATCTGTTTCTGTAATGGTGTTTAGGATATTATGAACATCATTATAAATAAATAGATAGATAAATAAATAAATAAATAAATAAATACATGCATGAGACCATGTGGAGGGTGTGTGTAGAAAGATCTCTCTTCTCTTTCAGTGATTTTGTCATAAAAATTGCAAAGTGAGGGTCTGTATGTGTAAAGGCAGCAGTTTCATGCCTGGGAAGGCAAAGGTGGGTGAATGCCCTGTGCAAGGAACACTTATACTTTGTTTTGTTTTTTTTTCTTTTTTATGCAGTTATGCTATTGTTCAAGCATGTGATGCAGATCTGCATAGGAACAGGCTATAGCTTCTGTGACAGGTGTGTGTATGTAAGTGTCCCAACAGAGGTGGAGAGAAAGGCATACCTTAATCCCTCACTTTAATCAGGACTACCATTTGAGCCTGAGTCGCTGCCAAACAGACCACAGATTCAACAGTCATTGTAAATACCATTACTAACATGTCTGCTGGCCAGGACTGCTAATCAAAATGGTTTCAAGTAAAGCCACCCACCAAGCTGTTCACTATGACAACACACATTTTGTTCTCAACCTTGCAACCCTTCAGATGTCTTTAAGCGCTTCCAATGATTGAGAGAGGTCAAAAGGTTTATTGCTTTGTGATGATGTGTGTTGTAATGAAAAGTACTGGATCAAAACTGAATTGAGTTGAATAAATCAGTTCCACAGCTCCTCCTACAACAAGACAATTCAAACTCCACATACAAATAAACAACCACCAAAACAAAGAAACAAACAAGAGCACTCATTTCTGAAAAAGTCAAAGGTCAAAGGGCGCTTGGCTGAGGCGCTCCAGAGAGATGATGACAGGGCTGCATACCTCCAGCACAGGAAGGGACCTCGCTCATTTTGAGTACTTCAGAACAGAAACAAAAACAAGAAACATGAATTTCAATCATTGTGTTACGGTGTGACAAAAAACATGCTAAATTCTCTTACAAATCACACAGGAAGGCCTTGACAAAGTAAAAACAGATGAAACATCAATTCCCATCATTTAATGAAATTAATGGTGTTAATTGATATTTTATCATTTTTTTTCTTTGCTGAGAACCTAAAACATTGGTTGCAGAAGTAGAATAGAATAGATGCAATTGTGGTATTTTTTATAAAGTATAGTATCTATTAGTGTAAATATTAAAGTTCAGAATATGGATAACAAACACTCAAAGACAGTATTGCCCAGCAGGAATATTCCTGACCTCTCCTCCTATTGGACAGACTTGTATGGGCCCCTTTCACATTGCCACTTTCTTTGGTTACTCAAAGGAGGTAACTGTGTTTCTAGTTTAACCAAAACAATTGGCACAGTCAATATTTAATGCATTCTGTTGTAACTCCAAACAAACACCACATTACATATTGCAATTCTTGAATGACTACATGCAATACGGTCAATGTAAACTGTCAAATGTAAAATGTAAAACTGAGGCAATTTGGAAAGTGGGTAGTTGTTCAAAGAAAACTGTGATGCATCTGTGTAGCACAAAAAGTATTATATGTAATGGAATATTACACGAATATAAAGTTCTACATTTTAACCCCTTAACAATCCAAGCTTATTACATACAAAGGCTTATTATTAAGTAGCTACAGGGACTTCAGTGCAAACTAATGAAGCTATTTTTAGGTTATAGAGGTGTGTAATGATACTTTGGCTTGTTAAGGGATTAAAAATGGCAAAACAGAATGAACACATTTAACCTATCAGGACAAGAACGAGTCACATAGTCATGGTAACAGTTGCAGCTATGAACACTGTGATTTCCTCCCTGGACTGATTTTGAACGTGTTGTGTGCTTGGTTGGGAATGAATCATTCAGAAGGTGTGGTTAACTTTGTGTGACATTGTGGCACTGAGGACAGTAGTAAGAGAGACTTAACGCTGCATCACAGAGGAGAACATTTAAAAATAAGACTTATTATTCAAATATATTCAGTCTGGATTATAAAAAAGTCAAGATACTGCAGGGTAAACTTGTAGGTTTTTGAGTCGGCTGAGGAGGAGTCATGAGTGAAGAAGGAAGGATGGTTTTTCAGATTAGCTAAAGCTAGAGCTAACAATTTGAAATTACATGGTTTATCTTTGCAATATGTTTTTTAAACCAAACGCCAAAGCAAGCACACTTTACAGCTCCACTGATTGGGGTATTTGTTATACTTAAACCCTAAATGCAATAACCTCCTTAAGAAACTGATGGAAGTGGCAAGCTAGAAACAAACCTCTGAAGTTGTGTTGGCATTCTGTAGCCAGCGCCATGCCAATATTAGGAACTCCAGGTCTAGGCAGCTTTTCTCCACAGAAAAAGTTGCAATTTTTGAAAAGCTTTTTTTCCCTATGGAGTAAAACAGCTTAGACCTGGAGTTCCTAATATTGGCATGATGACAGGACAACTTCTGAGGTCTGTGTGAAAAGGGCTGATATATCTAACAAAATGATAAAGATTATAAATAGCACAAATTATATTTCATGATTTAAAAAAAATCAATATGTAAAATATGAATTATTCAGAAGAGGTTGTTCATGAAGCAGGTGGTTAGTCAAGAGAAAACAATCAAAAGGGGGACAAGTAAAAACAAAGGGGGACAAGTGAAGTGGTACTTTCCACCTCTTTCTCTCTCTCTCTCTCTCTCTCTCTCTCTCTCTCGTACACACACACACACACACACACACACACACATAAACTCCCTTAAACATCCATAGTGTATTTTCTCCCATGTAATGCACTTGCCTTTCAGTCTGTTAGGAAACATCAGCATTCAACATTATGTTAGTTAAATCATTCTATGGACATTAATGACCTATTTAGCATAACCTCTAAATGCTACTTAAAACAAACAAACAGCAAAAAAAGAAGAAGAAAGAAATAAAAGAATAAGTTTTACACTGAATTTACTTTACTTGATTTAAATGTACACATCATTTCCACATGAATTAAATTAAACCGACACAATTTGTTCTTTCAAGTTTCTTACACTGTTAATAACTGTAGATGCAATGTATTTTATTTCTGTGGAATGGAGTGCACATTACTGTCAAGTAAAATCAGTGCATCACTTCTGTTCAGTTTAGAGGGCTTGACATTTGACCACAAGAAAGGTGCAAATAAAAGATTGGCTGAAGTTTAAATGAACAATAAACAATGGTTAAACTGATGATGTGCTGTGAACTACTGCTATTACTCCAACAACATCTATAGAGCACTGCTGCAGATGTTTAATCTGCACTCTGCTGATGATTCTCATTTTAGCTTGTACTCGACAATGTTGCAGTGAATATTTCCATAACAGGAAGGTTGAATTTGAAGTGTTAATGTGTGTGAAGACGCAGTGAAGAGGCAGCAGCAGTAACAGCGCTGAAAGTAGGTCACACAGCAGAGAGAGAAAAACAACATGTCAGTCAACCTGCTAGCACACATTCACCATGGCTCTCCACCAGCAGCATGTAGTAGCTGACCCAGCAGCCAGAGGGGCTGAGAATGAAAGGAAAACATGTGAGAAATGGACAGAATAAGATTTCAGAACATCTCTAAAACAGTGATTCTCAACCCCAGTCATTGGGAGTCACTACAATGTATATTTTGCCAGTTCTCCCAGAGCTGGGTGGTTCAGGTCCTGGTTTCTGTAGTTAATTCAAACCAGCAGCAAAGACGTTAAGGCAGTTGGAACAAAATTCTGCAAAGCATTTTTTACTATCTAACAGTGGGTCTGATATTTTCCTAATGAGGTTTAATGGGTGTTATAAGAAAGATGAAATCACTAAAGGGTGCAGGGCCTGGAGGCTTGAGCATAAGACTTAGAATGACTACACTATGTAATAAAATAAGAAAAACAATAATAAAGAAGGAGCTAATCTAGATGTCATTTCCCCTAAAGGGGAAATGACATCTAGAGTAGCACAGTTATTATAAAAGTCACTGGTCAAGTGAACAATTAAACTACTCTACCATAAAATATTGATAATTATTCTGCAGGGTGTTAAGAACAATAGTATAACTCATTTAGCTGATCTGTAATAATATATATATAGATATATATATATATATATATATATATATATATATGTATATATATATATATATATACACAGGAAGTGTCTATTCATTAAACTAAAACAAATAAGTTTAACAAGAACAAATACACAAATAAACAATTTGCTGTCAGTGTGTTAGCTTAACCAATTCCAAACCACTCCTCAAGGAAGGCCAGTATTTACACAATTATCCATCCAGTACATAATTCTGTAAATAGATCCATCACTAAATTAAATCAGGCATGCTGGTGAAAGAATTCATGAACCAAAGTGGCATTCATCTGTATTCAAAATATCTATAACATTGTCCTGTTAAGTATTGCTGTATTTATGTTTGTTTGTATACATTGTAATGTTTTATGGTATTACAACTGATAATAAGGCAAAAACAGCCTTATTATCAATTGCATGTTTGCACAATACTGTATGTACGGAATATATTACACACACACAAACATACAGTGTAGTAACAAAACAGGGAGAGTATTAGAAAGTACAAAGCAAAATGGAGAGAATGTTCAATAATTTAAAGCAAGACATTGCACTCTATAACAAAGTGCAAGAGGAGACAAAGCTTGATCTGTGACGGATGCTCTCAAAGAGGGGGAAGTAAAGCTGAAAAGCTCAGAGCAAAAGAGAATATTCCACGAGCCAAAAGTGAGCCTTAAGGCAAGTGAAAAAACTAAAAGTTACCAAGGTAAAAAGCAAGACAATAGCTCATAGCTTTTAGATCTACTGTTCAAAGACAAGGACAATGAGAATCTTGCACTGTCATGGCCGATTAGGATGGTGCTGCCACAGAAAAGCTGAGCATCTTCAACAACAAAAGCTTAAGGTCAGTAGGGTTCATGAATCATGGATTTTTATTCCTACCTGTAGAGTGGACGCAGCTGAGTCACTAGTCTCGGTCACGCCTGTACTCCTGGGTATACTGGACACGATGTATCTCGCCCCCTTTGGCACAGGCTGCCTAACTACCAGCTTCCCTTTCCTCGTCTCCGCTAGAAACAAACTGTACCAGTAGGCATCGTTGGACACCAGCGTGGAATCGGCGATGGTGGAGTTCCTCTCACTGATCACACTGTTCCTGCAGGGAGGAGCTGCTTTGCTGGGCTTCGGTTTCTGACACTTCAGCACGATGGTCACCAATATGGTGATCAGTAAGAGAAATGACACCGAGCCCAGTCCGATCACCAGATAAAGGTTCAAGTCTGAAAAGATGTCATACTCTAAAGGCACTTCAGTCAGGTCAGCATAGGTTTTCAGCGCGGCCTCCACCGTGGACAGTTTGATGGTGACTGTAGCGGAGAGCGAGGGCTCTCCGTTGTCCTTGGCGATCACCACCAGCCGCTGGTGGCGCGAGTCTCTGTAGCTGAACATCCTCATGGTCCGGATCTCTCCGTTGTACTGGTCCAAGCTGAACAATGTAGCATCGGTGTTCTGGAGAAACTGGTAGGTGATGCGAGAGTTGTGCACCGAGTCGGTGTCAATAGCGATCACTTTGGCTATCAGAGTTCCTTTATCCGTGGATCTCTGGATTTTTTCCTCCACCACTGAGCCGTGCGCGCGCCATGGAGACACTATAAGCGGTGGGTTGTCGTTCTGGTCCATTATAATGATGTGAACGGTCATGTTGCTGCTGAGCGGAGGAACGCCAGAGTCTCTGGCCTCGATGTGGAAAAGGAACTCCTTCTCTATCTCATAATCAAACGTCTTCAGTGCGTAAAGGTTCCCGTTCTCTGGATTGATGGAGAACAGCATGGACATGGAGGTGTTCGCTATTTCCTTCTCTATTATGAAATATACTAGATACTGATTTTCATGGAGGTCTGGGTCGTGTGCGGTGAGGGAGCTCAATAAAGCTCCTGGGGCGTTATTTTCCACAACCTGTATGGTGTAGAATGACTGTGGAAACTGAGGAACGTTGTCGTTAACGTCCAGCAGCTCTAAAGTCATAGTTTCATTATCAGATAACGGAGGGTTTCCTCTGTCTGTGACGGTGAATGTGATGTCATACTCTGGAACCTTTTCACGGTCTAATGGTTCTGATACCGCGAGCTCATAATAATTATCAGATGATTCTTTAAGCGTAAAAGGCAATTCATCAGAAATATGAATATCTATTTGACCGTTTTCTCCTGAGTCTTTATCACTCACACTAACTACTGCTATCACTGTTCCTACAGCTATGTCTTCTTTAACTGGACTAGTAAACGACTTTATGGAAATTTCCGGATGATTGTCGTTCATATCTGTGATTAAAATCGTTATTTTGCACTGACCCGAAAGACTATTCGCTCCTTTATCTGTTGCTATTATTTCCATGTTATAGATTTTGAAATCTTCATAGTTTACCATTTCTTTAACTCTGATCTCACCATTTTCTGAATTCAAACTGAAAGTACTTTGTGTTTTCTCCGACGTATAAAGACTGAAAGAGTACTCAATCTCCGAATTTGATCCCTCGTCTCTATCTGTTGCGTTTAGTTTGACTACAAGGTATCCAATTGGTGAGTTTTCTGTTAGATTTATGGTATAGCTGTCTTTGTCAAACTGAGGGGCGTTGTCATTGGTATCCAGCACGCGCACAATAATGCTGGCTGTACCAGAACGAGTAGGTACTCCACCATCTACAGCAGTGAGTATCAAGTGGTGGACTGCCTGTTCTTCACGGTCTAGAGCTTTTTTAAGTATCAGATCTGTAAATTTTGACCCATCTCTTCCTGTCTGAATTTCAATAGCAAAGTGCTCACTTTCACTTAAGTAGTATGTCTTTATAGAATTCGAGCCAAAATCAGGATCCACTGCATTATTCAATGAAAATCTTTCACCAACAGGGGTGGACTCAGATATATCTAGGTGTATAGTGTCTCGCCTGAAGTGAGGGGCATTATCATTGATGTCTACAATTTCAAGTTCTATGTTAAATATACGTTTCGGGTTTTCAATGGTCACATCCATTTTAAGAAAGCACGAAGAGGTTTTTATATTACATAGTAGCTCCCTATCTATCTTTTCTGCTATGAATAGTTCCCCAGTATCTTTATTTACGTCGAGATACTTCCTGTTTGCGATGACATCTAATCTCATACTCCTTTTATTCAAGCTCCTCACATCTAAACCCAAATCTGTGGCCAGGTTAGCAACAACCGAACCTTCTTCCATTTCTTCAGGAATGGAATAGTGCGTAACGGCAGACGCTGTGTTAATCAACGCAGTCAGAAGAAAGATGGAAACGTACCTTCTCTGAAATTGTGTCGCTAAATACCTCTCCATAGTCCTTGCGTGTAAATAGACGAATGTCATATGAAAAAAATCTCGAACGACTATTGTACCTTTTCCGTCAGTTCAGATTTATTCCCAAGAGGAAAGCAAATGAAGTCTCAATACAGGATGCAGCAAACAAACAGAACACACTGAGCAGCTGGGGCACAGCGCATGAGTGAAAAACGCGATGCTCTCCTTGGAATGACGGGGTGTCATGGAGGCTTCGTTGCAAAAGTATTCGTTGGTGAACAGCGACGCATTGCGCACAAAGCTGGATTCGTTTATTACACTTCTTGTGTTTCATTTTAAAAAAGAGGTGCTCTATTGCTTTTCACAAAATTAGTAACAACCAAAATAAAATAAATATAGTCATGACAAGCAGGCTTACAAACAAAATTAACAAGTCAGCCAACTCTGTACGAAATGACCAGACCTAACAGTAATATCACTAAAAGCATAGAATAGCCACACGAAAAATGATTTACCTGTAAAGTGGACGCAGCTGAGTCACTTGTCTCGGTCATTCCTGTGCTCCTGGGTATACTGGACACGATGTATCGCGCCCCCTTTGGCACAGGCTGCCTAACTACCAGCTTCCCTTTCCTCGTCTCCGCTAGAAACAAACTGTACCAGTAGGCATCGTTGGACACCAGCGTGGAATCGGCGATGGTGGAGTTCCTCTCACTGATCACACTGTTCCTGCAGGGAGGAGCTGCTTTGCTGGGCTTCGGTTTCTGACACTTCAGTACGATGGTCACCAATATGGTGATCAGTAAGAGAAATGACACCGAGCCCAGTCCGATCACCAGATACAGGTTCAGATCTGAAAAGATGTCATACTCTAAAGGCACTTCAGTCAAGTCAGCATAGGTTTTCAGCGCGGTCTCCACCGTGGACAGTTTGATGGTGACTGTAGCAGAGAGCGAGGGCTCTCCGTTGTCCTTGGCGATCACCACCAGCCGCTGGTGGCGCGAGTCTCTGTAGCTGAACATCCTCATTGTCCGGATCTCTCCGTTGTACTGGTCCAAGCTGAACAATGTAGCATCAGTGTTCTGGAGAAACTGGTAGGTGATGCGAGAGTTGTGCACCGAGTCGGTGTCAATAGCGATCACTTTGGCTATCAGAGTTCCTTTATCGGTGGATCTCTGGATTTTTTCCTCCACCACTGAGCCGTGCGCGCGCCATGGAGACACTATAAGCGGTGTGTTGTCGTTCTGGTCCATTATAATGATGTGAACGGTCACGTTGCTGCTGAGTGGAGGAACGCCAGAGTCTCTGGCCTCGATGTGGAAAAGGAACTCCTTCTCTATCTCATAATCAAACGTCTTCAGTGCGTAAAGGTTCCCGTTCTCTGGATTGATGGAGAACAGCATGGACATGGAGGTGTTCGCTATTTCCTTCTCTATTATGAAATATACTAGATACTGATTTTCATGGAGGTCTGGGTCGTGTGCGGTGAGGGAGCTCAATAAAGCTCCTGGGGCGTTATTTTCCACAACCTGTATGGTGTAGAATGACTGTGGAAACTGAGGAACGTTGTCGTTAACGTCCAGCAGCTCTAAAGTCATAGTTTCATTATCAGATAACGGAGGGTTTCCTCTGTCTGTCACGGTGAATGTGATGTCATACTCTGGAACCTTTTCACGGTCTAACGGTTCTGACACCACGAGCTCATAATAATTATCAGATGATTCTTTAAGCGTAAAAGGCAATTCATCAGAAATATGAATATCTATTTGACCGTTTTCTGCTGAATCTTTATCACTCACACTAACTACTGCTATCACTGTACCTACAGCTATATCTTCTTTAACTGGACTAGTAAACGACTTTATGGAAATTTGTGGATGATTGTCATTCATATCTGTTATTAAAATCGTTAATTTACATTTTCCTGATAATGAATTTGCTCCTTTGTCAGTTGCTATAATTTCCATAGTATATATTTTGAAATCCTCAAAATTGATCATTTCTTTCACTCTAATTTCTCCATTTTCTGGATTCAAACTGAAAGTCTCCTGTGTTTTTTCCGAAGTATAAAGACTGAAAGCATACACAATCTCTGAATTTGATCCATCGTCTTTATCACCGGCATTTAATTTGACTACAAGGCTTCCAATCGGTGAGTTTTCTGTTAAGTTAATGGTGTAACTTTCTTTTTCAAACTGAGGTGCGTTGTCGTTGGTATCCAGCACGCGCACAATGATGCTGGCTGTACCAGAGCGCGCGGGGACTCCGCCATCTACGGCAGTGAGTATTAAATTATGAACAGCCTGTTCTTCTCTGTCTAAAGCCTTTTTCAGAATCAAATCGGCAAACTTGGATCCATCTCGTCCGGTCTGAATCTCAATGCTGAAATGGTCACTTTCACTCAGATAATACGTTTTAACGGAATTTGAGCCAGTGTCCGGATCCACAGCATTAGTCAGCGAAAATCTCTCCCCCACGGTGGTTGCCTCTGATATGTCTAAGTGCATTGTGTCCCTTCGAAAATGAGGAGCATTGTCATTAATGTCCATTATCTCAAGTTCAATGTTGAAAAGTCGAACTGGGTTTTCTATTGTGGCATCCAGCTTGAGAACACACGTTGTGACAGACTTTGAAGTACAAAAATACTCCCTGTCGATTCTCTCTACAATGTACATCTCCCCTGTGTCTTTGTTAACGTCTAAGTATTTCCTGTTTGAAGCGACATCCAAGCGCATTTTTCGTTCACTGAGAGTTTTTAAATCCAGGCCCAAATCAGCTGCCAAATTCGCAACTACGGATCCTTCTTCCATTTCTTCTGGGATGGAGTAATGAGTAACAGAAAGAGTTGGTTCAAAGACAATGGACAGCAAGCAGAAAAACGAGACATACCTTAAACCTGGCTGGACATTCATATTCGCTTCCTTTGTGAGCTTCAGGCGCAATACAATCAGTGGAATCACAAATAAGTCCAAAAAGCAAAGACGTAAGAAGAAAGAAGCTCGGCCAGAAGCAGTGAAAGTATAAAAACGCAACGATGAAGGCTGTCAGACTAAAGAGAATAAAGAAGGGTAGTCCTGCAAGCGAAGACTGCGACCGAGGCTTCACAAAGAGGAACTGTCATGACGTCTACTCGCTCATGGTGAAGTTGGTTTTCATGGTGAACAGCGACTCTTTGCGCACAAGATTAGGTCTGCGTGTCTGTGCATAAAGCACTAGAACACATATATTGTGAAACATTCCATTTGGAGAATGGAACAAAATACTTAAAATGTGGAAAATTGCAGTTTTAATTACATCAATGCATTAAAGTTAAATATATTAGAACATACTGGCTGCTGTTTTGGAAGAGACTAATGAAGTCACAGACAAGATGAACCATTATATTGCAATCAAGCTCAAAATACAGTGACTAATGAAATAAAAGAAAAATAGTAATTTTAATTCAAAGAAGTGCTATTAGCCATCATATTTTAATAATCATAAATACTGACCTGAAAATAGATAAAGTAATGTGTCACTATTTTATCTTCCTACCTGCAGAGTGGACGCAGCTGAGTCACTAGTCTCGGTCACGCCAGTACTCCTGGGTATACTGGACACGATGTACCGCGCCCCCTTTGGCACAGGCTGCCTAACTACCAGCTTCCCTTTCCTCGTCTCTGCTAGAAACAAACTGTACCAGTAGGCATCGTTGGACACCAGCGTGGAATCGGCGATGGTGGAGTTCCTCTCACTGATCACACTGTTCCTGCAGGGAGGAGCTGCTTTGCTGGGCTTCGGTTTCTGACACTTCAGCACGATGGTCACCAATATGGTGATCAGTAAGAGAAATGACACCGAGCCCAGTCCGATCACCAGATACAGGTTCAGGTCTGAAAAGATGTCATACTCTAAAGGCACTTCAGTCAAGTCAGCATAGGTTTTCAGCGCGGTCTCCACCGTGGACAGTTTGATGGTGACTGTAGCAGAGAGCGAGGGCTCTCCGTTGTCCTTGGCGATCACCACCAGCCGTTGGTGGCGCGAGTCTCTGTAGCTGAACATCCTCATGGTCCGGATCTCTCCGTTGTACTGGTCCAAGCTGAACAATGTAGCATCGGTGTTCTGGAGAAACTGGTAGGTGATGCGAGAGTTGTGCACCGAGTCGGTGTCAATAGCGATCACTTTGGCTATCAGAGTTCCTTTATCGGTGGATCTCGGGATTTTTTCCTCCACCACTGAGCCGTGCGCGCGCCATGGAGACACTATAAGCGGTGTGTTGTCGTTCTGGTCCATTATAATGATATGAACGGTCACGTTGCTGCTAAGTGGAGGAATGCCAGAGTCTCTGGCCTCGATGTGGAAAAGGAACTCCTTCTCTATCTCATAATCAAACGTCTTCAGTGCGTAAAGGTTCCCGTTCTCTGGATTGATGGAGAACAGCATGGACATGGAGGTGTTCGCTATTTCCTTCTCTACTATGAAATACACTAGATACTGATTTTCATGGAGGTCTGGGTCGTGTGCGGTGAGGGAGCTCAATAAAGCTCCTGGGGCGTTATTTTCCACAACCTGTATGGTGTAGAATGACTGTGGAAACTGAGGAACGTTGTCGTTAACGTCCAGCAGCTCTAAAGTCATAGTTTCATTATCAGATAACGGAGGGTTTCCTCTGTCTGTGACGGTGAATGTGATGTCATACTCTGGAACCTTTTCACGGTCTAACGGTTCTGACACCACGAGCTCAAAATAATTATCAGATGATTCTTTAAGCGTAAAAGGCAATTCATCAGAAATATGAATATCGATTTGACCGTTTTCTCCTGAGTCTTTATCACTCACACTAACTACTGCTATCACTGTACCTACAGCCATGTCTTCTTTAACTGGACTAGTAAACGACTTTATGGAAATTTCCGGGTGATTGTCGTTCATATCTGTAATTATAATTCTTACTTTGCACTTTCCTGACAAGGCATTTGTACCTTTATCTGTAGCTAATATCTCCATGTCATATATCTTAAAATCCTCATAGTTAATCATTTCTTTCACTCTGATCTCCCCATTATTAGGATTTAATGTAAAGGTCTCTTGGGTTTTCTCTGAAGTATATAAACTAAATGAATAATTTATGTCCGAATTTGTTCCTTCGTCTAAATCAGTTGCATTTAATTTGACAACCAGACTCCCAATTGGCGAATTTTCGCTTAAATTAATAGTATAACTTTCCTTGTCGAATTTAGGGGCGTTATCATTCGTGTCTAGTACACGGACAATAATGCTTGCGGTCCCAGAGCGAGAAGGCTTTCCGCCATCTACAGCAGTTAGCATTAGATTATGCACAGCTTGCTCCTCGCGGTCTAAAGGCTTTTTCAGAATTAAATCAGCAAATTTTGACCCATCTCTGCCTGTCTGTACTTCAATTTCAAAATGATCACTTTCACTCAAATAATACGTCCTTATTGAATTTGACCCAATGTCCGGGTCTACTGCATTGCTCAATGAAAATCTTTCACCTGCAGGGGTAGACTCTGACACGTCCAAATTAATCGTATCTCTGCGGAAATATGGAACGTTGTCGTTAATATCCTGTATTTCTATTTCAATGTTGAATATGCGTACAGGATTATCCAAAATCACCTCCATTTTAAGATAGCAAGTAGATTTTGATATGCAAAGATATTCACGGTCAATCCTCTCCAAAATAAACAACTCTCCTGTGTCTTTGTTCACCTCCAAATATTTCTTATTGGCAATTATATCTAATCGCACCTTTCGCCTTGCCAATGTTGTCACGTCGAGTCCTAAATCAGAAGCCAAATTAGCAACGACAGATCCAACTTCCAGCTCCTCTGGAATCGAATAATGATTCACCGAAGTGGTTGAGGGAACCACGGCCGAAAAAAGAAGCAACGCTATGACATACCTTCTCCAGGGCTGTGCCTCCATTGTTAGTATCACAGAACACTATGCAAACTGATAAAGCCAGTAAAAATTCCACACAAGGACAGATGAAACGGAACACGCGATTAATCAAAACTGTTTCTAATTTAAAGATATAAACTGGAATAATCCGTTCTCCATCCAGAGGCAAAGTACATACACAGGTTTGCATCCGTGCGCCCGCACCAACAGACACACACTACAGACTGTCATGGCGACAACAAAAGAAAAGAAAACAGTGTTTAACTGGCGAACAGCGACACTTTGTGCATGTTTCGAAGAATTACCAGTCAAGCAAACATTCGTGTGTTAGGCAAAATAACTTTTAAAACATATACAAAGCGCATATATTCCACAGCTTTGCCAGAAAGAAGAGGCAATACAAGGAAAAAAGGGACAAACGGAAAGAGAGTTGTGTTTTTACCTGTAGAGTGGACGCAGCTGAGTCACTAGTCTCGGTCATGCCTGTACTCCTGGGTATACTGGACACAATGTATCGCGCCCCCTTTGGCACAGGCTGCCTAACTACCAGCTTCCCTTTCCTCGTCTCCGCTAGAAACAAACTGTACCAGTAGGCATCGTTGGACACCAGCGTGGAATCGGCGATGGTGGAGTTCCTCTCACTGATCACACTGTTCCTGCAGGGAGGAGCTGCTTTGCTGGGCTTCGGTTTCTGACACTTCAGTACGATGGTCACCAATATGGTGATCAGTAAGAGAAATGACACCGAGCCCAGTCCGATCACCAGATACAGGTTCAAGTCTGAAAAGATGTCATACTCTAAAGGCACTTCAGTCAAGTCAGCATAGGTTTTTAGCGCGGTCTCCACCGTGGACAGTTTGATGGTGACTGTAGCAGAGAGCGAGGGCTCTCCGTTGTCCTTGGCGATCACCACCAGCCGCTGGTGGCGCGAGTCTCTGTAGCTGAACATCCTCATGGTCCGGATCTCTCCGTTGTACTGGTCCAAGCTGAACAATGTAGCATCAGTGTTCTGGAGAAACTGGTAGGTGATGCGAGAGTTGTGCACCGAGTCGGTGTCAATAGCGATCACTTTGGCTATCAGAGTTCCTTTATCGGTGGATCTCTGGATTTTTTCCTCCACCACTGAGCCGTGCGCGCGCCATGGAGACACTATAAGCGGTGTGTTGTCGTTCTGGTCCATTATAATGATGTGAACGGTCACGTTGCTGCTGAGCGGAGGAACGCCAGAGTCTCTGGCCTCGATGTGGAAAAGGAACTCCTTCTCTATCTCATAATCAAACGTCTTCAGTGCGTAAAGGTTCCCGTTCTCTGGGTTGATGGAGAACAGCATGGACATGGAGGTGTTCGCTATTTCCTTCTCTATTATGAAATACACTAGATACTGATTTTCATGGAGGTCTGGGTCGTGTGCGGTGAGGGAGCTCAATAAAGCTCCTGGGGCGTTATTTTCCACAACCTGTATGGTGTAGAATGACTGTGGAAACTGAGGAACGTTGTCGTTAACGTCCAGCAGCTCTAAAGTCATAGTTTCATTATCAGATAACGGAGGGTTTCCTCTGTCTGTCACGGTGAATGTGATGTCATACTCTGGAACCTTTTCACGGTCTAACGGTTCTGACACCACGAGCTCATAATAATTATCAGATGATTCTTTAAGCGTAAAAGGCAATTCATCAGAAATATGAATATCTATTTGACCGTTTTCTCCTGAGTCTTTATCACTCACACTAACTACTGCTATCACTGTACCTACAGCTATATCTTCTTTAACTGGACTAGTAAACGACTTTATGGAAATTTCCGGATGATTGTCGTTCATATCTGTTATGATAATTGTTAGTTTACACTGCCCAGATAAGGAATTAGTTCCTTTGTCTGTTGCTATTATTTCCATGTTATAGATCTTAAAATCTTCATAGTTAATCATCTCTTTAACCCTAATCTCCCCATTGCTTGGATTTAAACTGAATGTCTCTTGAGTTTTTTCCGAAGTATAAAGACTAAAAGAGTACATTATTTCAGAATTAGTTCCCTCATCTCTGTCTGTTGCGTTCAGTTTGACTACAAGGCTTCCAATCGGTGAGTTTTCTGTTAAGTTTATGGTATAACTGTCTTTTTCAAACTGAGGTGCGTTGTCGTTGGTATCCAGCACGCGCACAATGATGCTGGCTGTACCAGAGCGCGCGGGGACTCCGCCATCTACGGCAGTGAGTATTAAATTATGAACAGCCTGTTCTTCTCTGTCTAAAGCCTTTTTCAGAATCAAATCAGCAAACTTAGAGCCGTCTCTGCCGGTCTGTATTTCAACTGCAAAATGAGCACTTTCGCTTAAGTAATATGTATTTATGGAATTACTTCCTATATCTGGGTCCAGGGCATTGTTCAGGGACAGTCTTTCACCAGCAGGCGTTGATTCGGATATATCTAAATGCATTGTGTCTCTCCTAAAATATGGAGCGTTATCGTTGATATCTATTATTTCTATCTCAATGTTGAAAATTCTAACTGGATTTTCAATCGTTGCATCTAGTTTTAGAAAACACGTCATTTTAGAATTACAAAGATATTCTCTGTCTATTTTTTGTAAAATATACAGCTCACCGGTTTCTTTGTTAATATCCAAGTATTTCTTCGTAGCAATCGTATCCAAACGCATTTTCCGCTTACTCAGCGTTTTCACATCCAGCCCTAAATCAGCGGCTAAATTGGCGACCACAGATCCTTCTTCCATTTCCTCCGGGATTGAGTAATGAGTCACGGCAGGCGCAGTTTTAAAGACAGCAGACAGCATGAAGAAAACCGTGACGTACCTTAACAGAGCCTGGCTTCTCATTTTCGCTTCCGTTCTTTGTCAGCACTCAGCACCATATGATCACATGCACATTAGGCCACAGAATATCACGAGAAAATCCCACAAAAAAAGAAAAAAAAATATCACTGAAGGTCGCGGTTGAAGGAGTGAATCGTTCTGCAGACAAAGACTGTGATGTCTTCTTCATGTGATACTGTTATGGCGACAAGCGGATCTGATTTTTCCCAGTACATTTTCCTGAAGAACAGCGACTCTTTGCGCATAAGGGAAGCAGGTACACTTTAGCAGCAATAATTACAAGCCAAAGCTACCTTGAAGAATAATCCGTTTTGAAGGAAAGAAAAAGGAGAATATCAAATGGAGAAGTGTGTGAGGAAATGCGAGCATAACTGACAAGAAAGTTAGAGTACAGCAGAGTAATGGAGGTGATGTACTGACCGTGATCTGCTAACAACATAAGCACCATGCGTTCAGTAAGGAGTTCAGATCTTGGGATCAGAGCATTAAATAAAGTTCAGGAAGTAAATCCAAGACATCTGTTACATGACAGCAGGCAATGCAATATTTTGCCCATTAAACATCTATGAATGTCAGTCATATTCTATACCCTCCAGAATCGCAGACACTCTCAGTAAATATGAGTAAAAAGACTTTAAAATAATGTCAGTTTTATTGTTCATCTTCATCTAACGCTAAAAATGAGCGAATTTTTTAGTGAAATTTAAAAAAAATCGCATGTCAGTAACTGATACTCCTTCAAATATTACCTTATGCATCATTCCTTTGCTAAAATATCAGCACTGGGTCTTCTCTTTTGATTCTATCAAATTTTAATATTCAATATCTAAAACATTTTTTGTGTTTATTTTATACAACCCGTTATGTCAGGTATTCTAAGAAGATTTGTAAGCTTTTTATAAAAAACAAACATCCCCAACATCAAAGTTCCACCGCTGTATTTCACAGTGGGCATTACAGGCCCCTTGCTATATAACCACGACTCCTTTAAAGCCGAACAGATCTCTGAAGCTTGTTGCCAAATAACTTTATTTTAGTCAGTAGTTTTGACATATGTTTTGGAGATTTTGTTTAAATCTTACCTCAGTGAAAAATCTCTCATATTTTCAGTTCAACGACAACGTAATGGAACATAAACATTTCTGCATAGAGTTTATACTTTAATAAACGATGCAAACAATTCTGGAGCGGAGAGTTTAGCACTATGAATATATAAAAATGCATAAATATAGCAAATCCTGCTACTGTCTTTGGACCACATCGCCTCACTTCTGTTGGCAACCAAAATGAGGGTTTTTATGTATCTAAGTGGTAACACATATGGATGTAAAAAAGAGCAGGAATATGTTACAGTGCTGAAGGACAGATAGGACAGATATTATAATAAAGAGCAAGCTGGTGTTTGTAAAGAGAGAAGAGAGTGTCCATTATTCAAAAACTAAAGAGTTGACGTGACAAATAGTTTTGGAACTCCACTTATACCAGATAGAATTTTACATAACTACATTTGAAAGATGTGGAACGTAGAATTATGTAAACCATCATAAGAAAGCAATTCGTGTAGATCAATTTAGATATTAAAAGCATAACCCAGCATATATATTCAGTATATTCGCAGTCTGCATGATTTCTATATATTCGTGTCGAGTGTATACTGAACTGATACTGAGAAGAAAAAGCACTTCACATTTCTTAAAAACGTGATTTGGATACAGTGACTATAAGTGACTCAAAGAGGAGGGATCTCATAAAACTGTAAGGCGCAAATTAGTTGCTATTATTATTATTATTATTATTATTATCATTACTGAATCCATAGACAGGTAGTAAGATAGCTAAAATGAATACTGTTGCATAGCATACTGTTGTAAGATTCACACGAAATGTTTTGTGATAAACAAGCATGTAAATGATGCTCTTTCTGAGCAAAATGACAAGAAAAAATGTAGATTTTAGATCATTCTTGAGTCACTAGGCAGTAATCCCATTTAGGAAGATATTGAAATTCTTCTTCGTCCTACCTGTAGAGTGGACGCAGCTGAGTCACTAGTCTCGGTCACGCCTGTACTCCTGGGTATACTGGACACGATGTATCGCGCCCCCTTTGGCACAGGCTGCCTCACTACCAGCTTCCCTTTCCTCGTCTCCGCTAGAAACAAACTGTACCAGTAGGCATCGTTGGACACCAGCGTGGAATCGGCGATGGTGGAGTTCCTCTCACTGATCACACTGTTCCTGCAGGGAGGAGCTGCTTTGCTGGGCTTCGGTTTCTGACACTTCAGCACGATGGTCACCAATATGGTGATCAGTAAGAGAAATGACACCGAGCCCAGTCCGATCACCAGATACAGGTTCAAGTCTGAAAAGATGTCATACTCTAAAGGCACTTCAGCCAAGTCAGCATAGGTTTTCAGCGCGGTCTCCACCGTGGACAGTTTGATGGTGACTGTAGCAGAGAGCGAGGGCTCTCCGTTGTCCTTGGCGATCACCACCAGCCGCTGGTGGCGCGAGTCTCTGTAGCTGAACATCCTCATGGTCCGGATCTCTCCGTTGTACTGGTCCAAGCTGAACAATGTAGCATCGGTGTTCTGGAGAAACTGGTAGGTGATGCGAGAGTTGTGCACCGAGTCCGTGTCAATAGCGATCACTTTGGCTATCAGAGTTCCTTTATCGGTGGATCTCTGGATTTTTTCCTCCACCACTGAGCCGTGCGCGCGCCATGGAGACACTATAAGCGGTGTGTTGTCGTTCTGGTCCATTATAATGATGTGAACGGTCACGTTGCTGCTGAGCGGAGGAACGCCAGAGTCTCTGGCCTCGATGTGGAAAAGGAACTCCTTCTCTATCTCATAATCAAACGTCTTCAGTGCGTAAAGGTTCCCGTTCTCTGGATTGATGGAGAACAGCATGGACATGGAGGTGTTCGCTATTTCCTTCTCTATTATGAAATACACTAGATACTGATTTTCATGGAGGTCTGGGTCGTGTGCGGTGAGGGAGCTCAATAAAGCTCCTGGGGCGTTATTTTCCACAACCTGTATGGTGTAGAATGACTGTGGAAACTGAGGAACGTTGTCGTTAACGTCCAGCAGCTCTAAAGTCATAGTTTCATTATCAGATAACGGAGGGTTTCCTCTGTCTGTGACGGTGAATGTGATGTCATACTCTGGAACCTTTTCACGGTCTAACGGTTCTGACACCACGAGCTCATAATAATTATCAGATGATTCTTTAAGCGTAAAAGGCAATTCATCAGAAATATGAATATCTATTTGACCGTTTTCTCCTGAGTCTTTATCACTCACACTAACTACTGCTATCACTGTACCTACCGCTATATCTTCTTTAACTGGACTAGTAAACGACTTTATGGAAATTTCTGGGTGATTGTCATTCATATCTGTAATTAAAATTGTTACTTTGCATTGTCCAGAGAGACTATTAACCCCCTTATCCGTTGCTATTATCTCCATGTCATAAATCCTGAAATCCTCATAATTGATCATTTCTTTAACTCTGATCTCACCATTATCAGGGTTTAGACTGAAAGTTTCCTGAGTCTTCTCAGATGTGTAAAGACTAAACGAATAAACTATATCTGAATTTGATCCTTCGTCCAGATCTGTTGCGTTTAACTTTACAACGAGGCTTCCAATTGGTGAGTTTTCCATTAAATGTATTTTATAGCTGTCTTTATCAAATTTCGGGGCGTTGTCATTTGTATCCAGTACGCGCACTATAATGCTTGCTGTGCCGGAGCGCGCAGGGACTCCGCCATCCACTGCTGTGAGTATTAGATTGTGAATGGCCTGCGTCTCTCGGTCCAAAACCCGTCTTAGAATTAAATCAGCAAATTTGGAACCGTCTCTACCGGTTTGTATTTCAATGTCAAAATGCTCGCTCTCGCTCAGATAATAGGTTTTAATGGAGTTCGATCCTATGTCAGGGTCAACAGCATTACTGAGAGAGAAACGCTCACCCGCAGGGGTGGACTCTGATATATCCAGGTGTATGGTGTCTCTCCGAAACTGAGGTGCATTATCGTTTATATCCACTATTTCAATTTCAATGTTGAATATTCGTACTGGATCATCAAGAATAACTTCCGTTTTAACTAAGCATGTTGTTGCTGTTTTGCTACAGAGATACTCTCTATCCATCTTTTCCAAAATGTAAAGCTCTCCGGTTTCTTTGTTTATTTCAAGGTACTTCTTATTCGAAATTATGTCCAGCCTCATTTTTCGTCTACTCAGTGTTTTCACGTCCAGTCCCAAATCTGTAGCTAAATTCGCCACAACAGATCCTTCTTCCATTTCTTCTGGGATAGAATAATGAGTAACAGCAGTCGCTCCGCATAAGAAAGCAGCGAAAAGAAGAAAGACTGACACGTACCTCCGTAGCTGTGCCTTCATAAAGTCTTCCATTGCTTCACATCGATACGTTCCCATTACTCGTAAGTTTGTACAATCTACTATGTTCCTGGCGACAAAAACACGTCGAAATATTTATTCCCTCTGTGAAATTCTATAAGATCCACATGGACAGGCGGAAGGGCTTTGTGTGCGTGTCCTCACAGTGAAACACTGAAATGGCGACTAAACATTAAAGCTTTTTTTTAAGAGAACAGCGACGCTCTGCGTTTAAGTTCATGGAATACACCAATTTGGTCCAGATATCAGTGCTTTCAGTTGTACCAGTTTTGAAAGATAAACATTTTAAAATTTAAATACATTGTGAAGAAATAAATAAGTGAAAATTTATGTTTCCACTGCGTATTTACATATTACACTGAGTCCTCAAACCAAAAACGATAAGTGTGTGTGTGTGTGTGTGTAAAGGTAAAGTTCAATTGTGAGTCGTATGAGAAAACAATTTTCCCAGTGACAGCTGCGTTTTTCTTACCTGTAGAGTGGACGCAGCTGAGTCACTTGTCTCGGTCACGCCTGTACTCCTGGGTATACTGGACACGATGTATCGCGCCCCCTTTGGCACAGGCTGCCTAACTACCAGCTTCCCTTTCCTCGTCTCTGCTAGAAACAAACTGTACCAGTAGGCATCGTTGGACACCAGCGTGGAATCGGCGATGGTGGAGTTCCTCTCACTGATCACACTGTTCCTGCAGGGAGGAGCTGCTTTGCTGGGCTTCGGTTTCTGACACTTCAGCACGATGGTCACCAATATGGTGATCAGTAAGAGAAATGACACCGAGCCCAGTCCGATCACCAGATACAGGTTCAAGTCTGAAAAGATGTCATACTCTAAAGGCACTTCAGTCAAGTCAGCATAGGTTTTCAGCGCGGTCTCCACCGTGGACAGTTTGATGGTGACTGTAGCAGAGAGCGAGGGCTCTCCGTTGTCCTTGGCGATCACCACCAGCCGCTGGTGGCGCGAGTCTCTGTAGCTGAACATCCTCATGGTCCGGATCTCTCCGTTGTACTGGTCCAAGCTGAACAATGTAGCATCGGTGTTCTGGAGAAACTGGTAGGTGATGCGAGAGTTGTGCACCGAGTCGGTGTCAATAGCGATCACTTTGGCTATCAGAGTTCCTTTATCGGTGGATCTCTGGATTTTTTCCTCCACCACTAAGCCGTGCGCGCGCCATGGAGACACTATAAGCGGTGTGTTGTCGTTCTGGTCCATTATAATGATGTGAACGGTCACGTTGCTGCTGAGCGGAGGAACGCCAGAGTCTCTGGCCTCGATGTGGAAAAGGAACTCCTTCTCTATCTCATAATCAAACGTCTTCAGTGCGTAAAGGTTCCCGTTCTCTGGATTGATGGAGAACAGCATGGACATGGAGGTGTTCGCTATTTCCTTCTCTATTATGAAATACACTAGATACTGATTTTCATGGAGGTCTGGGTCGTGTGCGGTGAGGGAGCTCAATAAAGCTCCTGGGGCGTTATTTTCCACAACCTGTATGGTGTAGAATGACTGTGGAAACTGAGGAACGTTGTCGTTAACGTCCAGCAGCTCTAAAGTCATAGTTTCATTATCAGATAACGGAGGGTTTCCTCTGTCTGTGACGGTGAATGTGATGTCATACTCTGGAACCTTTTCACGGTCTAACGGTTCTGACACCACGAGCTCATAATAATTATCAGATGATTCTTTAAGCGTAAAAGGCAATTCATCAGAAATATGAATATCTATTTGACCGTTTTCTCCTGAGTCTTTATCACTCACACTAACTACTGCTATCACTGTACCTACAGCTATATCTTCTTTAACTGGGCTCGAGAATGATTTAATAGATATTTCTGGATGGTTATCATTCATATCTGTGATTAAAATTCTTACTTTGCATTTTCCTGATAAGGAGTTTACTCCTTTGTCTGTTGCCACTACTTCCATATCATAAATTCTGAAATCTTCGTAATTAATCATTTCTCTAACTCTGATTTCACCATTTTCTGGATTTAAGCTGAACGTGTCCTGTGTTTTCTCTGACGTATATAAACTATATGCATATACGATGTCAGAATTTGATCCCTCATCTGCGTCTTTTGCGTTTAATTTGACTACAAGGCTTCCTATCGGTGAGTTTTCTGTTAAGTTAATGGTGTAACTTTCTTTTTCAAACTGAGGTGCGTTGTCGTTGGTATCCAAAACGCGCACAATGATGCTGGCTGTGCCAGAGCGCGCGGGGACTCCGCCATCTACAGCAGTGAGTATTAAATTATGAACAGCCTGTTCTTCTCGGTCTAAAGCCTTTTTCAGAATCAAATCTGTGAACTTTGATCCATCACGACCCGTCTGGATCTCAATGGAAAAGTGATCACTGTCACTAAGATAGTAGGTTTTAATCGAATTTACACCAATATCCGGATCAATCGCATTATTTAAAGAGAATCGCTCTCCAACAGGGGTCGATTCAGAAATATCTAAATGCATTGTGTCTCTTCTAAAATGGGGCGCATTGTCGTTAATATCTACAATTTCCAGTTCAATGTTAAACATGCGCACTGGGTTTTCTATTGTTGCATCTAGTTTCAAAATACATGTAGCTGCTGATTTTGTGGTGCAAATATGTTCTCGATCAATCCTTTCCGAGATGAACAGCTCGCCTGTGTCTTTGTTAATATCCAGATATTTTTTATTAGACAATGTATCCAGTCGTATCTTCCGTTTATTCAGTGTCCTCACATCCAGTCCAAGATCCGTTGCTAAATTTGCTACCACAGAGCCTTCCTCCATTTCTTCAGGTATAGAATAATGAGTAACAGCCGACGCTGTGCTTAAGAAAGAAGAGAAAATTATGGCTAAAACGTACCTTTTCAAGGGCGAGTGTTTTCTTCGAGTATCCATTGTTCGAAGCACAGTCCTACACACTATGAACCGAGTAAACGGAAGTACAGCTCGAAAAAAAGTGACCAATTAGAAATCCCGACCCTTACAAAGTAAGAGATTTTAAAATTGAAAGCTTTAAGCAATTAAATCATTTACACTGGTGAAGAGAGAGATTCTCAGACTGTCGCCAACAAAGGCAGTCGTGCCATCTCTCAGTGAGTGTGATGACGACAAGTAAAATGGCATGAGGTGTGTTTGTTGGAGAACAGCGACGCTGTGCGCTTTACTGTGCGTAATGCTTCAATGTGTGTTGAAATTTCTTACATAGCTGTTGCAATTATTGAAGAAGACAGAGAAGTGATTAAGACCAGAGGATGCATTTGAGAAAAAACTCCGTCAGGAAGAAAGGATGGGTTAATTAAATAGATTTAATTAAATAGATTATCAAGAAGGAAAAAATAAGCCATTTAAAATAATATCAGGAATACAATGAAAAACAACAAACTCCTGCAAGGAGATGTCCATGTGTGTAAGACAACGGTTTGGCTGAAATATCATCACATGTCTGACATCATTTTTTAGAATTACTTATATCAAAAATGAATAAATAAAACACCCACTACCTGTAGAGTGGACGCAGCTGAGTCACTAGTCTCGGTCACGCCTGTACTCCTGGGTATACTGGACACGATGTATCGCGCCCCCTTTGGCACAGGCTGCCTCACTACCAGCTTCCCTTTCCTCGTCTCCGCTAGAAACAAACTGTACCAGTAGGCATCGTTGGACACCAGCGTGGAATCGGCGATGGTGGAGTTCCTCTCACTGATCACACTGTTCCTGCAGGGAGGAGCTGCTTTGCTGGGCTTCGGTTTCTGACACTTCAGCACGATGGTCACCAATATGGTGATCAGTAAGAGAAATGACACCGAGCCCAGTCCGATCACCAGATACAGGTTCAGATCTGAAAAGATGTCATACTCTAAAGGCACTTCAGTCAAGTCAGCATAGGTTTTCAGCGCGGTCTCCACCGTGGACAGTTTGATAGTGACTGTAGCAGAGAGCGAGGGCTCTCCGTTGTCCTTGGCGATCACCACCAGCCGCTGGTGGCGCGAGTCTCTGTAGCTGAACATCCTCATGGTCCGGATCTCTCCGTTGTACTGGTCCAAGCTGAACAATGTAGCATCAGTGTTCTGGAGAAACTGGTAGGTGATGCGAGAGTTGTGCACCGAGTCGGTGTCAATAGCGATCACTTTTGCTATCAGAGTTCCTTTATCGGTGGATCTCGGGATTTTGTCCTCCACCACTGAGCCGTGCGCGCGCCATGGAGACACTATAAGCGGTGTGTTGTCGTTCTGGTCCATTATAATGATGTGAACGGTCACGTTGCTGCTGAGCGGAGGAACGCCAGAGTCTCTGGCCTCGATGTGGAAAAGGAACTCCTTCTCTATCTCATAATCAAACGTCTTCAGTGCGTAAAGGTTCCCGTTCTCTGGGTTGATGGAGAACAGCATGGACATGGAGGTGTTCGCTATTTCCTTCTCTATTATGAAATACACTAGATACTGATTTTCATGGAGGTCTGGGTCGTGTGCGGTGAGGGAGCTCAATAAAGCTCCTGGGGCGTTATTTTCCACAACCTGTATGGTGTAGAATGACTGTGGAAACTGAGGAACGTTGTCGTTAACGTCCAGCAGCTCTAAAGTCATAGTTTCATTATCAGATAACGGAGGGTTTCCTCTGTCTGTGACGGTAAATGTGATGTCATACTCTGGAACCTTTTCACGGTCTAACGGTTCTGACACCGCGAGCTCATAATAATTATCAGATGATTCTTTAAGCGTAAAAGGCAATTCATCAGAAATATGAATATCGATTTGACCGTTTTCTCCTGAGTCTTTATCACTCACACTAACTACTGCTATCACTGTACCTACAGCTATATCTTCTTTAACTGGGCTCGAGAATGATTTAATAGATATTTCTGGATGGTTATCATTCATATCTGTGATTAAAATTGTTACTTTACATGTTCCTGATAAGGAGTTTGCTCCTTTGTCTGTTGCCACAATTTCCATATCATAAATTCTGAAATCTTCGTAATTAATCATTTCTTTAACTCTGATTTCACCATTTTCTGAATTTAAGCTAAAGGTGTCCTGCGTTTTCTCTGACGTATATAAACTATATGAATATATTATGTCAGAATTTGATCCCTCATCTGCGTCTGTTGCGTTTAATTTGACTACAAGGTTTCCTATCGGTGAATTTTCTGTTAAGTTAATAGTGTAACTTTCTTTTTCAAACTGAGGTGCGTTGTCGTTGGTATCCAGCACGCGCACAATGATGCTGGCTGTGCCAGAGCGCGCGGGGACTCCGCCATCTACAGCAGTGAGTATTAAATTATGAACAGCCTGTTCTTCTCTGTCTAAAGCCTTTTTCAGAATCAAATCTGTGAACTTTGATCCATCACGACCCGTCTGGATCTCAATGGAAAAGTGATCACTGTCACTAAGATAGTAGGTTTTTATCGAATTTACACCAATATCGGGATCGATCGCATTATTCAGTGAGAATCGCTCGCCTGTGGCAGTTGATTCAGAAATATCTAAATGCATCGTGTCTCTTCTAAAATGGGGCGCATTGTCGTTAATATCAAGGATTTCCAACTCAATATTAAACATTCTCACTGGGTTATCTATGGTTGCATCCAGTTTTAAAATGCAAGTTGTTGCTGATTTAGAAATGCAAATATGTTCTCGATCAATTCTTTGTAAGATAAACAGCTCGCCGGTCTCCTTGTTAATGTCCAGATATTTTTTATTAGACAATGTATCCAGTCGTATCTTCCTTTTATTCAGTGTCCTAACATCCAGTCCAAGATCCGTTGCTAAATTTGCTACCACAGAGCCTTCCTCCATTTCTTCAGGAATTGAATAATGAGTAACAGCCGATGCTGTGTTTAAGAACGAGAAGAGAACAATGGTGATAACGTACCTTGTCACCAGCTGACTTCGTCTGCGAGCATCCATTGTTCGATATAGCGTTCAATGAACACTATAAGTCAAGGAAACTGAAGAAGAAAACTGGAGAGACAAACTCCATGCGACAATTTAAACGGTTGCAGAGGAACAGCTTTACACAGTGATAGTGTTAAGCCATAGAATCATTAAGACTGATGAAAGGAATAATTCGTAGACTGTCAGCAACAAAGCAGATACGTCAGCTCCCAGTGGGTGTGATGACGGCCAGTGAAATGGTGAAAGAAGCGTTTGTTGGAAAACAGCGACACTGTGCGCATGGGTTTGCGCAATGCACGAAAATACGCACTGAAAACTGCAGTGTGTGATCATGGGGAGAACAAAGCAAGTGTAAATGAGATATTTAAGAGCAATAAAATTCCAGTGGCGTCACGTATGTCAGTGTATGTGAATCAGGAAAACTTAATTAAAAAGATAGAGATGGTAACTCAAGAAAAAAATAATTTTACTCAGTCATGACTACAAAAGTAAACACCGCTTTTGTCAGCAGATGCCCATCAGTATAAGGCAACGTTAAAGCTCAATTGTTATTCCTTTTTTAAAAAAAATCAAACATGAAAGTGACCATAGTATTAGAAAATTTGATGCCTACCTGTAGAGTGGACGCAGCTGAATCACTAGTCTCGGTCACGCCTGTACTCCTGGGTATACTGGACACGATGTATCTCGCCCCCTTTGGCACAGGCTGCCTAACTACCAGCTTCCCTTTCCTCGTCTCTGCTAGAAACAAACTGTACCAGTAGGCATCGTTGGACACCAGCGTGGAATCGGCGATGGTGGAGTTCCTCTCACTGATCACACTGTTCCTGCAGGGAGGAGCTGCTTTGCTGGGCTTCGGTTTCTGACACTTCAGCACGATGGTCACCAATATGGTGATCAGTAAGAGAAATGACACCGAGCCCAGTCCGATCACCAGATACAGGTTCAAGTCTGAAAAGATGTCATACTCTAAAGGCACTTCAGTCAAATCAGCATAGGTTTTCAGCGCGGTCTCCACCGTGGACAGTTTGATAGTGACTGTAGCAGAGAGCGAGGGCTCTCCGTTGTCCTTGGCAATCACCACCAGCCGCTGGTGACGCGAGTCTCTGTAGCTGAACATCCTCATTGTCCGGATCTCTCCGTTGTACTGGTCCAAGCTGAACAATGTAGCATCAGTGTTCTGGAGAAACTGGTAGGTGATGCGAGAGTTGTGCACCGAGTCGGTGTCAATAGCGATCACTTTGGCTATCAGAGTTCCTTTATCGGTGGATCTCGGGATTTTGTCCTCCACCACTGAGCCGTGCGCGCGCCATGGAGACACTATAAGCGGTGTGTTGTCGTTCTGGTCCATTATAATGATGTGAACGGTCACGTTGCTGCTGAGCGGAGGAACGCCAGAGTCTCTGGCCTCGATGTGGAAAAGGAACTCCTTCTCTATCTCATAATCAAACGTCTTCAGTGCGTAAAGGTTCCCGTTCTCTGGATTGATGGAGAACAGCATGGACATGGAGGTGTTCGCTATTTCCTTCTCTATTATGAAATACACTAGATACTGATTTTCATGGAGGTCTGGGTCTAGAGCAGTTATAGAACTCAACAACGCCCCTGGTGAGTTATTCTCCATAACAGATATAGTATAGAAAGTCTGTGGAAACTGGGGTGCATTATCATTAACATCCAGCAAGTGCACGATTATTGTTTCATTATCAGATAGTGGAGGAGTTCCTCCATCTGTCACTACTAGAGTGATCTCATATTCAGAAATCATCTCACGATCTAAAGGTTCTGAGACTAACAGTTCATAGTGATAATCTGAGGATTTATTCAATATAAATGGCAAGTTTTTATTGATTGTAAGATTAACTTTACCATTATCTCCCGTGTCCCTGTCACTTACACCAACCAGGGCTATCACTGTGCCTACAGGTATGTCTTCTTTCACAGTGTTTTTCAGTGATTTTATGGTTATCTCCGGATAGTTATCGTTCATATCCGTGATGTGCAGTGTTACTCTACATTGGCTGGAGAGCGGAACAGGGCCGTTGTCTTTTGCCTCTATATGCATCTCAAATATTTTCATGTCTTCGAAATCAATTGTGCCTTTAACAGATATCTCCCCAGTTTTGGAATTCAAATCGAACATTTCTTGGGTTTTCTCAGACGTGTAAAGCGTAAATGAATACGTGATTTCTGCATTTGAGCCTTCATCCGCATCGGTTGCGTTTAGTTTGGTGACCAGAGTGCCAATAGGAGAATTCTCGCTCATATTTAAAGTGTACACTGAACGGTCAAACTGAGGGGCGTTGTCGTTCGTATCCAACACACGAACAATAATGCTGGCCGACCCTGAGCGCGCGGGGACTCCGCCATCTACAGCAGTGAGCATCAGATTATGGACAGCATGTTGTTCTCGATCTAAGGCTTTCGTAAGGACCAGGTCAACGTATTTCGTGCCATCGCTGCCAGAATGAATATCTATTGTGAAATGATCGCTTTCGCTAAGCTTGTATGTGCTGATAGTGTTGGCCCCTACATCCGGGTCTAGTGCGTTAGGTAGAGAGAATCGTTCACCCGGTGTTGCGGACTCGGAGACATCTAGTTCAACCCTTTCCATTCTAAAATGCGGAGCATTATCATTAATATCTATGATTTCCAGCTCAATGTTAAAAATGCGCAATGGGCTTTTGATTATCACATCTAATTTCACGAAGCAAGATGTTTTACCGTGACAAAGAGACTCTCTGTCCATTTTCTCAACAATGTAAAGTTCTCCTGTCCTTTTGTTTATTTCTAGATATTTCTTGCTATGAACAGTGTCGAGCTTTACCTCTCTTTGTGCAAGTTCACTAACGTCCAGTCCTAGATCCGACGCTAGATTTGCGACAACAGATCCGCGCTCCATCTCCTCTGGTATAGAGTACCGTGTCACAGACAAAGCCATCCTCCATGTCGCCAAAAATACAAAGAAAATCGGCTCCCAGCTCGGTTTCATCTTCAGTAGCGTGTCAAACACAGCACTAAATTACATTTGTCTCTTCTGGTGGAAAAAAGTCTTCTTCTTTCAATGTCAAATTTTATTATGTAAAAATGTCTGTGTTTCTAAACATAAGCACATATGCTGTGCGGTGCTCTCAATGCAAAACGTCCCGTGTTGAGGCTCAGAAATCTGTGAGAAATTTGCTGACTTCCCTTTAGAAGGACGGGCATTACTGTGCCATTTACTAGCCAACAGCGACACACTGAGACGGTTATGAGCGAATATGACTCAGCCCAAGACAGGGCTCATCATGTGCTGTCTCAAAATGGACATTTGGTGGGGGTTTAAGAAATTTGGAAAGCATTACGCTCAAACGGAGCCCGCTGTTGTAGAGAGAGTGACTGCAAATTCAGCACCACAACCGCGGACAGCGACACTTTCGTTTCACCACCCAATAACTTAAGACTGGCAAGCAGAGCTCCTCTCTTATAGCTGAAGGGGTTCTGGAACTGCAGGATTGTTTCTTGGTCATGAATTAAGCCTGATCATGGACTGAATCACACACACAAAAAGTCCAATATCACTCCTAAGAGTTTTCAAAGATTTTTTGGGACTCATCTCTCTCTCTCTCTCTCTCTCTCTCTCTCTCTCTCTCTCTCTCTCTCACACACACACACACACACACACACACACACACACAAACACACATTTCAAAACATAAATACATTCATTATTTACACATTTGTGCATCAGGTTGTAATAAATGTATATTCAAACCACAGGTGGTCAAGCAAATTTATAAAGATCTAAAATCTAAAGCTGAGGTCATTCTTCCATGTTGTACATAAATATTATGCACATGTTTATGTACTACTTTCTTAACTCCTTAAAATCTAACAGTTTTATTTGTTTGTTTCCCCTCATTTATGTTCCTATTAGGGCAATTTTATCTCATGTGGGTCCTATTATTTATTGTTTATATAACATTTATTTATTCTTTCCACTTGTTTGAATGCCAAATAAAGGCCTAACTATCAAAGACTTTGCACAATTGTAATTTTGTAATATTGTTAGTGATGTATGCGTATGCTTTGCATTTGTGTGCACATTTCTGGTTTCACCTTATGTTGCATAATTTTACAAAGGAAACAGAATTGAATCATTAAAATTTGTAGTTGGCTATTCAGTCTCCCTCTATATAGGGATAATAAAAGGTGGGGGAAAATCTTACAAATTAAACACATTGCATTCATACAGCACACACGCAAATGAAAACCGTAGGTAAATACATAAGTTACAGTTAATTTTACCTTTGTTACATGATCTAGCAAAGTTATTATTAATAGACTATGATAAAAAGGGGTCACGCCCTTTAAAGAGTACAATGATACTAGGAAAACTGTCAGTTGCAAATATATTCTGGGTAACACTTTATTTGGAGTGGTTCTTTGTAGACGATTAATAAACTCTTAACAGATTATCAGTAACACATCAACAAGATATCAGTGAAGTAGCAGTAGTGAAGCGTCTGAATACATAAATATGAAGTAAATATGTTGTACATTAAGTAGATGTATTGTTAATATGTTACTTCCATTAAACAAATCCTAACCCTATCCAACCTTACCCATAACCTAACCCTCACCCTGGCCCTAATCCTAACCTAACCTTAACCTCAACCTCAACCCAAAACCTCACCCTCATATGTTTTTGACATGTTACTGATATGGTACACCATATTCTGTATCATAAATACCACATACATGTTTGATATATTTAATATTTTGATGCAGATATTACATATTATGCCGAATAAAACATGAGAGTATAGTCAAGCAAATATTCAGCAAGGCCATCAATAATGAGTATCGTTTCATGGCTGTTTTGGGATCATACGGATGCAAATTTAGTAAAAGAATCTCAAAAAGTAATGAATTAGAAATTTATATTTAAACAATATCATGCAAATGTAAAATTGGATGCCCTACTGAGTCTTGATGATGGAATAATCACTCGTTAAGAACACATTTGTAATGTGTCACATACTTTACATTTGAGGGAAATTTTGTTTTGGTGTTGTGATGACATCACAATGCCCTTCCTCATCTATAACAAAGGTTCTGCTTATTATTTAAGATAAAATAGCTCTTGTCTTCTTTCCCAGAAGAAAACTTCCTTTAATCTGATAAAGTTACAAGGACAGTGAGCCCAAAGACACATTTCTTACAGAGGCGTTGTCATCATGTTCATCTCAGAAAAAAAAATCATAATAAAAAAAAATAATAATAGGCTCACTGAGTTATCATAGGAACATTATTCATCACATTTGAACTTTTAATGACAATAAAAAAATATTATAGAATCTTAAAATTATAGAACTTTCATGTAGTCATTTATAGTAAAGAGAGAATCTATGCAAATATAACATCATAATGAAAACTATATAACTAACTCAGTGTGGAAATATATTTTGACTTATTCGAATGTGTAACTTAGGCGACCTCTAGTGGCTGAAGTCAAAAACAGGAGAACTTCTCAAAGCTGTCTATAAAGGAAATGTGTCATAATCATAAGCAGAATTATAGTTCAATCATGGATTTTTACTGTAATTAATTAATTATGAAAGTATGTGAGATTAAAAATGAAGGAATCTGTTGATTTATGGCGCTTGTTTTTCAGTGTGTTATACAAATGGTTAAAGTAATGAACTATGGACTTATTACGAAGTTATTAAGCCCTTAAATTCTATATATTATATTATATTATATTATATTATATTATATTATATTATATTATATTTTATTTCTAGCATTAAGACATATTAATCAAAAACGTCTTTAAATCCTTAAGTATAACTACTATAAAACCATAATGTAGGTTATACAATTATGAGCGAGTAACTTAAGTGTGAGCCCATATGTTTTAAGTGCTTACCAGCACCAGCAGGACAGCTCGGGCTCAGAACGAAGTACACTGTAAAAAGTGGCTCGTCAGAACTACGTAGAAAATTACTTCATGTGGTAACAAGTAAATTAACTAGTTTTATTCAACCTAAATAAATACATTGAATTAATGATTCTTTCAATCAAAGTAGTTATTAAGTTTAATTAGTTAATCCACTTGATACCACATGAAGTACTTTTTTAAGTAGTTCTGACGAGCCACTTTTTATAATGTAGCCTCTAAATAGAAAACAGAAGGGGATGTATTTGAGCGACCACGGTTTTTGGGTACTCTTCATGTACCACCTTTTTCTTTCAAATCTCCCCAAATCAAGTCATACACAATAGCATACACTTTGCTTTGTTGGGAAAAGGCAACCGAGCAAAGAATAACGTGCAGAAAACTTACAGTTGTAGAAACTGCAGCTTTTTTTTCTCTATATATGTTCACTCTGGATGATCGCCCTCTGCAGGTTACCAGTGTTATTGCTCTCAGTGTTTTCACTGAAATGTGCCAAGTGGACAGTGCTCCTTTATCTTCCCACACACACACACACACACACACACACACACACACACACACACAAAAAAAACTGATATTTAAATTGAACATGGCAGGTGTTTTGGCAATTTTACAAGAGTCTCTAATAGTTAAAATGAAATTACAATTACAGGGAACCAGGCACTGTGTGGTATAACTACTGGCATAGCACCAAATTTTGGGCCCAAGGCACAGTATTGTGCCCCTGTCCAACTAATTAACTAACTAACTAAATAAATAAATAAATAAAATAAAAATTACAATGTGTTTTACGCCTTTTTATGTGTTTTTTCTTTATGTGGTTGGTTGGTACGCATTTAAGGGTTAAACAACTGACAATACCTTAAGTGAGCTTCAAATCATCAGTCTTGCTGTAGTTCACTAAGAATTGCACTTAAACTTGTTAAAGCGATCAATGTAATTGGAGGTAAATTCAAAAGAGAAAAACTTATAATATAAATGAAATTAAATAAAAATAAATAAATAAATAAATAAAACTGCTCACTCTCCCTCAGTGAGTGTGGCTGCTTCTGGAACAAAGAGAGTGTGTTTTACAGGTTAGCTGCTGGACTGAGGATAACTTCATTGGGCTGTGATTGCAGAAACAGTGTCTGTTACATTAGCTATTTTAAAAATGTTTACTTGCTGCACTGAATCAAATCCTGTGCTTCTTTATACAAATTAGTGCAAATGGAGCTAATCACTAAGTAGCACACGTTACTACAACATATTTACAGTTTGTCACTTTAAGCTCACAAAGAAACAGGTTGGAATTTGCCTGCTCTCTATTTGCCTTCTCTCTCTCTCTCTCTCTCTCTCTCTCTCTCTCTCTCTCTCCGCTCCTTCCATTTGTGAAGTCCTGATTTTTGTTTCATTGTAACCAGGTCAGAACTGGTGAACAGCCATCAACTGCCATCTAAAGCCAACAACAGAGAAGTTACACAAAGAGGTAACCACTTTCATTTTTTGAGGTGGGGGTGGGTACTGAAACAACAAGTAGATAAGCAGAAATTGAAAGATGCTCATGAAAAATGCAGTCCTGTATTATTTATATTTAGAACATAGAGTATCAAAATTAGAAACCAAAATCAATTTATTTCTGAGGCTTTTGGAGGGCCCTCAATGCAAGGAGGGCCCTGGTTAGTCAAGTCCATCATCACCCCTGGCCTGATGCCCCTGGGTAGAACAAATGCTATCCTATGTTGATCAAAGGTTTGAACCTGCACTGATATCATTTTCCTTTTATTCAAAATTGATGATGATCAAACATAGTACACCTTAAGCAGGTCAACCTGCTGAGCTCCAGAATAAGTAATACACTTCTTGCTCCTAGGAAACATTTACATGACAAAGTAAGACATCAGATATAAAAGGTGATGCGTTTGCAAGACAATAGGACGTAGGAGTGGCATACATGCAGCTCAAAATACATAGAGAGAAAAAGATTTTAGGGTCAGCATTTTACTACACATTTGAACACTTATATTGCAACATAAGTCAGCGATGGACTGGTGACCTGCCCAGAGTGTTTCCTGTCTTCCACCCAATGACCGCTGGGATAGGCTCCAGCACAAATGCAACCCAGAAGGATAAGCGGCTTAGAAAATGTGTGTGTGTGTGTGTGTTACAACAACAAGTGTGTGAATGTGTACAAGGTGGAGAGGAGTAGGCTTGTGCTCCAAAACAAAAAATGCAGAATGACAAGAAAACAGATTTCGGCCTACTGTGATTTCCTAATAGATGCCAAAATAGACTACCCAGCTAGTCGTGAAACCAACAGTGTGTTAGACTCATGGGTGTTACAAAGTCCACACTTGCAGTTTGTGGTCTTGCATAAGTGCATACTTGCATGATGTATTTCCAGATTTAACGAAAGTTTGAAAGCCCATGTTAAGATCTTAAATGTACAGATGTTTATCTCGTCTTTTTGGGACCAACTAGTTGCTAAAGTTCTCATGATTTTAACTTTCTTTCTTAATATTTCTCAATAAGATGTTAGAACACCACAAATGCACTGAACTATGGGGTATATCCTTAGCCTATCACCACTTTAATGCAGTACTCTGGGGAGGTTCTGGTCAGCAAGGTTTTGAACACTCTGGGAAACACTTGGCCATTTACTGGAAAGCACAAAAATGTGCAAGTACAAAAAAGTGTTGACTTTGGAACAGGCCATCTGTTTTGGAGGACAAGGTTAAACCACCTGCTTTCCTGTGGCTTGGCCTCTGCAGAGTCAAAGGTCAGGAGCTAATAAAAGCCATTCTCACAGCATGAACCACTCCTCCTTAATGTATTATACATGGGTGTTAATTTTGTAATTAATTTTGGTAATTTTACTCCCCAAACATTTTCAAATGGTTTTTGGGGTTTATATGATGTCACTACTTTTCTGCATGGAGTAGTGTTGCTTTGTTCACATATGAAAGCAATGAGGCAAATAATGAGTAGACATTTTGAGAATTAATATTACACAAATCAAGACTTATGAACTGTATGGTAATTAACCCTAAGCATGTTATTATTCCATTAAAAAATGTTAATCCATGTTGCAAAACAGATGCTGACATAGAGTAACACTGTCCCATGCTTATTACCAGTGCCAGAAAGTCTACAGTTTATCATATAACTTAATCCACACTAATTTACTCCTCTAACAGTTTTTTCTGATGCTTTACGGAAATTGATGTGGAGCTACGCAGTTTCTGCTGAACTTCCACAGTTGTGAGTTAAGCAAATACAATCTGAATCACAGTGATGGAGTAATTTTAATCAGGCTATCCTACTATGGCCTACTCTATGAAAAGATTCTAAATTGCTCCTCTCCTCACCTCCAGTCTCCTGGCCTACGGAGAGATGAACTTCGATTTAGAGAAGTGTGTGAGCACCACAGAGACCGTTTCCATCATTATCGTTTGTAGTGTGAAAGGACACGTGGCAAACCTAATTACCCCTCTCAATTGGGCGATACACATCTATTGACATTCTGAACTCATTTCCCGTAGAAATTAAAATGGAAAGGGCACCGGAAAGAGTGGGGTGCTTTCAAGATTGCGTCCAGGTGTGGCATTTTGAGGCTGAGTTAAATTCCCCAGTGCCCTCCTCTGTTTCGCTGTGTTTAATTAAAATGATATTTCCAAGACGGAGTTGTGTGTTTGTTTAGTTAATGAACCAAGTCTATTCTCCACAGGCATAAAGAGCAATGCAGATTTTAATGAGTATATTGGAATGTTTACTCCCCACTAGGGAGAGAGACCTTGGTCTTTTTTTTCCCTGAGAAGCTCCTTTTCATAAAAATCTTGAGATTGAGATAAGTATATAATGCAAGCTAATCAAGGCAGATTTTAAGTGGAGAAATGTCAAGTGATTGTGTGACATGCCAGTAAATAAACACATAAAGTAACTATAGATGGATATTTGCATGATCTACTTATGAATTGGATATACAGTCATATACAAAAGTTTGAACACTCCCAGTCAAACTACATGTTTTGTGAAAATAAAACACATCCTTTACAGGAAACAGACTTAAAATTTAACATTTTCTTAACATTTTAGTGCAAACTGTCTATTTACTTGCTGTATTTAACATGTTTAACAGAAATAAATAATAAAACAAAACATACAAAATGGGTCATAACTTTTACACACACCACATTTTGTGCTTTTTTTCTCCAAAATATTAAATTCAGCAAACAGTAATTGTACTGTTATACAAACAGTAACAGTACTCTAATGCAACAGTAATTGTATAACAGTAACTGCATTAAAATGTGCAGAAAGGTATTTCCTGTAGAGGATGTGTTAACTTATTTTCACATTTGAGCAGTGGCAACCTAATATTTGCACACAACTCTTCAGGTAACAGCAACATACATCATCAAAAGACTAAAAACTGAATTCTTCACCAGAGAAGCAATCAAAATATTTGGTAACACTTCAATGAAAGCTAGAATTTATAAGTCTGCACTATACAAATATCTATAAGGATTTATTCCAACAAGTCATTTTATTTTCTGAAGTAAAATGACATTAAAATTGATGCAGACTTCATGGCAACTGATGCTGGAATAAGTTGGAATAAGCCTTTATAAATGTTGGTTTATGTCAGTTGTTATTAAAGGCTTATGTAGGTGTCATGTAGCATTTCAGTAATGTGTTGCAAAATATTTTAAAAGTGTGTGTCCTAAAATCACACATTCTACAATCAAATATCAGAATAGGCAGTATTCCAGTGTAATTTTCACTAATTGTATTTCGATGGTAACCAGTCACATACTCTGACATCATAAAGATGCTGTAATCACAGTAACCTAGTAATGTAATGGGACTTTTTCGTTTCTTTGGGACAATGAGAGACACAAATTATTTCGCCTTTGTTTCAGAAAAAGAATACTTTTATTCTCAGAATTTACACGGTAATGTACGCCATAGTCTGAAGTAAATTACCTGCGTGAGTCAGTTACCCACTTTGCATACATATCAACACTGTTCCTATTGTTCACTGAACAATAATCATATTAGACTTACTCATCTGTTTCAGCGAGCAACCAATCATTCCAAGGCTGTGCACCACGGCACAAAGATTCTGCTCAGACAGAAAATTCACACTATGCGCAAAGGCCAAGTAATGCTTACATTTAGGCTGACATGATTGTCAAATAAACAGTACCAAAAAACATTATAGTCATAATTCTTAATGTAGAAAAACTAGAATTTAATGATACATTTATGGAATTTTAAAATAATTTTGATGATGTGACTCACTTCTCAGACCACTGTTGTTTCACTTGTGCTATTTGTGACCTTCAGACCCAATATGGCTAAGCCTGGCTAACTGAACAGTAGACAGCAGCTTAACTCTGTCAAGATTCACACAGAAGAATTAACCTATTCATCTGACCCCCTTATCAGCAGCTAAATCAAGCCATCTTTTCTTCATTACGGTCATGACATCCAAATCATTCAGATTTTCTTGTATGGTAACCGTTCAATTACCAAACCATATTGAGACCCATCCAAATATGGTTTTGTCACAAGACCAACATTCAAGACTCACTCTCTCTGAATATTCATATAATAAACAGTAACTAATGGGTGGGATGTGTAATCTGACAGTGATACAGTTTTATAGGCCAGTGCCACCGTTTAAGGCCTCCTCATATAGGCCCATGTTTAATGTGTCACAAACACACAAACATGACAGAAATAAACTGAAATGTGTCTCAGAGCAAATGGAGTCATGGGAAGCAGACCACACAGAGCAGGAAAATAATGTTACTGTGACACGAGAGTAGTTTGGTTTGGAAATATAGGCTCTGCTTTGGTTGTAATGGAACTCTCTCCTCTTTTCTTCTAACTCATGTTATTCCTTCCTTCCACAACATTTGCTCCCCCCTCCCCCACACTCTGTCCACCGTCACATCTCAGCTTTGTCCCACATTCTCTCCGTTCCTTCTATCTATTCATTGTACAGGTCATTATTGATGACTTCTGTCCCTGTGTCATCTCTAGGGTCGTAACTGCTGGGCGAGATGAACTTGCGCTTCTTGCCGAATGTGGAAAAAGAGTTATGGACGTCAAGCTCGCTGCGGTGGCTGGGCCGAAGGGTGCAGAGGGCAGAGGGCGTGCCAGGGATGTAGACGTTATGCTGGTAGTCAGGCGGAGGTTGGCTGTGCGAGTGAGCTGCAGGCTGCTGCTGTTGGGGGTTGTTTGTGGGGGTGTAGCGGGGTGTCCATGCCCTCTGGGGGAGGCCTGTGGCTGGGGAGGACATCCTGTATTCTGTAAGAGAGGAAGAGACAGCTGAAATTTGGCATTACATTTGCCTTTGCTCACATTTAAATGGTGTGGTACTAGAATATGATATCAAACTGTTTTTGCTATTCAAAGAACAATAAACAACTTTTGGGGTCAGCATTTATTACGTTTACATGTACACCAAAGGTTCAGCATTAGTCTAACCAAGACTACTAGTCTAACTAAGACATGTTCATGTAAACAACATGCTTTGATTGTCATGGTCTAACTAAGGTCTTACTCAATCTAGGCTAAGTAAGGTTAAAACATGATCCAGGCCAATACTGCCAGAAAAATAATGGGTTCTTCTGAGTGATGCCGTCGAAGAAACATTTTTAGTTCCCTAAAAACACATTCAATTGATATATTCTGTATTTTTCTGTATATTTATATTTGTAAATTAGATGAGCGAGCATTAAGAATCTTTTTAAAGTTCAAAAAACCTCTGCATAATGAAAAGGTTCTATATACTATAGACCCATTCTATTTAACCACACATCTAAGCCAAGAACCACTTAGGAATCTTAATTTTTAAGAGCGTACCACATGTGAGAACTGGATTATGACACCAAACAATGACAAGTGACAAATGACAAGTGACAAAAAGCAACAGTGTCCGCACTTTTCTTGGAAAAAGACTTCTTTGTGTCAAATCAACGTTTGTTTAAACATCTGGGGCCTAGTCAGGCTATTGTGCACATGAAAAAGGAGTTCAGGAAGAGGGCTTAGTGTGACAGTTAGCTCAGTTCTATCAGAAACCATAAAACTATCAAAAAGCAAGGCAGAGAAGTAAACATTCAGAAATATTCTGATATGACATTCCTCTTATCTATTCAGTGCATTTCCTATTCAAATCTGCTGCTCTTATGTACACAAGTAGACCTGACAGAAGAGCTAACTGACAGATGAACCAACACATGCCACTGAGAATTTTTATTGAAAAAGATAGCACAGTGTAAGACATACTGTAATAGTAGCTTGTGTAAATGTATGCTAGGAACATAACAAGGATGAAGCAGATTTGAAATATGCAAAAATGTCCCTCCCTTCTCTCAGATAGAGTGGCAAAGTATGTAATTTGATAGAACTCCCTTTTCAGCGTGGGACAATATAGTGAAGTAGCAGACCAGCGAGTAAAGAACAGTAGACCTGTACTGAATAGACTGGACGGTTTGGGGCTTACCTCTCATTCGCGTCCCCCAGGTCCAATACTGTCCTGCAGCCATTGGACTGACATAGTTTTCAGGATCATTCTGCATGGCCTTCCTCATCAGAGTGCCATCCATGTTTATTGAGTTATAGCTGGAGAGGCATCACATAGGTATACCACTTACAACAAATACAGTATAGGACAGCGATTCTGACAGAAATTCTATGGTAGCTAGGCAATTACAAGCAGATGCTAGAGAAGAACTACCACAAGGGAAGCTGTTCTTCAGTAGCACAAATGATTCCTTACAATTTAGGATTCTTAGGATTCTTCAGTCTTTAGTACAATGCTACACTCTAAAAAGCGACCACCGACTAGTGTTAGTCATTTTAACATTTTTTGTGTCATATTTTTTTTCTGATTTAACACATTCTGCATTAAAAGTAACCCAAAATGTGTTATCCATAACAGGGCACAGAAATATTTCAAAACATTCTGCGTTAAAAGTAACACAAAATGTAATGTCTCCAACTGAACACACTGATGTATCTAATTGGAGACAGAATGTGTTGTTTCCTAAGAGTGTACAGGCTTGAAAAGCATATAGCAAGGTACGAGTAAAATATGGTCTTATTTTGGCCTTAATATGGAAACATGAATGTCATCACTATTATTTCAAAACCTCACAACTAATTTGAAGTAAAATTTCTTTATATTAAAGAACATACTGAAGAACAACTCAAAATAATGCTCATAATAATATTTAATAATGTTTCAGATCTGAGGTGTTGTTATGACAGTGATGATGTGTAAGGTCAAAGTGTCAAAGTGACTCAAACTGAAGTTTCTGTGTAGTGCACTGCTCAAATGTGCATGTGTGTGTGTGTGTGAGTGTGTGTTACCTTTTCAAAGAGCAAGTTTGGTTCTTAGTGAGAGCCCAGTCCGTATTGTCTTGTTTCAGCTGCAACAAATAAGACAATTTGTTATCCTCAAGACCTTCAATATAACTTATATATAACAATTTAACATGTCAAAAAAATAATAATAAAATAGCATATGTCTTTACAGACATAATTTCTTAATTTTGCAATCGTGACGCTCAAAAGAACTGCCCCCTTGTGGTCAAAAGTATGAATGACCATTGTTCATTTGGAGATGGAACTTCATGCCTTAAGCAAAGGCTCTTGTCATTTTCTTTCCCTTTTCATGCGCCCAGACGCAGTGGGGGAGGCAGAAGATGAGGGGGAGGCGAGCGCGAGCTAAAGCAAAGCCCGCTCATATTTGTCCCGAGTTAAAGGAGGGGCGCGCGGATTCCACGCTCTATTAATTCACTTAGACCCCTTAACACGGAGAAGGCGATGTAAGCGTGTTATTAGAGGAGTTATTTCAAATACCTTCCGAAACCAATTAAACCACCGCCGGGATGAAACGAGACTCGATTTTAATCTTCAAAGGAAATCCACAGCAGGCAGGAAATTAATTAAAAATAATAATAAATGTAATTGTTGAGCGGATTAGATCAGTTTTAATTTCTTGCTTTATTTTAGGAATTTACCGTCCTTGTGCGTTTTAATAACAGCTCTAGCGGGACTGATTGGAAACTTTTTTCTCTCTCCAAAAGAGCTCTTCTGGTAGAGAACACTTTAAAAAGGGCTTAATGCAAGAATAAGAGTGACATCTCGAGGGGGCCGCCATCGCTGGCTGCTCTGCTTTTACTCATAATGTATTTTTTAGACCTTGTGCCACAGTCTTGGATTCACAAGACATGATACAGTTTTTTATGGATGTTAAACGGAAGTAAAACGACAACTGTCTATCGCTATCTCTATGACTCTCTTTCTCCCCAGTAACTTATCAGTACTTCATATCTTTACCTCTCATTAACACTCCATCTCTCTATCCTTACTAACTTTCCAGTGCTCAGTTTCTCAGCAGCATTATCTCTCTCTATATCTCTCTCTCTCTCGTAACTTTTCAGTATTATCTCTCTCCTCCTAGTAACCTATCAGGTCTCAATATATCTCTTTCTCTCTCTCTCTCTCTCTCTCTCTCTCTCTCTCTCTCCCCCTAGTAACCTCGGAATTCTCTCTCTCTCTCTCTCTCTCTCTCCCCCTAGTAACCTCGGAATTCTCTCTCTCTCTCTCTCTCTCTCTCTCTCTCTCTCTCTCTCTCTCTCTCACCCCTTTCCCCAGCCCACCCCTCTCTCGTTATCTCTCTCGCTCTGTAGCCCTTTCCCCAGCCCACCCCTCACTCTCACTCTCTTGCTTTTGCTGTCAGTAATATTCCTTTTCTTTCTCTCAGCAAACTCTCGTTATTCTCTCTCTCTCTCTCTCTCTCTCTCTCTCTCTCTCTCTCTCTCAGTAACATTCTCTCTACTTTTCTCTCCCCAGTAACCACTCAGTGCCTTTCTCAATTTCAGTAACCCTCGCCCGCCCCCTTTTTTCTCTCTTTCCCTCTCAGTAACATTCTCTCTTTCTCTCTTCCCCTCTCTCTCTCTGTTCTTTATCTCTCCCTGACTATCAGAAATCCCTTCGCTTATCCCCCTCTATCACTCTCTTTTCCTCTCAGTAACTCTCTCTGCCTTTTAGTAACCCTTTGCCCATCTCTCTCTCTCTCTCTCTCTCTCTCTCTCTCTCTCTCTCTCTCTCTCTCTCTCTCTCTCCCCAGTTCACATTCCGCGGGGATAAAGAGGGTGAATCTACAGGCCTGACACGTCCCTCTTCCCTCCTGCTCTCTCTCCCTCACGCGTTCCCGTTTCTCAGCCCATTATAGACGGTACCAGTCCACGTTCGCGCGCCATTGTGCACGGAATAATGGGCATTTCGAGTGTGCGCGCGTGCGTGTGTGTGTGCCCTTGAGGCAGTGCTCGCGAAGGGTGCTTTGCGCCTAAAATGAACTGATAAAAAAGTAAAACAGGCAGCCACAGGTATTCATCAGGCCTTACTTTCTCTTATGAATCCCATTCTTCTTTTTTTACACTGCAATAAAAGAAGCAATCTCAGGGACATAAATGGCAGAAAGGCACTTCCAGTTTAAAGGAGCATGTTTTTTTTTTTTCTGTCTTTTTTCTCTTCTGTCTTATTTTTTTCTAAATGCAGTGAAAATATCACCTTGAGCTGCCGTTTGCAGAAACGCGCGCTCGCTATCAATCGGCTTGATTAACGTCGCCTCCTCACTCCTGAGAGCGCAGTCACTGAATATTTATTGATCAATTGACAGAGTAACTGGTGTGGCAGAACGGTAGCCCTAAAGCTAACATTTTTTTGTCTTATTTCCAGCTCAAAGATGTCTGAAAAGTGTCACCTTGAGGTATTAACCTGCCCACGACAAAATTCAAGAGCTAAGGCATGAATAACTGTGTGTCTGAGGACGATGCGTGCACGGAAACAGAAGAAGAAGCTCTGGCTCCGGATGAGAGTGATTACTCCCACCCCCCGCCACCCCCTACTCCCCGCCCCTCACCACACACACACACACCGAGAGAAACGCTTGTTCAATTTCAATCAAGTTCATCGATGTCGCCTCCTTTCTCGCTCTTGACAGCACACTCACTGAATATTCATCGATCAGCCGATGGAGTTATTAAGGTGGCAGGTAACAGTGAATTAATGTCACTGATCCTTCATGTTTTACTCAAGGCGTGACAACACAAGGCTACTCATTTACCCCAGAAAATAATATGACGTTCAAGAAAGTCTCATTTGTCCTAACCGATTTGTCACCATTTCTAAACGTTCTGCTCTTCCACACCCTAGGATGAGATGTAGGGTCATCATGTAATAGTGGACAATTGTTTTCAAGTATAGTGAATAGTTTTAGAAGGAAACTGGATAAAAGAACAGCGCCATCAATCAGAGCATGATAGCCATCACACTCTCTCAAATGACCCTCATATGGCTCAATACGCTGTTTCTTAATACCTACAACACTGTCCAGTGTGACTCTACTTACTATATGACTTAATCCGATAATAATCAGTATAATACCGAAGGACACCTAACACATTCCCTTAATACCAATACACTACCCCATGTGACCCAACACACTATCCTATATGACTCTACACACAATCCAATAATACCTAACACACTGTCTTATGTACCCAACACACTCACGTACCTAACACATTGTTTCAATGCCTACTACACTTCCTAACCCAGCAAAGTGACTCATATGACCCAGCACACTCTCCCAGACGCTATTCCTTATAACGCATTACCTCATAACATCAATACACCATCCTATGAAACCAAACACAATGCCCCACACGACCCAACACACAGCTCCTCATTACCCTGATGTGACCCTCATATGAAAAGCTGCTTTACCTCGTTAGGTGTTGCGGCTCCGTTATTCACTGTTGCTCCGTGGTTTTTCGCTGTATTGTTCCTCGCGTCTCCGGGACTGCACGGCTTCAGGAACATGAAGTCGCTCTTGGCGGATTCTGGGGTCAGGCACACTTTGTAGCAGTACGGCTGCGGCGCAGCTCCGGTTCCAGGACCCCCGGTGCCGCCGTTCACCTCCACGCAGCCCGTGGGCACTTTAGACCCAGTAGAGAGCTGCACGTTCAGGTTAGACTTCTTAAGCACGTCGGCGGGAGGAGGATCATCCTCGAAAGAGCAGCACGCGGCGCCGCCGAGAGAGGAGAGCGAGTCCCCGCCGTCTTTGTAGCACTTGAAACCGGCAAGCACGATGATGGCCACGAGGAAGATAAGCGAGACGGTACTGAGCGACACGATGAGGTAGAGCGCGAGGCTGGAGGGGGGCCGCGGACCGCGCGACGGGTCGCCGAGCTCAGAGGGTGACTCAGGCACGCTGTCCACCACGGACAGCACGATGGAGGCGGTTGCCGAGAGCGGCGGCTGCCCGTTGTCCTTGACTAGGACGACGAGCCGCTGGCGCGCGGCGTCTTTGTCCACAAAGCGGCGGATGGTTCTGATCTCGCCTGTATACAGCGCTACGCTGAAAAGCCCCGGGTCCGTGGCGTGCAGCATTTGATACGAAAGGCGCGAATTCTGTCCAGCGTCCGCGTCCAGCGCCGTGATTTTCGCCGCCAGGTAGCCTGCGTCCACCGAGCGCGGCACCACCTCTGTAGCCGCCGTGCCGTTGGTCGGCAGCGGCGACACGATGACCGGAGCATTATCGTTCTGATCCAGTACGAACACGTTAACGGTCACGTTGCCGCTGAGCGGTGGAAAGCCGGCGTCCTGCGCGCGCACGCGGATCTGGAAGTTGCGCAGCCGCTCGTAGTCGAAAGAGCGCAGCGCGTACACGTTGCCGTTGTCTGAGTTGATGGAGACATACGTGGAAACGGGCATGCCCTGAATCTGCCCCTCTAGGATGGAGTACGACAGATACGCGTTCTGGTTCGAGTCAGGGTCGAAGGCGGTGACCGAGCAGATGGACGCGCCCGGCGCGTTGTTCTCGGTCACGTACACCGTGTAGGAGGGCTGCAGGAAGCGCGGTGCGTTGTCGTTTATGTCGGCCACCTGCACGAGTAGAGTTTTGCTGGTGGAGAGCGGCGGCAAACCCGAGTCGCGCGCCGTGAGCGTGATGTTGTACTCTGCTACGGATTCCCTGTCTAAAAAGTCGCTGGTCACGAGAGTGTAGTAGTTTTTGAAGGAGGAATGCAGTTGAAATGGCACGTTGGGTGGTATTTTACAGTCCACGGCTCCATTTTCGCCCGAGTCTCGGTCCGTCACGCTCACCACAGCGATCACAGTGCCCGGTGGCGCGTCCTCCTGTACGGGCGTGGACACGGAGGTGAGGATGACCTCGGGCGCGTTATCGTTCACGTCCAACACGTCCACAAGCACCTTACAGTGTACGGCCACGGCGGACGGGCCCTTGTCCTTAGCTTGCACATAGAGCTCGTGCACGGCGGACTTCTCGTAGTCCACAACCCCCTTCACGCGGATCTCACCAGAGTGTGCGTCCACACTGAAAAGCTCGCGCACTCTCAAGGGTGCGTGGCCGCTGAATGAGTACACAATGTCGCCGTTCGCGCCCTCGTCTACGTCTGTAGCGTTGAGCTTGAGCACGAGCGCGCCGCGCGGCGCGTTCTCCACAAGGCTCACGCGGTACACGGGCCGCTCAAAGACGGGCACGTTGTCGTTGGCGTCCAGCACTGTGACTGTAATTTGAGCCGTGCCCGAGCGCAGCGGCGAGCCGCCGTCCACGGCCGTCAGCACCATCTCGTGCGTCTTCTGCTGCTCGCGGTCCAGCGCGGACTCCAGCACGAGCTCGGCGAATTTGCTGCCGTCGTTGCGCGTCTGGATGTCCAGTGCGAAGTGGCGGTTCGCGCTCAGCAGGTAAGAGCGCAGCGAGTTCGCGCCCACGTCCAGGTCCTGCGCGCTCTCCAGCGGAAAGCGCGAGCCTGGCGCGGCTGACTCAGTGATCTCCAGGTTAAACTCGCTCCACGGAAAGCTCGGCGCGTTGTCGTTCACGTCCAGCACCTCCACCTCCACTCGGTACAACTCCAGCGGGTTTTCTATCACCACTTGCAAGTGCAAAAAGCAAAGCGGACTCTGCTCGCACAGCTCCTCGCGATCGATTTTCTCATTAACGAACAAAATCCCGTTCTCCAGGTTCACTTCCAAATACTGCTTCCTTGCTCCGGACACGATCCGGAACCGCCTGGCCGACAGTTTGGCCACATCCAAGCCCAAGTCTTCGGCGATGTTGCCCACAAACGCGCCGTGCTCGAGCTCCTCGGGAATCGCGTAGCGGATCTGCGCGAGCGCGCGGTCCAGCGCGCACACGCACACAAGCAGGCAGACCAGTGACCCAGCTAACGTCCATCGCCTCGTCTCGAGCCTCTTCCCCATCTCCGCCAAGGCTAAATTCTCACTGACTCGAGCTGAGTAGATGCATGATGAGTTCCGAGAGATGAGAATAGCTTTATTCAAAATAATAATAAAAACAATAATTCTTATTATAAAAGTTTCACATTAGATACTGCAGCATGAGACTTTGCAGGAAAAGTCTATAAGAAAAAGTAAAGCATTTCGTTTAAAAAAAAGTTAATGCATGTATTGAATGAGCATGCCTGGAGCCGTCGGAGAGGCTCCCCGCGCGCAGCTCCGCGGGTGAGTGCGTGTGTGAGTGAGTGAGCTGCGCGTGTGTGAGCAGGCTGCGCTTTGATTTTCCGGCGTATTAGGCATTTTGAGGAACGGCACGCCGGGAGGGAGGGGTCGGACTTCGCCAGGTTTCTTATTGGAGGATGGCGACATAATTACTGTACTGACACGGTTAACCGTGTCAGTGCCGCGCTGCACGCAAGCGGAGAGGACAAGAGTAAAGTTTCCACTAAATAGCACATCAACGTCTGAATCAATGCAGGCTTTCTTAATGTAGTTTCTAATGTACTGATGAAGTGATGTAGTAGAGACTTATACTTAAGACAATGATTAGTTTCTATAAATACGGTTATGTAGATATATTTTAATACTTTATTAAAGGGCACGCGCATTAGGACTGTCACTTCTGATAGGTGCCACTGTAAGACGCTGGTACCGACATGTTTTCTGCCAGTGATCCGCCTGGAGAGGTTTTTAAAGGAGGATAGTGACTTACAAGATTAAGCATCAGGGAAGTTATTGTTTTGATGGAACAAAACGAAGTCGTGTCTCTTGAAAATGTGACACATGTTCGCCAGGATCTAATCTTTTATTTTCAGGGATAATCCCTGTAAGGCGGGACATTAAACCATCGCACGCGCCAGTCTCTCTCTCTCTCTCTCTCTCTCTCTCTCTCTCTCTCTCTCTCTCACACACACACACACACACACACACACACACGCACACACACAGTCGCAGATTCCAGTTCATTGTAAGTCCATGAAGGCTGAAGGATGATGTCCTCCACGCGCCGCTCTTCTTACGCCTCCACCTGCCGTAGAGCGAAATCCTACCGCGCGGGTTTAAATAACGGCTGAGCGCAATCTGTTTGCCAGACTTAACCTCAAGCAGATGGTTAAGCCGCAGCAGAAATGATTACATTTCTGGAAAAAAAACACGAGTTCCACCGCTCTCCACTTCTACTTCTTCTCTCTCTTTTTTAATTAACGGAGTGGAGGATTAGCGGCGTAGCTATCCGGGATCAGCCGTTCTCCAACAGCAGAATACAAATGTTTCCTGAGAAATAATCCGCGGGCTGCACCGGCTGGGTCACGGTGCCGTGGACATTAACATGCATTACACGAGTCTTTAAAACCTCCTCGATGTCCGCCGAGCGTGGGTGCCATTACTTTCATCCATTTACCGCCGAGCGCGAACAGTAGCTACAGCACAGCGGCTAACAAACCAGCGCGCGAGCACCGCCAACAGTCTGAGGTCAAGCAAGTTCATTACTTCCCTGCCTTCTCACTGATATCTCTGATAACTACTGGAGGTCACCCACTCAAGATTCCCATTTATGAAACGCACCGCCTCCACCAGCGTCCATCCAGTTTTAATTAAAGATAAGGCTTTACAAATCTCCATGACATTTGGCCTGACTTTGAGAGCCTCTTGGTGGACACAAGCAGCAGAGGGTTAGACATCATGCTGTTTATTCACAATTCTGTAGTGAACATCCAATCCTTTTGGCATTTTTCAATAAATCTAAACATAATAGAGCGCCATCTAGTGGATCTATCAAACAGTTAAAAAATAAGGTCTCCCGTTAAACGGGAAACAAATATTGAGGATTAAAACGTCTTAGTGTTTGTTTGTTTGTTGTGTTCGCCCGGAAAATGACACAAAAGCGTAAGTGATTTCAGTGCAAGCTAATGTAAATGTAATCTAAACTAGTGAGTTTCACACCATCATCATAATACTTTATCTTTTTAAAACCTCAACTGGTGTTCAATGAAGATGTCAAGAAGAGAGGCTCGTTTCTGAAATGTATGTCAAAAAGAACATCATAGAGAAAGAAAGAAAGCAAGAAAGAAAGAAAGAAAGAAAGAAAGAAAGGAAGAAAGTAAAAGAAAAAAGAAAGAAAGAAAGAAAGTAAAAGAAAAAAGTAGGAAGAAAGTAAAGGAAAGACAAGCAAACCAGACAGCACCCTTGATCCCAACTCTGTAATTCACAATGTTAACAAGAAGTAGCTACTTGATTAAGCTAACACTAGAGGCACACAAAAAAATGAATTCAATAATAACTGAATATAAATTTACTGTCTAATGGCAGAAACCTTCTGCATTAATTGAAGTGAAACAATTTTCAATAACCCCTGTAGCAGAGTGCATGTAGACTGTGTGTAGGCTGGACTGCGGGCCTCTCAGACCAGAGCTGGGCCTAAAATCCTACATAAGGAGGACAAAGTTAAACTTCAAAGTAAACAAATCATAGTTACAAAAGCAGCTACACACAGCTACACACTGACAGATGGGTCAAGCTGGCTTTAAAGCCAATTAAGAGTAAACTGACTGTAAAATAATTCTGGCAACTATAAAAGATTCTTGCAATCAGCACTTGGTGTGTGCGCTTGCAAAGCAGCATCATTTGCGAGGCAAATAACTGAGTTCCAAAAATGGCAGAATCTGAGGTGCATCGGTCAAAAACGGCTCATTTAATGTGCCAAAGGAAACAGTCTTGAAAAACATGAACATTGTGTCATGTGCCAATTATGGACACAGTGTACTGGCAAAGAGGAGCAGTGGATATAACTCTAAGTTTGCCAAAACTGACAGACTGACACTTAACATGATAATCGCTAAACATTACGAAAATATGGACATTAAAATGACAACAGGACTGACACAGGAACCCCTGGGAACAAGTCTCAAAGGAACTGCATGTTGTGAGAATAAAGCTCAAATCTAAAGCAGGGCTAGCTTTTGGGAAATGTTTATACCAAAGCATAAAGGCACTTGAGTAGGAAGCAAACCTGGAAAACTATCAATGAGATCCATGAGTGATTACGGGTGATCTACTAACCTTAAGTGCTAACTGACAACGAAATGCTTAACATTTAAACTTTGTACGGTCTTCGAGTGCCATCTAGTGGTGATATACAGTACTGCTGCATAAAGTTCAGAGGATAGCACTGGGAACCATCTAAAGAGGACCAAAACGTGAACTAAGTCCTGCTTTTAGGCCAATACCTGAGCAGAAAAAAGAAAACGCCAGACATTGCAGATGGTTCAAACCCCACAACCCGCAGACTGCAGGATGGAAACTATGGTGTACGATGCACCCACATGGGTAAACTGGCGCACTTCTGCAAGCTGAATTAAACGTGCTTGACTCTCATAAATGGAGAGGCGTGATATTCTGTTACATTTCATGACATTAAGCAATATATTATTCGCTTCATGAAACATTTATAAGAAATTCTTGAGTGCAAAATAGATTCAAATCTTTCATAAATCGTTTCCAGCAAACTCCGCATAGACAAGCTTATCATTTTAACACGTAATATTTGTATTGTAGTACCATGGAGATGTGATCTCTTAATGACCACGGCTACTTGTAGGCTTACTCTACCAAAATAGTTTCCATTGACAACGAAATGCTTTCAGTTTAACTTTATATGGTCATAGAGTGCCATCTAGTGGTCATATACAGTATTGTTGCATGAAGGTCAGAGCAAAACACGGAAATGCGTTTAAATATGACCAATATGTGAACAAAATCCTGATTTAGGACAACATGTGAAACGACAACGGTATCTACTATACGAGATAAAGAAAAAAACGAAAACGCCAGACAGCGCCGGTGGTTCGAACTCCGTGACCCGCGGACCACGGAATGGAAATGCAGACGTACGAAGTAACCACTTGGCTAAGCTGGCGCAACTGTACCAGCTGAAATTTACACACTTGACTGTAAAATACAAAGGCGCGCGACGTCCTGTGGAGTTCAATCATTAACTACACTTTCTTTCCTGTTGTCCAGTACACGTATTAGGAAGTGACAATACTTGCTTTCGTCGCTGTTTGTGTGCAGGGAGGTTGTTCAGGGAAAATGATGTCTTTCACGAACACATTCAAAAACTATACAAAGTACATGTTTTGAATTCTCTCTCAGAAAAACGCACTAAACTGCACTTTTTAAAGTACAAACACAATCACTGTGTTACTGCAGTGGCACACTCTTAAAAAGATGGTTCTTCTAGTGCACTCCAGTTGAGAGAATGGTTCTATATAATGCCATAAACACTCAAAGAACCATTTATGTGCTTACATGGCTCTTTGCATGGTCAAATGGTTCTTCAGATTGATGGAGAATGTGTTGTATACGGTTCTCTATAGAATCTTTCTGAAAATTACTATATGACACTAAAAAAGGGGCCTGTTATTGTTAAGATGTCAAGCTTGTAATGATAGAAGAACCCTTTTTGGTGCTATATGTAACCATTCACAACACATTCTCCATTAATCTGAAGAACCATTTCACTATGAAGAAAACCATTTAAGCATGCCAATAGTTCTTTGAGTATTCATGGTTCTGGGTAGAACCATCATCTTTACTAAAAAACCCTTGAACTACCATATTTAAGAGTGTACCTTCAAGGAATCCCTATAGATGAATCCATCATACTACTACGAACATTTGTATTGCAGTACCTACACTTTAAAAATGGTTTGCCAGTTCTAGTTTGTCAGCCTAAAAATATTCATGTGGTAACAAGCAACCGAACAAATTCTACTCAACTCAAAGATACTTTAACTGAGAGAATGGTTCATTCAAAGTATTTATTTAGGTGTAATAAAATTTGTTAATTTACTTGTTACCAAACTAAGCAGTTGTTTTAGGTTGAACTGACAAAACATTTTTCTAGAATTATCACACATATTTATAAATTCCACTGGCCTTTAGATCTTCTGAAAAAGAGATGTGTG